CATCAGCATGTTCTTCAGATAGAGAACTCATCATCTTCCTTCTCTTCTGAGCTGTTGTTCATCACCATCTTCATACTAACACTGTAAGTTTCCGACGCCCCTGAGCCACTGTGGTAGAATTTCATGTTAACTATGCTGCACATTGCTCACCATACTAAAGCGGATCTATACATAAGATGGGGTCGATATGAGGCGGCTAGTGAGCAAGTAGCTCTTGCCAGGTCAACCTTGAGTAAACCTGGGGGTTTTGTATCGACCAACTGGGTCAGTGATGTTGTTTTCTTACAGGGCTTCATCTGTTGCGATACTTCAGAATGCTTAAGAGGTGGTAATCGATGAGGCAAAGGAGGCAGTCGCCATCGTAAGGTTGTTTAAGATGCCACCCGGCGCACGCGCGCGCCTTGCTTGATTATTGATGAAAGCGCACCTCATGGACCCTGAAGAGTATCGCAAAGAGGCCTCGGAGGCAAGAAGCGAATCGCAGAGACCGAGGACGCAATTGCCCCCTGGGAAAACAGACTTGAGTGATGAAAGCGACAGGGCATTTGATCTGTTGGTGGATATTAGTGTGTGATAATATGAATCAATGAAAATTGCTTTACGCTTTCAACTGTAAACAGGCATTCAATGTGTCGTTAGGTTCAATGATAATGTGTCGGCTAGTCACGATTGCTAGAATGAGAGCACGGATAGATTCTTGCGCACTAAAACAGAAAATTTAAGGGCTTGCATTAGATATCTATATTTCTACATATTTTAGCCGAAGGACTATAAATAACGTAAGTTGGCTATATATAGAGACATCTATAGCAAGGAATTAGTGAACGCTATATTTATCGGTCACGAGTAATAATTAGGCCGTTAACTTAATTAAAACAGACCTTGAGTATATAATAGTTAGTATTCGCTAGTTATTACCAACCTAACTACCATTTAGCCCATTTGTAACTTAACTATAGGAGAGTGGATATATGTCTATGTTTTCTATAACAATTATATTACATAGTGATTTCTTTTATAGACTAACGTTGCCTATTTATTTTGCTTGTCACAGACTGCCTAGACTTCAGGGAAGATTAATATAATTATCCTGCGCAGAAGACCGTTGATCCGAAACATACAGTAAATACATATATAACCAGTTGAACCAGGCCAGCGGTCGTAACTACGACACAATAGCTGAGAAACAGACAATTGCTGGTGTATTTGAATACCATGCACTTTGGTCCTCAGCTTCCACAAAAGGACTTCGATTCTGGCGGCAAAGGTGACTGCCATTAAGGATCGAGCGTGCCAAGGGGCGACGAATCCCGAGCCATTGGCCGATTATGAGGAATAACTTGAGCCCAGAGGCCCCGCTGTCTATTATTTTGTACGAATTCGTATCAAATTACGTCGTCTCTTCGAATCCCTTGTAGAAATAAGGAGTGCCACTACCGCCGTCATACATGTTGCCGCAAAGACCTGTGGACGGAGTTAACTGGCCCCCCGCCGCCGAGGCTCCCGCAATAGGGGCTTCAATAAGGACACTCCAACCGGTGATAGAGCACACCATGCTAAGCAGAGTCCCTTGCCTCTATACGTGAAACTTAAAGTGACTGAGTGCCGCCCATTTTTGGGCTGAAGAACACAGTCAACTCGTAGAGCGCGTTTAGTGGGGTTTCGCTCGACGAGAGACACATGATGAACGCCCTGAGATGCGACGTGGCCTATGAACAGGTTAAGCGGCCAACGTAAGGCTATGAAACTGAGGCCCAGACGCCCAAGAATGCTCCTTCGTCCTCACATCCATATCATCAAAGTGGTGTCGTCGACTCGTCGATTGCTCGGTTGCTCCACCACGCCAGGCACGGGCCGCGCCTTAGCCCGGGCGAGACGCGAACAAGAAGCCCCCGGGTCTTTATCTCGCGACCCGCCTCTGGCGTTAAATCCTGCCAATCCACAATACGTCTATTATCCGCTTGGCAGCCGCGCGGCGACTGTGATGCACAGGCCGCCTGTTCATGGAGAACGTAATGGATCATAAGTCCGATGCCGTACACTGCGCGACCTGTAGCCGCCGAGGCGTAGGCTAGTAAGCGCCTCGGGTTGTGATCCGTTTCGACGAGCCGCCTTAGCCTCACCAGTTCGGAGAAAATATGCAGGATTCAGGATGCTCAATTTTGAGCTAATACTGCATCCGGTCAATATCCCTCATGATGGATTGCATGTGAGGTGGAGTCATGCATTCAGCAACAAAAGTGCCTTGTGGTTCCAATAAAGACCTACCTCCTGTGACCAAGGGCTGTCTGGCTTCGGGATCGCCGGGGTAGCAGTTCTGGACTGTTGGTTCCAACCTGTACTCACTTGCCCCCTGGGCGGCCTAGGTCATCCCGACCTGGGGTCGATGGTGAACATGCCGAGCACACCAAGACCAGTCGCTGAAGTTTCAGCCACCCAACAGGCAGATTCGAGTTGCATACGGGTCGGCAGTGCTTCGCATAATCTGCTGGCACCTCAATGGGGGGCGGGAAATGTATTATTACCGCATCACCAAGGCGCGCTGCAGCCTGGTAACTCTCCCAAACTTCCACCAGCCTTCGACTTTCTTTCTGTATCATCCTATCAATCGTTTTCATTGTCCATTCTACTACAGAACAGTAAACCAAAACGGCCCTGTCTTTGGCCATGGAAGATGTGGCCGCGCTCGATATTGCACTTGATTCCGTGGGGCTGGACGAGCTCAATAGTCCGGAGGCAAAGGCTTTGCTCGACACAATCGACAGCCTCCGGGAGATGCACGTTGGCGAGATTGTTAATCTGCCACAAATCATTGTCGTTGGGGACCAATCTTCAGGCAAGAGCTCCGTCTTGGAAGCCATTTCCCGCGTCCGCTTTCCCACCAAGGGCGGCCTTTGCACTCGGTTTGCCACGGAGTTGGTCCTGCGACGCAGCCCAGAGACCAAGATTGGGGTCAGGATTGACGGTGCTACTGGGGCTGGATCTGGCTCCTCTCAGCAGTTCCGTCGGATCAGCTTTGACAAGGATGCTCTCCCGGAGATCATCAATGAGGCCAAGGAGAAGATGGGTATTCGCGTCGGCAGCTCGAAGGGCTTTTCTAAAGACATCCTTCATGTTGAGATAGCCGGCCCGGATATTTACCCCGTCACTCTTGTCGACTTGCCAGGCTTCTTTCATGCTGAGACTGCAGATCAAACTCCCGAGGACAAGCAGCTCGTGAAGGAGCTCGCAGAGTCGTACATGAAGCAGTCGAAGAGTATTATTCTCACTGTTATCTCGGCCAATCAGCCCCTTGCCAACCAAATCGTTGTTGATGAGGCCAAGAGATATGATCCCAACAGAGAGCGGACGGTTGGCATCATCACGAAGCCTGACCTACCGGCACCGGGATCTGACGATGAGAAGAAGTGCCTCCAGCTCATCAGAGGCCAAGAGAGCAAGCACAAGCTAAAACTAGGGTGGCATGTTCTGCGCAATCGACCGGAGGGCCAAGAAGAGACGACGGCGGACGACCGAGATGCGGAAGAAGAGAAGTTCTTCCAGTCCGGCGCATGGTCTAGCATCATCCCGATGAGCCGCGGCATCACATCCCTGCGAAAGAAGCTCAGCAAAGTGCTTTTGCAACATATCCAGAAGACACTTCCTGGCCTGATTGAGGAGATCGAAAATGGCCTATCTGCTCGCCAGAGAGCCATTGAGCAACTTGGAAAGCCCCGCTCGAAACCAGATGAACTCCGAACGTATTTGCTAGAGATCGCCGAGCGGTTTCAGCGCCTTGCGCGTGATGGTATCGATGGCCGGTACGGTGACGAGTTCTTCGGCGACTTGTACAACAACCAGGGAACGCGAAAGTTACGTGCAGTACTGAGAGCATTCAACCGTGCATTCCACGCGACCCTGGTGTCCAAAGGTATGGATCGTGAGATTGAGTGGGACGGTGCAGAAGGCTTTTCGGTTGATGATGGCGCCTTCGAGTGGATTCAGAACGGACATGACGCGCCCGAATACATAAAGCCATTTCTTGATCTCTTCAAGGACTGTCCAGACCCCACTCGAATATCTGAGACGGAGCTTCGCAAGGAACTCGAAGAGCTGGCGGCGGCAAATCAGGGGACCGAATATCCCGGTTTGCCCAATGGTGATCTGGGATTCCAACTCTTCAAGATGCAAGCCAAACCTTGGGGTGGCATCGCGGACATTTACCTGGATCAAGTCGTCGATTTTGCCAAGGTCTTTGTAGAAGACCTGTTCATTCACATCATTGGAGCCGACAAGCAGACCACTAATGCTGTCTTGGTGCTCTATGTAAGCAGATTCTTTGAGGAGAGGCGAAAGCTGCTGAAGGAGAAGCTGCAAGAGATTCTCCGGCCATACGTATCTGTATACGCCCCCCCGCTTGACGCGGCGTTCCATGCAGCCCTCTCGTCCATGGTTACTAGACGGGAGGCGGAACGTGTTGTAAGCCTGCTTGAAGCAAAGTTTCCTGCAGCTTTCACCGACAAAGCTGGAAAGGGTCTCACACATGAAGAGGTCGAGGAGGCCATTAGCAGTGCTGGAGCAGCCAAGGCGAGCGAATTCGGTACGGACAAGATTGTTGGCATGACAATGACACACTTCAAGGTCCAGAAAACCGTCAGCGCAGTTTTTGATTAAGGCTAATAGGTGCTCTTAGATGTCTCTCAGAACATTCGCCGAGAATGTTGTGAACCTGGCTGTTGAGAACTGCCTTGTTTCTGACATCCCAGCAATCTTAACGCCGTCAACGGTGGTTCGAATGGATCAAGAACGACTGATTGAACTCGCCTCTGAGTCTGAGACCGTTCAAGCGGAGAGACTGGAACTTCAACTAGAAGCCAATATCCTCAGAGAAGGCCTGAAAAGGTGCCAAAGGTCCCGTCTACACGAGAGAACAGGTAGGTCGGCTCTGATCAACTATTAGGAAAGGCCAGTCGATCGTTACTTTACAGATGGTTAACAAGTACCTATAGTCCTTCCTAGGTCCTTCTTGAATACTCCGCCTTCAACTTCGGGTAGGCACTCAGCGTTGAGTATGTCCTCGTAACTGCCTACGAACCACAGACATCATTATTTGTGAGTTTCAAAGACTAAATTATCGCCAGCATCCGAAACGCCTAAGCAAAGTTCGCCTCGACCGAAAAAGCCGGCACAGCCATCATCCAGCTTGGCAGGGCAATCTAGCTCAGTGAGGCCCTCAAAAACCTCAACGCAAACGCTCTTTGCCAAAGACACAGGTTGCGGTAGACCCACGTCTGCACAGTCATCGAAAGCAGAGTCATCCCCCGCACCGTTCAGCAATATCTCCTGGAGTGACGTCTTCAGTAACAGCTCAACTCTCCCTAAAACAGACCGAGACACAACCAGAACTGCCGAGCCGACACAGACAACAGGTTTTGGTTCATTTGGAAACCCGATTTCCAGTAACAACGGCGCTGGAACTGGGTCCTCTCTCTTTGGCGCAAAGCATGCTCAAGCCTCAGTGTCCGGTGGCTCCACCAGTGTCAACACGCAATCCCGCGGCTTTGGCTCTGGGCTTTAAGGTCAGAAGCCTCAGCTGCTTAAGGCGTTCAACAATGCGAACAAATGTGTTACAGATTCGGAGGGCAGCTGCTCTGTTCCAGGACGAAGCGTGATACTTGTATACGAGAACAATGTGAACATGGTGAACTCAACTTTCCACCCCTGCGGCCGTTGGGACGAATATTGCTGCGGCTCAACTGTTCGTGAGTGTTATCCTTTTGGCCTCTCAAGTAGTTTCTCTAGATGATATCTGTCACGGACCAGACAAAAATGCCCGTAGATGCGATGCCGTGTGGAGCAAGGACCAGTGCGAACCAAGAGGAAGAGGGGCTCTAGTATTTACCAGCAACTACTTGTACGTGATAGAGCTAGAGCTCCCTCTTGTTGATTCTCCTTAGCTTTACAAAGGCATAGTAGAGCCCCCCTGTTGTTGATCAAGAACGGGACCAGCCCTTGACACTCATCGCCTTAGCTCCTAATCGAATCCACGTCCAAGGCCACTACTAATAACACCGTATCGCCCTATTTATACCATTGTAAATGGTAGTTCTCTCGGGATAGACGTTGCCACTTATAGCGATGTTTGCTCTCACCTTGATGCTAGTAGTTAGTTCGCCGACGACCACCGAATGCCAGCTGGCGTGTGTTTTCGCACTTTTTTTCGAGGGAAAATTTAACGACTGATCAGAGCAAAGGGCGGCTGCCCATGTATAGTTACTTCCTTGGAGGTACCTTCACCTCTTCTGCAGTGCCTGATACTGTAAATCGATTTCATTAGCTGGGCAGGCATCGTACAGGACTAGACTAGGGCGACGATGCGGCGTGTACGCAGATGTGTCTACGCCCAACTGAAAGCAGACACTGGGACATTTGATCCCGCCATAGCCGCCTCAACTGTCCAGACATGGAGGATCGGCTATCTGTGGCGCGTATCTACAACAATGGCATGCACTCATCTGCGGACAATCATGGCAGTGCACGAAGCATGTATGCTTGACACTTGAGGCAAGACACCAAATGCTTTCCCAGCGGCTGCCTCTGGAGTCTGGTTTCAGACGGAGGGGCAACTGCATCTGCATGTGACTTGTGCTGTGCCGTGCCGCAAAAGTAGCTGATGGGATGTGAGCAAGCATTGCCCGTGTGGGAACGACGGTGATTTGCTTAAACCAAGCGCGCCAAGTCGTCCTGAGGTTCTTGATCTGACCAATGCATTGCGCACTTCCGCTGACTGTATGCAACAATGTTCTTCCAGCCAAAGAATCCCAGCGTTTCTTTCCAACTCATCATTTCGGATGCACAACTATGGACGGCGACACTGATTCGCAAAGCCTGCTGCAATCTGTTCTTGGATTATTCGCTCGAAAACGACCGCAAAGTTCGGCCAGGGCGTCGTCACTGAGGACACGAGAACGCGAGGGCTGGCTACGGACGAATGCATTTGCAGCATTTCTACAGCGCGATGGTCTTGGCGAAGTTGGTCTAGAGAGCGCAGAGAGCGTTGCGCGGACTTTACGGGCATTTGAACATCTTGCTCAAGACGACTCTGATCGAAAGACAGATTTCGTAGGTATCCTTGAAGTGCAGCACGCGCCAATGTTTCAGTCTGCTGGCCTCTCACTTCCTGCCTACCAAGTACTAACGATAATTCGCGGAGCAGAGCTTCCAGCAACCCGGGCATGGGCGGTATCCGAACCTTCGCCGCATAATCGAGAATCCAACTCGCGGTCTTCATGCCGACCCAGGCACTGGCGTCGGCGTTAGCAAACGGGGAAGAGAATGCGATGATGCCATTCAGGAACTTTTGCAATTGGAACAGGAGAGGAAGAAGCGCCGAGTCCTCCCTCATGAGCAGCCACATCCTGTGTCCAATCTCGACGACCCCGATGCCGACTTTGCCGTGCTGATGAGGAGACATTTGGTGTCCTTGGACAATGCGTTGCGAAGACACTGGGTTTGCGTTTGCCAAAAGTGCTCAGGGTTGAGCGTGAGACTGTCACTGCCACAGCACAACAAGGGTCTCGAGGCTGTGGCGAGTTTCGAAGTATTCTTCGGTGTGCGGTCCTTACTTGCAACTGCATTGCAAGAAGCGAAAATCACGGTCAAGTAAACTCTCGGAGCTTTGTGCGACGACTTGTATTTGCTAACACTATCGGTGACAGAGACCTGCATAACAGCACATCAAGGCGCTTATCTGAGCCGCCTACACGTACAATGAGCAACCCGCCCGAGTTTGCCCACATATGCCAAAACATCACGGAGTCTCTCGGCCAGCGAACTTGCTTGCATCTCGCTCTCGAGGGTGGTACATTTCAAAGACTTCGCCCGCAACCAAAGACATTTGGTAGTGACCGAATGTCTCGGACAGTATCCTTGTCGGCATTGTTCAATCGTCAGCAAGAATTACTTGGTGGTGAAGCGGTACTACCACTCAAAGGGAAGCGAATCCTGGCTGTCACACTGGCCTCGGCACTTCTCCCCTTCTTGGAGACACCGTGGCTGGAGTTCTCCTTCAATCACTCCATACTCTTGTGCGAGCTTCACTATTGCACACCTGTGGAGCTGATGGCAAAGGACCCGCATGCCACCAGAAACGTTAATGATGATTATTATACCTGTCTCGATAAGCTTGAAGCTCTGGAAGCCGACGCTGGGATAGATTACTATCTCGCTACCAAGACATGTCTTACTGGGGAGTACTATCCCCTTGGTCAGCACGCTGGCTTCGAAGATGTGAGCGTTCAACGTCTCTTCTACCAAAACGTCGTCGAACGACTGGAGGCCGAGATCTTCAAGACGTGGGGCATTCGATTGGAAAACTTGGGTTCCTTCAATTCTCGACAGAATGATTCATGTTGGGGCTCTGTCGGTCGAGAAGTTGTCCGCCTCCATACAGGCAAGATCGATACCTCTGATGCAAACTATATAGCAAAGGCAATTCCGCATCGTTTAGTGTCTGACACCGCGCCCATGAGCCACGCATCCCTCCACTCAGATGTTGTGCTAGGCATGTCGGCACAAACTTGTTCGAGACCGCAAGCCCACGGATGCCTCGCCTCGCCTTCAGAAAAGAGCCTCTACTTTTTTGATGCAAGCCACCAGACGGGCCCTGAACGAGAGTGAGTCTCTCCCATTGCCTATAAGACTTCAATGTACTAATGACCTGCCAGGAATCCACTCTCGGAACGATGGATGGACAACCTGCTGTCCTCGATCTATCCCTATGTCGACCCTGTTTTCGACCTCGCTGAACCGGTGCGAATAGCAATTCTGGACTCCGGGCTCGACCCTGAAAGCCCATTCCTGATCGAGGATCAACAGTTAGTCAAACCACGAGTCAAGGAAGCGCGAACTTTTGTCCATGGGTCAGAACCGCATGATATTCGAGACGAGATTGGGCACGGCACTCATGCTCTTGGCCTCCTTCTCAAAGTTGCCTCAAGCGCTGAAATCTATGTCGGCCGAATTGCGCGACGAGAAACTCTGGACACTTATACCTACAATGACATTGCAAAGGCAAGGCTTTCTTTATACCAGAACAGACTTTTTGGACTCAGCTACTGACATGTGCAGGCCATCGACCACGCAGTTGACCAATGGAAAGTGGACATTATATCCATGTCATTTGGGATTCGCGAACATCACGAGTCCATCAACACAGCTATATCTAATGCACTGAATAAGCGGACCTTGTTGTTCGCAGCAGCATCCAATGATGGAGCAAATCTTGGCAGAGCTTTTCCAGCTCAGCATCGCAGCGTCTTTTGTATACACTCAACTGATGGGAATGGCAATCCCTCGCCTTTTAACCCTACAGCAAGCCGTACGGACGTCAATTTCAGTCTACTTGGGGAGAATGTCTCTTCTCACTGGCCGACTGGCATAGATGGACACGATCAGATTGTCAAAGTGATGTCAGGAACATCAGTCGCAACACCAATCGCCGCTGGCCTGGCCGCGTCGGTCCTGTCCTTTGTCCGGCAGCAGGATCAACATGTCGCTGCAGAAAATGAAAGACTGGGACCGTGGCTGAAAAGAGACAATTCCATGGATGCGGTCTTCAAGAGCATGGTCAAACAGAGGCGGGGGGCAGGCTACGACTACATCACGCCTCATGTGCTCTTCGATAGCGGCTTGACGAGGGAAGCGGTTTACGGGAGGATCAAGGATATCAAAAGGAACATGTATAAATGACAAGATCCGTTTAGCATGATCAAGCGGGGACGCAATAGACGTTGCCGTTCTCGGTCACATCGGGAACTACCTCAGCAGTCTTGATATCAGCTCCATCCACGTCCCCAACCAAAACACATTCATCATCCTCTTTCTTGCCGCCAATGGTCATAAAGGCGCCCTTGTTGTACTCTTCAAGCTTCAGCCTCCGCCCAAACTTGAGCCTCTTGACGCGGAACGCAAACACAAATTCCGACTCGCGGTTCGACTCTGTCGCATCACCATTCGCGCCAGTCCAGTAGCCTTTCGGGCCAAAGGTCATGCCCAGCGCGACCATGTCAATGCCAAGCTTCCCCTTGACCGTCGTGGTCTGTGAAGTCGAGTACTTGATCTGGGCGCCCTTGACGAGTTTCATGCCCGTGACGAGAAAGAGCTCGCTGACGAGTGCAAACTTCTGCCTGGGCTCTCTCAGCCATGCCTGGACGGCAGGTGCCTTGACAGCCTCTTCCACGTACACCTGGGTCGGCTCAAACGCCAATGTCGTCACCGTGTCGAATGCAAACGTATCTGCCGTTGTGTTTGAATGCTCAATGTCCACCTCGGGACCGAGGGCCAGTCCTCCGGTAGCCAGCTGCAGGAATTGGGCATAGACACCCAAACCGAGCCCTTTCTCGGCGAAAACTGTCTTCTTCCAGTCGGTCTCCACGATAGGTGGGAATGCATCAGCCACGGGAACTACGCTCGCTCTGTTCAGAGGGTATTGTGGTGCTGACGTGGAGCGGATGACAGACCCGAGACATAGCGGGCCCTTTGGTGGTGGATGTATGAAATCGGATGTCGGACACAGAAAATATGTCTTTGTAAAAGGCATCGCTTGAGGATACAAGGGCAGATACTTCCCTAGGGCCCAGCGAAATGATCAAAGGAGCAGAAGAAGGGACTGGAGCGGGTTGACAGACCGGAGGTTCGACTTCCACAGGCACTGCCCGGGGTGTAAACAATCACTCAAGTTCTCGACAAAAGTGTCCCCGGTCTATAACCCCCAGAGGCCCCGTCTTCTCACTCTTGACTCTTCTTGACCAATCAAGTCGTGTATGGTGACCTGGCCAGGTACAGCAGCCAAGCGGCAAGCCGCTGATCGCGAGTGGTCAGGGCGCTTTGTATCCGTACATGTGCCTCATGTACCGCTACTTCTGTCTGTGCCATCACGAGAAGGATGAGGCGGGGTAGGAGCTCCAGTCGGAACTCGGGAGCACCCTTGACACATTATTCCACATTATCGGACTCTTTATTCACTCAGGCCTCAGGATCGGCTCACTGTGTCTTTGCGGCACTCAGAAAGACTCACGACCACACGCATCGCGCCTTCCTAGTTCCCACCATGGAGCGTCTCGAGCGTGCGGGTGACGAGTCTTTGGAAGACGTCTTCCTCCAAGATAAACTGGGCTCGACCATCGCAGAGCATGCGGCACAATGCCAGTCTCTTTTCCACAAGTACATGGCCATGCCGGAAATGGCGCCAGACCCGACTATCATGGACGACCAGCTAGCACGCTTTTCTCTGTGGGCATCAAACATGGACGTTTACGGGCCGCTCAATGTCTCGCTGGACTACAGACTCCGATTCAGTCCCACAGCTACGGACATTATACATCAGCTCTTGGATATCATTTGCGATACTTTGCTGTCTTGTGGGTACTTTCCGCGCCGCATTCGGATCAATCGGAGATCAAGGTTAATCAGAGGCTCGACAATAGTGAAGCCAATCGACGACCGACCACCACCAATTTCGAGCAGGAAGAGACAACGCATTTCAGCACATGGCAATTCAGAGGTGCCGAAGAGAGCTGGCGACGCAAGCGGTTCAGAGAGCGATGTCGATCCAAAGGAAGGGAACATTTTGAAGATTACCCAGACAATCGGCGGAACAGTGACGCGGCTCTTCCGTTTGTCCAACGCTGTTCGAAAGTCCGCCAAAGCCAACCGGGCTCGTAAGATCGAAAGGTACATAGACGACCAAGAGGCAAACAAGGCCGTAGACGAGTTGCGTCTCTACACCAAATGCTATATTGAGTTCCGATTCCCCGAAGTGCCGCAGGCGCTCCGCTCGGCATTGGTCGAAGCCAACGCGCTGCGACTTCGACGGCTGTACTATCAGCGCTCCCATCGAAGGCGCATTGATATGAGTATTCAGAGCCCGGGAACGGCTCCAACCGTTGTCGAACACCTTAACATGACTGAGCGTGCGCCGGCTGTACGGTTTGCGCCTGTCGCGTTGCCAAAGCCTGCGTTGACCAACAAAATGCCGGCCCCTTTGCCAGCGCCAGCAACGAATGCGACAACAGCTCGACAAACTAACGTTGCGGCCTTGTACGCCAAGTCCACAACTGAGGTTCCCCGGGCTCACTCTGTTCTTGTGAACAGCAAGTTGTCGTTCCCTCCCCTACCGCCGACGCAGCAGTGTCCATACTGCGGCGTCATTGCCGAGTTCACAAACACTGCAAAGTCATTGCTGTGGCAGTAAGCAGAGCATGCCTGTCGTTTTATGGTGAAATCCGGCTGATATGCAGCAGAAATCATGTCATCAATGACCTGGAGCCTTTTATTTGCGTATTTTCACACTGCCTGGAAGGAGGTCACGACGGGCACGGGACCGGTCCGCTCACATTCGAAACGTCGAAAGCCTGGCTCGGCCACATGCAGACTGCTCACGGGCATGTATGGGAGTGCAGGGCCCCTTCTCACGATCCAATCGTCTTTGAGCAAGAGATACAGTACCAGGATCATTCCATCAAGGAGCACAGCGTGCCTGAAGCACACGCCGGGACCCTCAGCAACGCCGCACGGAGGCCAGTAATCGAGAAAGTGCTGGAGTGTCCTTTTGGCGACGATTTCCAACTCTCAGAAAAGGTCGAACCGAACTCTGTCTTCTTGAGTGAATCAGTCACATGTCGCAGGACGTATGAAGGAAATTGCTCTTCTTACACTGCAAAAGCTTCCCAGCGATGGTGACGAGCATGCGGAGAGCGTCGATAGCGACCAACTATCAAAAGATAATAGGCAGGCCGGGGCTTTTGGAATTGCACGTGTATCCATGTACAGCGTACTGGACGACGAGGACCTCGCTTTCCAACCTGGAGACGGTGACACTGACGCCGTAGATGTCAAGGTGGAACGTCGCGGAGAAGATATCATTGCAAAGGCGACAGTACTCGACCTAGAAAACAAAGACGACTTTGGAATGACGAAGCTTCACCACGCGGTGCAGGCCAGTGATCTGGGCATGGTTGAGTCCTTGATCCAGAGCGGCGCAATCTTGAGTTGTAGGGACAAAAATGGTCAAACACCCCTGCATTACGCTGTGGAAAGGGGCTCTCTCGAGTGCATCGACGTCTTGGTCCAGAACGGTGCGGATTTACATGTCAATGACACCTTTGGGTTTTCCCCGTTTCTCTGGGCTGTAGTTGCAGAGCAAAAAGACGTCGCTACGAGACTAGTATACATGGGTGCTGATGTCAATTCATGCAGCGCCGATGGAAACTCTGCGCTCCATTGGGCGGCCAGTTTGGGATGGGATCCGACTGTTCGATTTCTTGTTGAATGTGGTGCCAGCATATCTGATACCCGAAATACGCAGCAAACTCTGCCTTTGGAAGAAGCGGCAGCTTCTGGCAACCTTGCCACTGTTCAGGTTCTCCTCGAACTTGGTGCGGATCCGAACCATCGTGATCGTGATGGTTGGTCCGCGATACATTGGGCAGCAGAGGAGGGCCATGATGAAATTGTGCATTTGTTGCTAGAGGCTGGGGTCGAACCCGATACTCTCAGCTCTTCCGGTACGTCCCCGTTGCATTGCGCTGCAAACGGAGGGCATGTTGACATTGTGGACTTGCTTCTCTGGGGAGGAGCCTACCCACTCAAGTCAACATGCCACGGCTGGACTGCACTGCACCACGCCGCCTTCATGGGGCACTCCCATGTCGTCAAGAGCCTCTTGTACTACGATCACACAAGATCCGCTGCCTTTCATCAGGACATCCACGGCTGGTCAGTTCTTCATTTGGCCGTCCACAATCGAGATCTAGCCACCGTCCGTATCCTGCTCGACAACTCTGACATTGCAGAGTCTCTGACCCTATTCGACGAAAATGACCTCACCGCAGAAGACTGGCTGATTCGCGGGCCGACAAGCCATGCACATAAAGCTACCAGTGACTTGGCGTTCAAAAAGTCGCGCTGTTGCCGGGCCGTCACGGGCCTTCGCCAAGCTGTTATGATAGGCGACGTCCCCATGATCAGACTTCTATATAAATTAGGTCATAATATCAATAGCATGAGCTCTGGAAGGAGGACTGCGCTCTACTACGCCGCGAAGAAGGGCATGCTTTCCATCGTGGATCTGCTTCTTGACCTGGGCGCGGATCCGAACGTTCTCCCCGCAGGACGGAAGAGCTGGGAAGAATTCATTTCGACTGCTGACATTTTACTGCGGCTCAACCGAGCAGGATACTGTAAGCGAGATTCCGGCCCTGAGCTAGAGCGCCAGATTCGTCAGGCACTAAGAAGAGTGCACGTCTCGGACGAGGGGATTTCAGCAATTCCGGACCTGCCCGTCTACCAAAGGTCCCGACGACCGATCTCTTCTGCCCCAGAGCTTCGATGGCACAAAGCGAAGCGAGAGCGACGTAGTAGGACATCACTAGAAGAACATCACTCAAGGAGCAAAGGGGAAGCAGAGGCAAAGGCCCAGCCCTTTCATGACTAGATCGACAAATCGCGACGCACGCTTGATGCGTGCGAGAAAGACCTACTCCTGAAGCCTAAGTAGCTATTTCACCCGCTCACCTACCGGGTCCGTAGGCCCCCTCGGGAAGCAACTGCCAGAACAGCTAGTAACATGTCCACGGGCGCTCCGTGCTCAGTTGATTGTCCCTGTGCTGACCGATGAACGCGATACGGAGTGCGGCTGTACTACAAAAGGAGCAACTAGTCGCAAGCTCCATCAGTAGACCTCAAGGGACGTGTACTTTTTCAAAGCATCAACCCATCCCACAGAACACTCACAGCACATCTAGGCGTACCAGAAAATGGACAACAGAATAGTAAATACTGAGTAGTAAAGTCCTCTACTTTCCAGCAAAAGGAGCAATCCATCACAGACAGAACCCGGTCGACGGGGTCGGCGAGAAGAAGACGTACAGCGCCCTTGACCCGGATTTCATGGCCATTCCTCATATTCTCGTCTGGCGAGGGTCCCAACCCGATCGACCCCGTCTATTCCTCGTACTCCTGGTCCTCCTCTTCCGGATCATCTTCATCATCAGGCTCAGCATATCCCTCTTCGTCTTCTTCGTCTGGCTCCGGATCAGCGTCGTCGGCCAGTTCATTGCCATCCTCGTACTGTGGCTCCAAGGTACGCGTAGCATCCTCCTCCCCTTGCTCCTCCTCGTACTCGCCGCCATCATCTCCTGCAAAAGAGGCCATGCCCGTTCCTGCCAGCGCCCCGACCCCAACCCCGGCACCAGCAGCAGCGCCAACAGCAGCTCTTCCACCGCCTCCGCCGGAATCATCCGACTGACCAGGCCCACCACGGGAGCGGATCGGGTAGGGGGAGTCTTCTTGGAAACCCCTGTCTTCCTGGAACCCCCTGTCTCCGTCATTGCCTCTCCCTCCACCGGTGCCGTTGATGCCCGCCGAAGAAGCATAGTAGTCACCGGCGAGTCCATGGCTCTGGCCTGTTTGCGCTGGATCTACAGGAGCCCCTTGCAATGCTTCCTCTCCCTGCTCCTCCTCCTCCTCCTCCTCAATGGCATCATCAATATCCTGGTACGTCAAGTCCTCCTCGCCAAAGTCACTATTGACGGGTTCCTCCTGGCCTCTTCGCTGGAGACTACGGCGATGCTGGACCTGACGCTCCTTGACTTTCTTCAAGCCAGCCATGATGTTCTTGAAGGCGGGGAACCTGCGCTTCCTGGCCTTTGCCTCGTATGACGCTAGAATGAGCTTGAAGTCTTCCTTGCGGCCGAGTTGCACGGCCCGCTCCATGGCCCCCTTGTAGGCCTCCAAGGGAAGGTCCTCGCGCGCGAGCAACATGTGGATAATGTCGTGCCGCTCTTCGGTGTCCGAGTCGTCTTCCCATCTGCTCTCGCGGGCCACGGCGGCCGCAAGAGCACTACCATACTTGCCACTGCCACACAGGCTCTGGGTGGATATCTTGGCTCCTTCTTGTGCTTCGTCTTCCCCCTCTTCTCCCTCCACCAGCAGGTGCGAAACGAGTGCGGCGTCGCCCTTGAGCGCAGCGGCCTGGAGCACAGAGCCGAGCTTGCCGGCCGTCATGTTGGGGTCTGCGCCGCTCTCGAGAAGCAGGCGTGCATTGCGGTTGCAGCGAGCCAAAGCCGCCTCGTGCAGCGGTGTGCCGAGCTTGGCGTACTTTGAACCGGGCCCGGGGACGACTTTCAGTTCCAAATCCGCCCCTTCCCGCTCGAGCAGCTGGCGGAGACACTGATCGTCCTCCTGGACGGCCGCGGCGTGCAGGGCGCTGTAGTGCTTGCCGCCGTAGACGTCGAGCGCGACCTCGTTCTCCAGGATGGCCCGGACGCAGTCTGGCTCGCCCGAGGCCGCCGCGGCCTGTAGGACGGTGTGGTACTCGCCGCCCAGCAAGGTAGGGTCCGCTTCTCCCTTGGACAGGAGCAGCCGGCAGGTGGCCGGGTAGCCGTTGGCGGCCGCGGCGTGGAGGGCCGTACCGCGATGCTTTCCGACAATGTTGACGTCGGCGTCAAACTCGAGCAGCACCTGGACGCAGTCGTCGTCCCCCAGGGCGGCGCAGACCATGAGGGCCGTGTCCCCGTCCTCGTCCTGGTAGTCGACGCTGGCCCCGTTCTCGAGGAGCACCCGGACGTACTTGGCCGGCAGCGTCGAACAAGCGTTGATAAGCGGGGACGCCATGCTGGGCCCTCCCACCGCGTTCGGATTGGCCCCCTTGCTGAGCAGCAGTGCCATGAGCTCGCCGTAGGCACAGTAGGTGGCCGCCGTCAAGGGATTCGACAGCCACCCGGCGCCGTTGTTGGGGTCCGCGTTGCGCGCCAGCAGGAGGCGCGCGACGTCGATATCGCCAACCATGCAGGCCTCTTGGAGGGCACTGCCGCCACCCGTGACACGGGTGCTGTGGCCGTTGATCTTGGCCCCGTTGTCGAGGAGCAGCGCGACAATCTCCTTGTGACCGTTGGCCGCCGCCATGTGCAAGGGGTAGCCCGCTTCGGCCTCTGGATCTGCGTCGTGCTGGAGGAGCAAACGTGTGATACCTACCGTGCCATCGTAGGCCGAGGCCGTGAGGGCGTTGCCGTATTCGTCGCCTGTCGCGTTGGGGTTCGCGTCGCAGGTATCGAGGAGGAACTGGACCATGGCCTCGTGCTGCGCGTCCGTGGCGACGTAGAGGGTGGCATCAACATCCTCGCGGGAGAGTTGATTCGTGTCGCGCGCCGCCCAGAGCAGCTTCACCGTGTCCTCCTGGCCAAACGCGGCGGCCTTTCGGAGCGCCTTGCCCAGAGGCAGCGACTCGGACTGCTCGAGAATCGCGGTGAGGACGGCCGGGAACCCGCTGGCCGCGGCGTGCTCCAGGGCGGCGCCGCGCGAGTCGAGGTCCTCGTCCAGCGCCAGGAGCGACGTGACCATGTTCATGTTGCCCGTCGTGGCCGCGGCGGCGAGCGCGCTCTGGTAGTCCTGGGAGCCTTGCTTCGGGTCGCTACCCTTGTCCAGCAAGTCGGTGACGAGCTCTTGGTAGCCCCGGAGGATGGCGGCGATGAGGGGAGACTCTCCGCTGTCTGCTGTCAGGGTTATGTCGGCGCCCTCGTCGACGAGGAGCTTGGCCGCCTTGCAGGGCGAGCGTGAGCGGCGTCCCCTCCCCTTCGGCCATGGCGTTGATGTCTGCCTTGCCTTGGTGACCCTCGTGAGCGAGGAGCATCCGCATGACGTCGAGGCGACCCTCGCTCGCCGCCATGTGCAACGGGGTCCACGCGCCCGTCTCGAGGCCGTTGTTGATCGCGGCGCCCTTTTCCAGGAGCCGGACGCACACGTGTGTGTGGCCTCGAGCCGCGGCCCAGTGCAGAGGTTGGTTGTCCCAGCTGTCGAGCTGCTGCATCTCGTCCCCGTGTCCGTGCTCCAGAAGCGAGTTGACCAGAGGGAGCAGGCCAAAGAAGGAGGCGACATGGAGCGCCGTCAAGCCCCTGAGCTCGCCCTGGCCGTCTTGACGGGCAAAGGTCCCCCACCAGCGCCTTCGCGCGGTCGAGTCGAGGGACCAGAAACGCTGCGACATGTCGAGCGAGTGGACAAACTCGGGCGTTGCGTCGTATCCGTGCCGTAGCCAGTACTTGAGCGGGTACACCAGAGCCTCCTCGTCCTCGTCCATGTCGCTCCCGCTGTCGCTCTCCGAGGGTGCCTCCATGTCTTCAAACAGCTGGTCGATCTCGGCCTCCTTCTTGTCGACGACTGCCTTGGTCCTCCACTGCATAATCATGGCGTCGTCCTCGTCGTCCTGCGCGAACCGGGACATGATGTAGGAGAAGCACCGCAGGCCGACGATGCCGTGCTGCCACTTGAACTCGGTGCCACTGTCCTCGCCTCCCTCCTCGCGGTCGCCGATGCCCAGATACTTCGCAAGCCCTGGTTGCTCCAGGGCCGTCCTGGCGAGTGGGTGGATGAAGGAGACGCAGGTCTCCTGTGGCCAGTAGCCCAGGGCGTCGACACGCGCCTCCATAGTGCTGACCCTGAGCAGCGGCCCGCAGGCCTTGATGTGCTCCAGCACCCTGTCCTCGACCGAGATGCCCTCGGGGCGGTCTTCATCTTGGAGATCGGCCATGATGGCCAGCTCCTGGATCGTGGGATCTTCGTACGAAATGACGAGGGTGCGGAGGATCTCCCTGACCACTTCGAGCCCTTGCTTCTTGCTGTCGCCAAGCACGTGGACCCAAGCTTGCTCGATCAGCATGGACACATCCTGCGGCAGCAGCTGCAAGGCCTCTCGGACACTGAAGAATGTCGCTGGGAGCTGCATGAGCAGGCTGCAGACCACATCCACCCACAGCGTGCTGCTCTCCGCCCTTTTGACGAGGCTGCTAAAGACAAACTACTCGAGGGCCAGGTTGTACCCCTTGGCCTGGCCGAGCGCCTTGACCCTGTCGCGCGTGTACGTGGCCAGGAACTGGAGCTGTCTCGCACTCCGGGAGCTGCTGTTCAGGTCGATCCGCAGCAGCGTGTCCGTCTCGAGGGCCTTCCTGATATCGGGACGATCGCGGCTAAGCAACATCCACTTGGCCTTGTCGCGCATCGCGTCCCCGTCGGGGCCGTCCTCGCCCTGGAGCATCTCGGACAGGCAGGTCAGGAACTCGGTCCTCGATTCATCCTCTGTGAGCGAGTGCACGTTGGCAATGACAAAGTAGACCTCGTCGACGGACTCATCCTGGAGCATCTCGGCCAGCCCCCTCCAGAGCTTGCCCACGCTGACGTTGCCGCCAGCACCGCCTCCGCCTGGGCCCCGGGACGAGGAAGGGGCTTTAGCGGCGAACATTTTCACGTACTGCGCCAGGTCCCGCCTCTGGACAATGAGCTGCCATAGGAGCGACTTGACCACGTTCTCGGCAGAGCGACCCTCGGTACTCGGGTCGCAGAAGAAGTAGGCCAACATGATACTGCCCGTTGAGGAGGGATCTCTCTCCGTCGCGCGGACGAGGTCGTCTCTCTTGGTCCGGAGCACGTCAATGGCGACCGCCGCCGCCTTGGACTTGCCCAGCCCCTGGTGCCCAGACACCCACAAGCATGATGGCGTAGGGGGATCCTGGCGGGCCCACCGGACAAAGTCGGGCTCCTCGCGTAGCCAGCGCGAATCACCGCTCAAGTTCTCGACACTCGCCAGCTTCCTCTCTGCGTTGACCACGTTGAGACTCTGGACGAGGCGCTGAAAGGTGGCGTCGTCGACGACGGACTGGCGCGACGCCCGCAGGCGGGCCTTGACGAGGGGCCCCGCGCCCTGGACACTCTCCCGGATCCAGTGCAGCACGTACTTGTACTCGGCATCCTTGGCATCGTCGAACCGGTTCAGCTGGCGGTGGTTGCGGCCAAGGCCATACTGCTTGGCGTGCGACAGCGTCGCCGAGGCCTGCGAGACGACCATCTCTCCGCGTCCGAGTCGGGGCGCCCCCTTGAACCTCTCCTGCAGATAGTTGGTCGGCATGAGCTCGTAAAGACAAAAAAGGGCCGGCCGGGGCGCCAGCCTGGCCGTCAGCCGCGCAAAGTCCTCGCGCAGCTCGTGGAGCGAGTCGCGGTTCGGGTCCAGCGTCTGCAGCATCTGCGACTGGTACCCCTTCCCGTTGAATTTGGCCAGCAGGCCAGCCAGCAGCATGCCCCGAAACGACTCGGGCGCGCCGCCAAAGGGCGTGCCGAAGAAGAGGGCCCCCGCGAAGCAGTGCAGGATGCGCGTGTAGGCCATCTCCTCGGGCTGGGCCGCCGCGAGCGTCAGCGCCTTGGCCAGCACCAGCCCTCCCATGCTGTGCGCGAGAAAGACGATGGGTCGCGTCGGCTCGTCTTGGTTCTTGTCGCCACGACGCTGCGCCGCGAGGCTCACCAGGAACAGGCTCGCCACGTTGTACAGCGTCTGCTCCTTGGCGTCGGAGCCGAGCCAGCGCGAGTCGTAGTGGTATAGCATGATCCGGGCGCCCGGGATCGCGTCGGGCAGGCCTTCCTTGGCATCCTTGAGCCAGTGAAAGTCGGTCGTCTCGGAACCGAAGCTTTTGGCCGGGTCGGCCCCCAAGCCGGGGACAGCAACGATGCTGGCTCGTCAGCTCAACTAAATTCTCAAGAGTCAAGGGCCACACATTCGCTCTGCTTACTCGACATTGATACTCCTCTCCGTTGCGTTGTTTGTATTGGTGTCCGGATAGAGAACCTCCATCATGGTCGGCTCTTGCAGACTTACACCCAGGCTCTTGGCCCAGCGTGGGAATGAAGATTTTTTTATTTTCCCAACGCACTAGTCGTTGAATAGATTTGTAAGTAAATTATACGACGACAGGTGAATCTAGCCAAGCCCCGGGGCAGACCTTGTTAATAAATGTCGAGGCTGTTTGCGCTCGAGTCTATTTCGAGATGCCAGGGTCCTCCTCTAGCGCCTATCATCAGCCCTACGGCTATGAATTACTATCCCCTGTCCAATGGAGCGGTGGTCGGGTCTAGACTCTGGCATCCCAATTTATCCAAAGTGGCCGCATCTGCAGTCAGCCGTCACCGACAAATAGTCAAGTATAAGCAGACGGAAGACATGGACCACGACGCAATCGGCACACTGTCTGGTGTCGAGGCTGACGGGACGTCTTGCTATACCATGAGACATGCCATGAGACATGGATAGATGGTAATTCCCGATAGTGCTCGCGATGCTTCGAGAAGCCCATGCAGTGAGAACCAAAACCCTTTCAGCTGAGCAAACAGACCCCTGTCGGCGGTGCGAGGTGTATGGGCGGGGGTGGGCGGGAAAGATGGAATATGGAAAAGTCGACTAAAATTAGCAGACGATAGGCTACAACTTGATGATCACTACTTTTATCTTTTTACACGTGACGGTGGTAGTTTTCATGGCTGGCGGAATCTCTTCTTGTTGCGGACGTGCCATCAAGCAGAAGGTCTCCGAACAGGGAATCCGGAAGGACGCCGGCGTGCATTTGTGATCAGCGTCATAATTAGCCCCAGTATGAAGCGCTACGCTACGCTACGGTCCGTACAAGTTGCAGCAAGGCGAGGCATGGGGGGCACTGATTGCTTGCATCACAGCCATACCTTAGCCTCAATGACCTGTCGTGGCCTACTCGCTCCTCATACTTCTGAATCAACCACCAAGTGAAGGGGCACCTCATCATGACCTCTCGCGCGACGAGCAATCGACCGCCCCATCTGTCTCGCGCAATGATTTGTACATAGCCATTCCTTGCTCCCTACCCTTGGAAGCCGACGCAGGGCAGATCAAAGTCAGGCACCGGCCACAGGGAGGGGCTGCCCCAGACGTACCTATCACTCTACATGTAGACGGCAGGATCATTTTTCCGGTCACCACACCACCGTGAGATGAGCACCTTTGTCAGGCAAGGTTCATTCCACTACTCAATATTGAGTACAACGCTACTGTTCCTCAAGAGCACCCCCAAGCCCCATAACCCATCACTCCCAATATCCCTCTACTATCTTCACTAGATCATCCGCCTGGTTACGCTCTTCGCGTTCCTCAGCAGAATTGTACCAGCCAGCGAGCTCAGGGACATGGTGATAATCTGGATGGGATGGACGAGCGGCAAAGAGACGGGCTTCCATTTCTACTCGTCTTGTAGTTAAAGTAAGAATATTGATCCATATTCGACTCACCCTGTTCCTCGATCTCCACAAGGCTCTGCCGACCCGTAAAAGCCGTGGACGGGATGCGGTGAAGGAAAATAACTTCATCGGCCGAACGTGGGTGACGAATGTTTAATTTGGTTGTTAACTTTGCCGTGTCGAATACGTCAACATCCGTCGACAAGTTCGCTGTGTCTATCTCGTAAACGCAGACCTCGCCGAAGGAGCCAGCGTCCCGCGTTCTGTCTCGTTGCTTCGCCCACCTATGGGCATGCTGCTTGGAGCTGAAGGCCGATATGAAGCAGCTTAGTTTCTAGCAAGCCCAATTCAAATGGGTTTCGGCCGCATGCTTTAATGTCGACTCGTTGGAGATGGGTCGAGTGTGATCGGACGCAACTAAATCTCTGCTCTCAGCATCCCACCGAGACTGGGACGTAGGATGGGTCACCAGCTAGAGAGCTCGGGGAGGATTGGTGCACTTATAGGCAGAGAGATCGAAGTTGGCAGCCTCGCCTAACGGCCTGGACGTTGCTGGTGGTTCCATGGACGGCACGAGGTCTGCAACAACAAATGCCCCAAGTGGTATTGAAGCTGTAAGGCATCGACTTGCGGGTTGGGCATCACGAGGATTTATGCGCGTCGTCTTGCCATGTAGCTTCTTTATCGAATCGTTGAAACTTGACGTCATGGGACGCACAGCTCGTTTAATACACAGACTACTCCCTTGTCGCCCCCAACTACTAGTAGAGAAGGCGTGGTACCCCCTTCGACACTTGACATTATCTAAGGACATTTGTATAGGAGCTCGTATACCTCAACTAGCACTTGGACAGCCCGAACCGAGCGGGGAGTCGCGCCTCTTCCGCTTTTCAACAGGAATGTGTCGCGCTCACAGCCCGCTCATCCTACCGGCAGATGCCTTCCACCAAGTGCGGTGGGGTACAGATGGCATTTCATGCACCAGGTTCGTAGCCGCCATCTCGCTTGCTGTATTGTGCGGTGGCATCTCATGGTACAATGTCCCCTGCCGCGGCGACGTGGCAGCGTAGAGCTCGGATGGGGGAGGGGCAACCATGTGTGGTTGGGACACGGACGGCGGTGATTGAGTCGGGGATGGAGTCGAGGTCGAAAGGGTAAGGGTTGGCTTGGGAGAGTATGCATCTGCCTCGTGGATGGGCCTTGTCGTCGTTGGAACATCTGAATCCTTGGCCTCGGCCTGCTGCTGACCGACAGAGGTATGATCCGTGGTAGTCGGCAGTGTGCTCGTCGTGCTCTTCCTTCTCCGTCGCATGTAGAAGACCATGTACCCCACAATGGCGAGAGCTAGGAGGATAATTCCAAGGACAATGGCCGCAATGATCCCGGGATGCAGCGAGCTTTCGCCTGTTTCTTCTCGAGTCTCAACTTGCGTCTCTTCAGGAAGCAGATCATCATCCGTTTCTGTAGGACCCAACGTCCTCCTCGTCGTTTGGCTTCCAGCAAAATAAGGCGCGCAGTACTCCAGTGCGTACTCGCCCGTGTACATGTCTGCAGCATCTCCATCAGTCCATCTGCACATGCGGGACAATCAACGTGAAAGAAAACCCACCTGCCATTTCAAAAGTGCCACAGAGCTCGAACGCTAGGCAAGTGTAGAGATCCGTGACTGCCCCCATGTGGCTGTTGTAGATATCGAGGCTGTCCGTGCACTGACAGCTCAGGTCCTCCAGCGGGCACCCGATATCGTCGAGATATGCGACGTAACAATCGCGCATGCATTCTGGTATGAGGGCAAGGTCTCCCATCTTTGCGTACTTGCTTGCGCAATGCGTGCAAGCTCAATGGGGATGAGTGAATGATGATGAACAAGTCGAGGTCAGCTCAGCGACCGGGAGGTGGTGGAAGACCGCGCGGTCGTCAAGGCACGTCTGCCCTTGTTGGAGCTGAAAGCCTTTCCTGCAAGCCCAGCCAAAGCATTCTTCCCAATGGTTTCCATCCGGTGCGGATCTAGACCGCGAACGTTTTCTTGCATGGTGATGTGGGAGAGGGGAGCTGCGCAGTGTCTACGGGTACGGGTACTCCGTACTCACAGTCAGATTCGGTACCACCCGGCAGCTGAGCTTATAATGTCTCACCATGCCCCTTTTTTGCATCTTCAGCTTGGGGCAATGGGGCAGCTCGACTGGTCGAGAAGAACAATGTCGCCGAAGAGAGCGGAGATGCAGCAGCGCCACACCGCAACCGTGTCTCAGTCTAGCCACCCTAGTACACAAGAGTCACCTCTTGATGAAAGGGGACTATTTAGTCGAACTTGACCCAAACGTGATGGCCTATTACTACCCATTCCACTTTCACAGTCCTTTCCATTCTGCCTTCCCCTCTCCTCGAATAATCATCCGCAAACCAGCAGCTGCCTAAAGTGTCGCCATGGGCTACCCTTGACAGCGTTGGGAGCTACCATGCCGGCACTCCCCAGCGGGCGCCTCGAATCCTGCCGTCTACGGTCCTCTTGATTGACATTCAGACGTCCAGCCTCGATATGCCTGGCCTGGGCCATAATGAACAGTGCCTGGAGTCTCACCTCGCTCTCGCTGTCTGGACGACAGCCGCCGGGTCGTTATGAGAAGTCGAGCCATGCTTTGCGGAAGTCGGCATCTAGGATGCTATGCAGCTTTTCCGCAACTTCCACTCCCTGTTGCTGTGGGCCCTAGTCAGCGCTCCTAGAGACTCGGCGAACATGGCCCGAATTCTCTGCGATACATAATTGATCATCAGCAGCATCTCCTCCCTTTGGCGTGCCGTGGCCATGGCCACCCGGAGTGCCTAGAATTTATCTCCAGGAGCTTCGTACTCTTCTTTCTCCGCAGTGCCCTCTTTTTCCGAGACACACACCGCTTCAAAGGGCTCAAGACGTATCGCTTCCTCTGCCGTTTCCGACAGAGCGATGGCACGTTGAGGAAAGCACACGCTATAATGTGCTGTTTTTCCCACAACCTTTTCGAGAAGCTTGGCGGAAGTTTTCCTAGCCTTTGAATGGAGTAGAGTGTTTGCATCTCTTAGTGGGCGAGCAATGGACTCGTTGTGCGAACCAAGCTGCAGTTGGTTGATAGCACGTGCACGCTCCCTCGTATGGGGGTTCCATCGGAGTCTACTCCGCAAATCCGTAGTAGGCAGTGCTTGGCCTATTACGGTGAGCATCTGGATGGCTATCAGATTGAAGCGGCATGGCTCCTGGTCTTTGCCTGTGAGGAGCCAAGCGCGGCACCATCGGTGCAGAAGAAATGTGCATGGAATACGAGTTGCCGTTGTCGTCGCGCTGGATCAATGAACAGGCTTCCAGAATAGAGAGTCGTCTCTCGATATCATGAAAGTGCACATTCACCTGGAAAACAAGTGCCAGCCAGCTCTCCAACAGCGGCATTGCCATGATCTGTTTCTGCGGATAGATTTCGTTCAGATGATTGGGAAGGATGTCTTCGTCGTGGAAGAAGCTGAGGACCGTGAAGATATCGCACGCATGCGGGGACCGGCTCATGACGGCTGAAAAGGATGCCTCCCAGGTTTTCATCATGTTCGGGCCATATATGTCGATCATTTCACGTGGCTGCTCTTGGAGCAGCTGATCGAGACGCAGTTGATGTTCGTCGATATCGGGCAAGGTTGGAGGAGAGTCTCGGTGTCTGGGAAATGTACGACCCAGCAATCGAGACACCAAGGGCTAGGCAGCCGAAATCACCAACGATGAGTCGGGCCTCGGCTTCCTAGCTAGCTCTTTCGCCCCGTGTCTTGGCGCACCGGAAGAAGAGCTCGACCGCTTCCTCGAGATGGACTTCTCCAACTTCAACTCCTTCGAAGGTCGAGAGGTCTTTCACGAGAACACTGCGACTGGTGATGATGATGTAGACGTTTGGGCTGTTTGTGCACGTAATCGCAGCTGATGGAAGCAAAATCCCCAGCCTGGATCCAGAGTGTCGAGTCTTAGGTGCTGTAGTGTTGCTGTACGAAGCTGCGGGCGAGCTGAGACTTCCCGACCCCTCCGGAACCCCATATTCCGACGACCCTGACCTCGCTTGTGCTGCTGCCTGCGTCGCGTAAATAGCTGGTCTCTGATCTGCTTCTGAAGCGCGGTTCGCTGCACAAACGTCTTGACTGGCTCTGTGGAGCTCTGTGGGTAGCTCGGGATCCGGTATGCCCGTTGTATTACTCGAGGGGCCATGCAAATCTTACTTCCCCTGAGTGGTATCTTGTTTCTTGACACGTGAGGGCGAAACAGGTGGGACTCGGCCATGGACCCGTGACACTCCTCGCAAAGACCGGGAAGGGTTCGAAAATAAGCATGGAATGGTTCACGAACTGCTTAATGCATGTCTTGTGAGCTTCTTGATCTTTCCACGAACATTGTCTGCCCTCGGTTGAGTGATAAGATGAGGCGCGCGTCGTCTTCCATTGTGTTGAGGGATTGCGAGGCCAAGAAGAGCGCCTGTTGTATTGACATTGCGACGAGATGAGATGAGCTGCCCGAAAACTCAATCTCGGTTTTATGTACTGACCTGTTTGATGACAAGACCGCCTAGACTATGTCCAGTAAAGATCAATGGATGAGTCAGTTCCTGCGATAGTAGTACAAGCTCGGTGGCTACAGTACACCGTTGGGCTGGGCCACACGGAATGATGTTGCTGTTCCTGGGCTTCCTGTCTCTGGTTGACAAGACTACTTACTCAGCAGCGACGACCCAAGACCCCTGATACGAACCCAAGTTGGTCTCAAATCCGGCGAAATGTCCGCATCATAGCCAAACGTCATGATCCAGGCATCTTGTAACATGCGTCCGGAGCTCCCATGGCCAGAAAAAATTGGACTCGTCGTGTCTCCACGTCTTCTCGGGGTCCCCGTTGAGCCCGTGGAGGAAGACATCCAGTTGGCCGTTGTCACCGTTGTACAGAACAGTGATGCCTCTGCGTCGGACTTGAGGGCCTGAAGACTGCGCCAGACTATTATCTGGCTATGTCATGGTGAGCCATGGTGCCGAATCGTTGATTTTCGAATCAGGCACTTCCTACCATTGTTCAGAGGCAGAGGCAGACACACGGGCTCCGATGTTTGATTCGATGGTATTCCGTGGACGGAGAGACCTACAAGGCCATCAGCACAAGCACCCACTGCCAGGTCAAGGACGTAGACCTTGATGGCGGGGCCTGTTCCAGCCGCTCATTGCCAAGAGCTGTTCTTAAGCGGCTGAGGCAGGCTGTACTAACACCTGGCCACTCGGCAGCGAGTTTGTTATGCAACAAGGGGCCGGAGGGCCAAGCACAGTACATGAATACCGCGAATTATACTACAGCACTCGGCGCAATTCGAGCACGATGAGCTGGTCGCCACTCAAGCAATCTTCTTGTCGGTGTTAAATATCTATCGCTGTTGACTTATCCTTTGTCGGGTACCGAATGTCAGGCACAGTATGGGGTGAGGCCAGCGTCACAGCGTGGGTCTAGGGCCTGGTAAAGGTAGATGCTTCATAGAGTCGGGAACTATGGTTGACGTTGCATGTTAGACTTTGAAGCCATCGCTATTGGCGCTGGAGGTAATTGGGCACCTTGACCTATACTTGCTTGCCGCTACGAACGTAAATTCACCATTGACCGTGTCATCATTATATGTACGTAGTATACGGATATTACGTACCTGACTTGTGTGCTTGTAGCAGACGCATGACCAGCCTCTCGGGCTACGTAGTACTACCCCTAATTCCCGGATGCACCGATTGGTCGATGCTATGCCACCCGGAAGTACGGGACCCCAAACGGATGCATCTCGCGCACGGCATTGCTATCAGCACCGGCTTTCCGAATACGACTCGCTCGCTTCGTTTCGTTTCGTTTCATTTCGGGTTCGTACTCGCAACGACTAACTACTTACACAGAGCGACAGCATGACTGCGAGGCCAACAAGTGCAGAGAATCCCCGCGAAAGGCCCTCGAGCAGCTTACAAACCTCGGCATTGATTCTGGTGACTTGTTGGTCTACGTAAATCGCCGGCTCGGGTGCCGAGAGAAGAAGTTTAATAATCCCCCTGGTGCCAGGTGGTGTATAAGTATGGATCAAGATCCAGCCTCGTGCCATCACGTGGTGGATTTGGGGGGTCCAGCGACTGGACCCGCACCTTGACATGCCGTGACGTAACCGGAAAAGCTTCAAGTACCAGACACGTCTATTCTCCAGGCGCGGGTAAGCAAGCACCCTGCGGCACCCACGGAGTCCGGGTGCGTCGCCAGTCGTATAATCAACATCACCACCCGTGGCCGTCTTGTCTCCTGTCTTCTCCCCCCTCTTCATTCGAGTCTCGCCCTGCACATCGAGTACGGCTGCCGCGCAGGCCAATGCCCCGGTCACCATGAGCTCCTCTGCCGACCTCGTCGCCAATGGCGTCGATCGCCACGACCATGTCTTGCGTCCGAGACCGCGCAAGCCCCAGCATTCCGCCGTCCGAGCCCTGTCGCGCGCCTCCTCCGGGGAGAACATGGACGGCCAGACCCCCTCGTCCGCCGCCTTCGAGAACGGCTCCGCCAGCGGCCTCGCCAGCGGGCGCTCGACACCCGTCCCCGAGAACGCCCCTCCCTCCGTCAAGAGCCTGTCCAGTGCGCGCAAGCAGGCGCGTGCTGAGAATCGACGCAGGAGGATCTTCCCGTCGACCGACTTTGAGTCCCGCGTCTCGCATTTCGACCCCGAGTCCGATTATAGGGACTTTCACGGGTTCTTCAACCTCTTCTGGATCGGCCTCTTCATCATGGGCATCACCACTGGCCTGAGGAACATGAAGGACACGGGCTTTCCCTTGCGGTTCCAGATATGGACCCTCTTCACCATCAAGCTGTGGCACCTGGCCGTGGCGGACGCCCTCATGGTGGGCTCGACCATTGTCAGCTTGGGGATACACTGGATGTCGAGAAATGCCCCGGCCAACGGCGTGCTCGCCTGGAAAAAGGGTGGCATGGCGCTGCAGAGCATCTACCAGGTCGCCTGGTTTGCCTTTTGGGTCTTCCTCCCCTTTTACCTCGACTGGACATGGACCGCCCAGGTCTTTTTTCTTCTCCACACCATGGTCCTCCTCATGAAGATGCACTCCTGGGCCTTCTACAACGGCCACCTCTGCGAGACGGAGAAGCGCCTGCACAGCCTCGACAACCACAGTCGCAACAGCCCCTCCGACCTCCGACCGGCGTACCTGTACCCCAGCGCCGAGCGTCCCGAGCCCACCACCGCCCCCAAGAGCCGCGTGAGCCTGTCAGACGAGGACAATGAGAAGAGCGCCGATGAGCTCGGCACCCTCCGCGAGGACCTTGCGCGCGAGCTCACCTCGCCCATCGGCAACGTAACCTACCCAGCGAACCTGACGCTGGCCAACTGCGGCGACTACCTGCTGTGCCCGACCCTCTGCTACGAGATTGAGTACCCACGTCTCGAGCACCGGAACTGGATCTCGCTCATCTCCAAGATCATCGCCACCTTTGGCTGCATCTTCCTGCTCACCGTCGTGTCCGAGGAGTTCATCCTGCCCGTGCTCACCGACGCCGCGCAGAAACTCCACCCCGTCCTGGGCGCCCCGCCCCCCATGTCCGAGTCGCTCCTCATCCTCCTCGAGAGCATCTCCTGGCTGCTCTTCCCCTTTATGCTCACCTTCCTCCTCGTTTTTCTCGTCATCTTTGAGTACGTCCTCGGCGCCTTCGCCGAGATCACTCGCTTCGCCGACCGTCACTTTTACTCCGACTGGTGGAACTCGACCGACTGGATGGAGTTTTCGCGCGAGTGGAATATCCCCGTCTACTCCTTCCTCCGTCGCCACGTCTATTCCGCCTCGCGACCCCATCTCGGCAAGTCCAGGGCTACAGTCATCACGTTCCTCATCTCGGCCGTCGGCCACGAGATTGTCATGGCGTGCATCACAAAGAAGATTCGAGGTTACGGCTTCATCTGCCAGATGATGCAGCTGCCCATCTTCATGATGCAGAACACCAAGTGGGTCCGCGGCCGGCAGACTCTCAACAATGTCTTCTTCTGGGCGAGCATGATCCTCGGCCTGAGTCTGGTGCGTTGGTCCTGTCAAGCCGCCTTCGTCTGCAGCATAGCTAACAATCACAGATCTGTGCACTCTACGTGCTTGTATAATTACACTATGCATTTACATGCAACATATACGGCGTCGAATTGACGAAATCATGGTCGGCAGCTTGAGGGCTGTCGAAGTTGGATACTTAGATATGGACACGCAAGATAAGGGTTCCGGTAGACGTTGTATTATAGTCTCTTCTCATTACTTTCTCTCATATACCCCTGGAGCAGCGTCTCCATGCAATTATAGCTCATGCTTTTTATCAATGTCATTATTCAACAAATTCTGCTTCGCTTTGTGTGCCTTGGATGTCGAGGATGTCTCGATTATATGAGTTGATGACCACCAGGATGAGGCTGTCGCCATACAATGCAGTACTTAACCGGGTCAGTCGCTACGTTAGTGCTTTGGCAGGAAGAGTGAAACAAGTTGCAACGGGCTGGTTCTTGAAGTGCGGATTGGAAAAGATCACCATCACGACTAGAGAACATTGTGTCGGAACATGCATTTATTCTACTTCATCTTCGTTGCTAAAGTACATTGATGCATTACGGGTGCAAATGCCCCCTGGTTCGATATCGCAAACTCGTAAAGATCCGTGTCCTCATTAAAAAGAAAACCCAACCCTGGCCTAACTCCAAAGACTTTTCATTCGTCGGGGTATCAGCATTTAGTCAACCTCCTCCATGGCGCTGTCACCGGTGGCGGCGGCAGGGGTATCAGCGGCGGTGGCACCGGCAGGGGGGGCATCGTCCTCGTCAATGCTGAGGCCAACGCGGACGAGGCGGTGGATGCGCTCGGCGAAGCTGTTGGGCTCCTCGATGGTGAAGCCGGAGACAAGCAGCGAGGTCTCGAACAGGAGAGTGACGAATGATTTGACCTGGGAGTCGTTCTCGCCGTCGCTCTCAACCTTGTTCTTGAGCTCCTGGATGATGGGAGACTTAGGCGAGATCTCAAAAGTCTTCTTGGAAGACATGTAGCTGGACATGGAAGTGTCGCGCAGGGCCTGGGCCTTCATGATGCGCTCCATGTTGGCGGACCAGCCGAACTGGCCAGTGCGGACAGCGCAAGGCGAGGCGCCGAGCTTGTGGGAGACGACAACCTTCTCAACCTTCTCGCCAAGGATGTTCTTGAGGGCCTTGGCAAGGCTCTCGTACTCCTTCTCCTCCTCCTCACGCTTCTTCTTCTCCTCCTCAGTCTCCTCGAGCTCAAAGTCCTTGGTGATGTCGACGAGCTTCTTGCCCTCGAACTCCTTGAGCTGGGTCATGGCGTACTCGTCAATGGGGTCAGTGAGGAAAAGAACCTCGAAGCCCTTCTCACGCAAGGCATCGAGGAAGGGAGACTTGGCAACGGCAGCAGTGGACTCGCCGGTGATGTAGTACATGTTCTGCTGGTGCTCGGGCATGCGGGTGACGTAGTCAGTCAGCGAGGTCATTTCATCACCAGACATGGTGGAGGAGAAACGCAGGAGCTTGGCGAGAACCTGGCGGTTCTGGGTGTCCTCGTGGATACCAAGCTTCAGGTTCTTGGAGAAGGCGCTGTAGAACTTGTCGAACTGCTCCTTGTCCTCGGCGATCTCCTGGAAGAGCTCGAGAGACTTCTTGACAATGTTCTTCTTGATCACCTTCATGATCTTGTTCTGTTGCAGGGTCTCACGAGACAGGTTGAGGGGAAGATCCTCAGAGTCGACAACACCCTTGACGAAGGACAACCACTCGGGGATGAGGTCTGTGGCATCATCAGTGATGAAGACACGGCGGACGTAGAGCTTGATGTTGTTCTTGGTCTTCTTGGTCTCGAAAAGATCAAAGGGAGCGCGCTTGGGGACGAAGAGGATGGCGCGGAACTCAAGCTGACCCTCAACAGAGAAGTGCTTGACACCGAGATGATCCTCCCAGTCGTTGGACAAGGACTTGTAAAAGGAAGCATATTCCTCCTGGGAGATGTCGGCAGGGTTGCGAGTCCAAATGGGCTTCTGCTTGTTGAGCTCCTCCTCCTCAATCTTGCTCTCCTTGACCTTCTTGGTCTTGGGCTTCTTCTCCTTGTCCTCCTCCTCGTCGTCGACCTCCTCGACCTTGGGCTTCTTCTCGCCATCGTCTTGGACCTCCTCGACGTCGGCCTCCTCGTCGGGGACCTCAGTTTCGGTCTCCTTGAGGACGTGAAGGTAGATGGGATAGGAGATGAACTCAGAGTGCTTCTTGATGACTTCCTTGATCTTGGACTCCTTGAGGTACTCGAGCTGCTCGTCCTTGAGGTGGAGGATCATCTCGGAACCACGGCCAAGGGCAGGGCCCTCGTCGTGGGTGATGCTGAAAGTACCACCGGCAGACGACTCCCAGACGTATTGCTCGTCGTCGTTGTGCTTGGAGCGGACGATCACACGGTCGGCCACAAGGTAGGCAGAGTAGAAGCCAACACCGAACTGTCCGATCATGGACACATCAGCGCCGGCAGTGAGGGCCTCCATGAACTGCTTGGTGCCGGAGCGGGCAATGGTACCCAGGTTGTTGACAAGGTCAGCCTTGGTCATACCGATACCGGTATCCCGGATAGTCAAGGTCTTGTTGGCCTCATCGGGAATGATGTCGATGCGCAGATCTTGGCAGGTCTCGAGCTCCTTAGGGTCGGCGAGAGCCTTGTAGCGGATCTTGTCGAGGGCATCCGAAGCGTTGGAGATGAGCTCACGGAGGAAGATCTCCTTGTTTGAGTAGACGGTGTTGATAATCAGCGAGAGCAGCTGAGAAATCTCAGCCTGGAACTCGAACGTCTCAGACATGATGACGGATTCTGAGAGCGTTAGGATGGCCTCGTGGTGTAGCAAGCGGTGTGAGTGTAGCTTACTGTGAGGGTATCAAGGGGCAATGGGACAAACTCTATACGCTGAAGGGGAAGAGTTGATGCTTTGGAGAGGAATGAGAAAGGATGAAGAAGAAAGAGAAAGGAGGAAGAGGCGGTGGTAAGAGGTTTAAGAAAAAAACGGAATGGGCCCCTCTGTGCCTGCCTACGAAGCTCAAGAGATTCCATCGGATTCCATCTGCACTTTGGGCAGAATTCTGGTCTCGCCAGCTCGCAGCCCCTCCAACCTTCGAGAATCAACGGCCGCCGCGGCAACCAAGCTTCTGATTGGCCACAAAGTTTCCGGGGCATCCTCACCGCCTGCCCCTTCCGCCATTTGGTCAAGTTTGCCTCTAAAGTGGAGGATGCTGAGCACGATGGCGAGGGCAAATTGAGCATCGCCGTGGGAAGAGATCATGACATGTGTCTCAATTCTTCATGTTCACAGTTCGCGCTTGCATTGAGCCGTGGTAGCTACTACATCTTTGCCTGTCGCACTGCGAGGCTGAGAAAGAGATCAAGCAAGGTGACCCCACGTGCTGTTTCGGTTTAGCGCCGTGATGCACACAGGGACCGAGCAGGAGTTGGGGATCGAGGTGCTTATTCTCTCACTTTGCCTACCCTAATACTAGTTCTGCGACAATCATGAGAGCTTAAGCAGGGTGATGGCTAGTCACTTGTAACTGACATTGATATGCTTGCATGGCTTGATTCATGCTCAAGGCATGTACAGAGCCTACTTTAATTTCGGTACACGCTTACAATAATCAATCGCCTGTGGAAGCCTGGATACTTCCACTCTCACAACACACGCTGCAACAAACATTGCAGGACATCACTCGTAAATTCTGGGTATCTATCGAACCCTCCCTGCTCCATATCAGAACCGCTCGCTAATGTCGCATTCAAGAGACCCAGTACCCCCTCCAAAACCATACCATCTACCTAGTTTGCAAATATCCTCAGCTTGCAGTCTACCCCCACAGTAGCCAGAACACATCGTATTTGTCCCTCTGCAGCAGAAGCCGTCTTGCTTGGTGAGCCGTTGGCGTCGCCATTCGTCTCTGTGGTCGCTTTTGAAGGCGCCCAGCGTAAGCATGAGATGAAGTGTTCGTGCGAGTCGCTGAGTACCTTGACACATTTTCCTTCCTGGCTGAGATCCCATGCTCGGAGTGACTTATCGTCTGATACAGAGATGAGATATTTGCCTCCTGGATGGAAGACCACCGCTCTCACCCAGTTGTCGTGCCCTACGAGTGTCTTGATACACTGGCCCCTGGCATCCCAAAGCTTGATCGTCTTGTCACGAGAGCCGGTAGCCATGAACTCGGCCGAACTTGTAGGCGGCGGTGGTTTCTTCAGACCTGCCAACGGTGCCAAGTGTTGATATGATGATGGCGGCGCGATAGCGCAGCATTCGTTGAAGTGCTCATGTCCAATCATGGTCATCTTCGTCTCCGCTGTCTGTGTCGAAATGTCCCACAGCCGCCCAGTCTGGTCGTCGCCTGTTGAAAAGAGAAACTTGCCATCAAAGGAGGGCGAAATGTCTCGCACCCACGCTGCGTGCCCTTCTAATGTCCTGACACAGTATCCTGTTGTAATGTCCCATATTTTGATCGTCCTGTCTCGGCTGGCGCTCACGAGTAGATTGCCCGATGAAGGTATGAAGCGGACTGCGCTCACACTATGGTCGTGGCCTGGCAGCGTCCGGATGTTCTTGTAATCATCGCTCGGGTCCCAGAGTTTGATCTTGAGATCAGAGCTGCATGATGCCAAGAGAATGCCTCCTCTTGGACCGCCAAAATCCACGTCCAAAACAGCTCTGGTATGGCCTTTGATCGTGCGCTCGATTTCGCCCTCTTCCCAATCCCAAATTTTGATGGTATAGTCATCCGATCCGGTCGCAACTGATGAGAAGACCGGGTGAAAGGCGACACAGTTAATGACATTGCGATGCGACTCCATTACATGTCGAGGAGGATGCCGCGGTAGCCATGATGACGGATCCTTACTTCGCTGGGACAGCGCAGATGGTGTGAGGTTGTCCATTTCCGTCTGGAGTGTCTTGTTCCTGCTCTCGAGATCCATGACCTGAGCAAGCATTAGCTGAGCCCTTTCCCTCGAGTTGCTTCCTTACCCTCCGTTGCAGCCGGCCGACAATATTCCACTTCTTCTCTAACAAGGTCTCGTACTTTTTTGCGGTCGCCGCGTCAAAGGTTTCCTCGGTCAGATTGGCTTCCGACCGCAACGCCGCAGCAGATTCAGGTAGGTTGTGAGTCGCGAGGTACGCGATAATGGCCTTGTGCCTAGAGCTGATTAGTGGGCAGTTGCAAGCTTGGGCACAGGTACGGACAGCTCCTCGGCCTGCTTGGGCCCCAGCATAGACGTGGCCATCCTGGGCAGCTATGCAACTTCCAGCTCGAGCTACCCAGATTCCTTAAAGCAGTGCGAGCTGTGTATGGGCGCTTCTCCCAGAGGCAACTTGCGGTGCAGTGGTGGTGGTGGGGTATGGACGGTCGGTGTGGTGTTTACGTCGGGAGCTTGCTGAACGTCGGACTACAGCTCCACGATGCGCGTCGTACAGCGCCTTTTGGGATAGATTAAGCGTCGGCAGAGTTGCATCAAGTCTCAGAGTTTCGCATTGGGCGCATCGCAGACTGAAAGTCTCGCGATCGCTACAGGTAGGCTCACCGACGTCAAGCATTGGCAGAGGTGACGGGAAGAGCGGCGGGGCAACGTTTTCCCCTGTCCCGGCGCAATGGCATGTGGGGCAGCATTTTGGTAGCTTCCGAGCTCAAACTTCATCTTGAGCGAAGATGAGCTTCATCCTCAACCAGTGCTCGTTTTCTGCTCTTTGTGTTGCTCTGACGTGAAACGAAGAGTGTCGTCAGAGCGTGTCTTTGTACTCAGGTGTATGCCCTCACGCGGTAACTTTGCTCGCCCATTTTCTGTGGTCGGCTTTGGGCCAACAGCACGGGAACCAGTTCTGCCTGTGATTTAACAGAACAGGTTCCTTGAAACCTTCCTACCAAACTTGCTTTTTCATGCTAAGGTACCAGACAGCAACCCTTTGAGAACCTCTTTCGACCGCGGCACCTTTGGCCATTTCAAGCAGCGGCTAAAAAGCTTGTTGAGGATTGACCATGGTGAAGTGGATTTGAGCCTTGGCATCCGACCTCGGAATGAAACACACAGACAATCCTAAATCTTGACACAAGTAGGTTGGCCCTGACAGCCCAATTGCAGCATTGGCAAAGCTTTAAACCAGCCTCACCGTACGGATACGGCATTCACATTTCCCCAGACGAGATTCGGCGTTCGACTCTGAATCCCGTATATTGATAAATAAGTACAGATACTAGTTGCGACTAGTTTGTACATCGAGAAGATCGTCAGGTGCTCATTCGCCGACTGGCTTATTCTATGCGGGCACCTGCCTGCTTACGAGTCGCAACGTGGCCTTATGGAATGAACATGGTCGCATCAGAATCTACGCCCTCGCGCCAGGTCCAACGAAACGCCTAGGAACGGTGCAATGCGCCTGTGACCGAGTCGACTGTCCGAAAATGAGGCTGGTAGGGATTACGGTGATGTCCTCTTCGAGAGACGTCCCGTTTCTGAATGAGACGAGCGCCGCATAGTCATCCTCAGCCTATTGTGGTGTCTTCAACAACAGACGTGGTATGTTTGGTGGCATTTGCCGAAATCAGTCGCTAGTCTATGCCTTATGATACTTTCGCAGCACCTTGCCCCTCATGGTATGTCCAATTCCATGCCATACCCTCTGTAATTGCCTTGCCAATGCGTCAATGCAGAGTGGTCATCTCCTCCGGGTGTCGCTTCCTCCACTTTGCCAACCACAACCGCATGATCACCGACTTGGATCATGCCACCAGGAGGGTATTTGTCGCCGGCAGCCAGCCTGCACTTTAACACCGCCATGACGCCGTCATCATGTATGACTCCATGTTCGTCCCATTTGAGCCCCTTCCATATACTTTCCGAGTTTCCCTTCGTGAACCTGTGCGCCAACTTGGCTCCGGCGGCTGCTGCCAGAGGAATATGTATGTTGAATCGTGGATTTTCGGTCAACGCCGTGAGTGTCCGACTAGGCGTCGCAATGTTGAAAGTGATTAATGGCGTAGGTGATATGCTGAGGCTTGTGAAGGAGGACAATGTCATTGCGCGGGGTTTCGAGATTTCTGAGTTGGGCGAGGTTGCGGGTGGCGAGGTAAGGACGACAACGTTGGCGGTAATGGCGCGCATTATATGGCGGTAATTCACTTGAAGCGGACTAAGGTGTATTCGCGTTGAATTATGCCGCACTAAAGGTATTAGTCGCATCTTTTCGAAAAGTGACAGAAGCTTGGACTTACCCATGGTCTTGGATGGTGTGGCAGCTGTCCATATTGGCTGCGATAGCCGGACACAGCGTACCGAAAGACCGCACATTTTAATTTGACGCCCGTCGCAAGGACCAAAAGAAGAAGGGAAAGAAGAAAAGGAAATACGTTGTGTTTAACGAGAAGGCCCGGGGTTTGACTGTTGGACCGCCGAGTGACGAGGTTGCGATGCGACCAGAAAATCCTTATCGATAAAGTTCCGACGCGATAGCACGCGACGGGATCGACCCGATTTTTTCCCATGCCGACCGACTTCGAGCATGACTGGAGCATCCTCGCCCCAAATTCGATCCTGCGACGACCTCATAAGCGCAACACTCGCTTGTCCACCGCCAGCGCCTGCCCATAGATCAATTGGGGAGACATCAGTCGGTTCGCCGCGCAACAATCGACATGGGGAAGCTCTCACCCCTATCCTCGTCTTTTCGCCCCACGACCTCCCCTTCAACTCTCACATGCGCCGCCCAGCAGGTCAGGCATGCAACCTACGTGGCCCGCCCTCGACGCCCCTACACATTCACCCAGATCATACAGCTCTCTGATGGATCCGCATACATCCACCGCACAACCTCGCCTCAGGCCCTGTATCGCGCCAACAAGGACTCACGGAACACCCTGACGTGGAACCCCAGCGAAACCTCGCTCAAGAACGTCGAGGTCGATGAGGCCGGAAAGCTCGCTGCTTTCCGTGAGCGATTCGGCCGTGCTTTCGACAACCAGAACAAGGAGGAGGGCGTTGAACAGGCTCAGGAGGAGGTGGAAGATGAGGGCTACGGAGACCTGATTGCGAGTTATGCACCAGACAGGAGTCATGAGATGAAAAGCCAGGCGCCGCCGCAGAAAACAGGCAAGGGTGGAAAGAAGAAATGATCAGGACAGTGGAGGAACCGCACGCACTGCGACATGTACATCACGAGTTGCGCTGAGGGAGGAGGCGAATGTACAACATGTATGTTGGAAGAATAAAAACATCTGTTATAGAGGCACAAAACTACGCTTAATCAGAGTCCTCATGCAGACGGGCACGCGCCCTGTCGACAGCTGTGTCGCCGGGGACTTTGGTGGCGTCCTGGTTGTACACTGGTGGTTTGTAGAAGGCCGACTCGTCGTCTTCGGCGTCGAGCTGCATCAGGAACGTCTCCCACTTTTCAATGAGCTGCAATGATTAGCACGGCGCGCACGTCAATGCATAAGCTAGGGCTGTGACTTACCTCCTTCTGCGCCTCGACAGCACCCTCGAGGAAGGTCTCGACACCGCTTTTGAAGTCCTCGACCTTTTCCTTTTCAAAGCGGTCCAGCTCAGTCTTTAGTGACCGACCCATCTCATCGAACAACAGTCTGGCTTGGTGTACCTTCCGCTCGGCCTCCCCGACTTCGGCGTTGACCTGGTTGAGACGGTCTTGCTGACTCTTACCCTGGCGAAGTAGCTTGTCTTGGGAAGACTTTTTCTTCTGCAGCTCCGACTCAGCTGCGTGCCAGGCATGGAATCCCTTTTGGCGTTGAGAGAACGCTTGCTTGATTGACCCAATAAGACGAATGTATTCCTCAATGATGATGCCAAAGGTGAGAACGTCTTGCTGCGCCTGGCGATCGTAGACATCGCGGATGGTCAGCTGCAAATCCGACAAGGCGTCCAATGGCCCGGACAGCGAGGGCGATAGCTCTACAGTAGAAAGAGCGTGAAGCGAAGCTGAGAAGTCGCCGGCCGCCTCGGCCATCATCTTGCGCTGGCCAACCATCTGGTCCATCGCCTTCAACAAGCCCTTGAGCTGATTCTCGAGCGCATCCAGGTAGACCTTCCTGTCATGGAACCAGTCGTCCTGCTCGACAAACTTGTTGCTGCTTCCCACGCTAATGCCCAGCGAGCCTAGGACGCCCTTGCTTTCTGTGGGTAGAGGGTCCCTCCGCTCCTTGTGCTTGATGTCGACATTGAACGCTTCGCTCTCCAAGAAAAGCTTGAGGTCCGCATCATGTTGCAATATGGGGTGCGAGGCCGTCTTGTTCAGCATCTTCTCCAGGGCGGCCCTTCGGCTCTCGACAAAATTGCTATCGAATCGTCCGACGGCCTGCTTGTCAGGAGGCGGGGGCACGACAAAGCCGGGATTGTTTGCGTGGAGTGTGTTATACAGCCACAGGAAATCGCGGTAGCGGCGCTTGACTTCGAATTCGCTCTGCTTGTAGGCCTTGGATGTTGTCTGCCTGGTCAGCGGCGGAGCTCACGGAATATAAGCCAAGTCGTTCCACTTACCCTCGTCCGCACAGAGTAAACAATGTGCGAGCTCGTGAGATCGCCAATCTTGACCGGGTCCCCGACGTGAATCGTGAAGTTCGGCTTTGAGGCTTGCTCCACGCTCATGCTAGGCTGCGTGCTCGTCCTCACACCACTCGGCCGTGCGGCCTCCACGGGCGGTGGCGCTCTCCCGCCAATCTTCTGCTCGGATTCCTCGCCCTCATCATCGACACCATGTGGATCATGGGCACGTCTCGCTTGCTGGCCCTGGGGCATGCTAGTCCGGATGACCATCTGTTCCTTCAGTGGCGGTACCGGGGGCGCATTGTCGTCCTCCGCGGGAGGCGCGGCACCAAGGGGACCGAGAGGATCGTCAACCGCTTCAAGGCGGGTTGGCTGCGCAACCATGCGACGAGGTCCGCGAGATGGCTTCGACGAGGCTGCTTTTTGCGAAGCGGAAGGTGTCGAAGGGGACGTGTCAGCTGCCTGAGAGGGCTGCGACTCTTCGGCCAAAGTAGTGGGCTTGGAGGTATCGGCCCATGGCGATTCTTCGGGATCCATGTTTCGGAATGGCAGCGATACTGTCAGTGAGTGTTGCGAGGTGTGAGTTGGAGCTCAGAGAGCTGTTTATTGGAGAGGCAGATGCGGGTTGCATGTGTCGCTGGTCAACGTCAGCGGTGATTGGAAGGCAGCCAATGAGGTGATGCAAACTGCCCCGCATCTTCTATGGCGCTGTGCCATGAGCATCAGGCTACCACTTTATATGCTAGGTTTGTTAGAGCATTCATGAGAGGAAAAGATTTGGTCGACTATACTTTTTGTAGAGCAAGATCTGGTTCAGCTCTTTGTGTCATTCCCCAACACTCAGTTTAACCACCAAAATGTGACCATAGAAAGATGAATTTTTCAAACGCTAAACACCGAAGCCATGTAAGAGGACGCTGCCATATACCATGTTATACAAATGACAAACAGCTTATCGCAACGGCACACCCTGTATCTGTGACCTGTGACCCTCCTGGCTCCTCCTCAACATGCCTCTGCCCTCGTCATCCGCCTCCCCGTCGCTGGTCAGCCCCTCGAGCTCAAATTCTTCGGCATCCCTGATGCGACCCTCTTCCATGGGTCTCCCGTTGACGCCTGTGTATCCATTCATCTCCTTGGAGGACGTGGGGTTCGCCAGCCTGTCATACATATGCACCAACATATTGGCGAACAAGAAGACCAAGGATGCCAGCGAGAAGAGAATTAAGATGTAGGCCACGTGGTCCATATCAGAGCCGGCAACAAGCAGCATCTGCTCCTCCGTGGCACCCATGAAAAGGAAACCGGCGGTGTAGAGCAGGAAGATGGGCAAGAACTGGAACGAGTTCCACGTCCTGCCATCCTCGGTGAGACTCTGCTTGTCACCAAGGATGAACGCCACCTCAATGATGCGCGTCAATCCCGCGGCCATGAGCGTGTGCCCAAACATTTTGTGCGTCGCCTCGCTGACCATCAGCTCCTGCGGGTGGGAGGACATGGCCCATCCCGTAATGGCGATGACGAGGCCGGGGATAAAGTTGCGCTTTGGATTGCCATCGCGGTCACGGCTCATCCATATCCCAGCCAGGCCAGCGCACCACCAAATAATGCCCATTGACGTGTGCTGCCAGTCGTTGCGCACCCAGGCGGTGCCCCAGTGATGCTCCGTAAAGGTATTGACGCACCCCCACGCGGCGATCACGGCGCTGTCGTAGAACTCTTGCGAGCGCCCCGTTTGTCGCATCCACACCTGTCCTACGAGGAGAATAATAGTCAAGAGAATGCCATAGGCAATAAAGGCGCTACCCATGATAAAGTGTGCCGCGCATTGGCCTGTGTACTCACCCTGGCAGAACCCAAGCGCAGTGATGCCACCAAAAATCATCTGTGTCCAACTCAACACAGGCATCGCTTTTCCTATAATCGAATGGCAAGGTCTGATCAGCTTCCGAATGAAACCATTGATGCCCTTCTCCCAGTGGCCCTTGAGGTACAAGCCCAGCACGACCTGGGCAATGAGCAGGATCTGCAGAATGTGTGCGAACAGGCCGTGAACATTGTTGCCGACAAACTCGCGACCGCCGTGCGCGTGACCGAGGAAGAACCCGAGGAGGGCGAGCATGGAGCCCACAATCTGCGTAGGAACATGCCACCGGGATTTCGTGATCTGGCCCTGTTAGCTTAAATTCCGGACCTCTGTACATTTACCTACACCAAGCACCATGCCTATCGGAAAGATGACGCCGTAGGCAAACATGTTGACGAAGATATGTATCCACAGAGTCGTATCCTTGTCCCGTTAGCCAACGCTCGTTGATAGCTCTTGTGTTCCGTACCAATGGCTCGACGGAGACCGTCTGTCCCTCTGGTATCTCGCTTCCGCCATGGTGGTCGTGGGCGATCGCTGGTCGTGCAAGCAGAAGCGAAGATATGGCAAGTCCCGGCAAGGGTGTTGGGAGGCCCCGAAGTGCCATGCTAGCTGTTGTAGAATGGGCCGCGTGGCCCTTGGACCCTGACTCTAGGTAGCTCAGTCTACAGTCGGGATTCGGGCGCTGACGTGATGTGACCGTGAAACGATGCAAAACGATGCAGTCAGGAAAAGTGAAACCTCCAGCAAGAACGGCGAGAGGAACAATGAACACTGTGAGAAGAGAATGAAGGTTTGCTGCCAAGGTTTCGAATTCAAAGCTCAAGGGAGGCTTATAGGGTCGACCTGGTCTTGTCGGATTCTTCGGTCGCGGGTGGACCGCGAGAGTCGCGACGGCATTGCGGGCCATGTGATTGGCCACATCTTACTCACGAGTGGGTTCTTAGCTTCATGAGCCACGCAAGGCCAAGACCTCACTCCTTTTTCTTATGACGGTATCACGACGCTTCCGTAATTGTGTTTTCTATTCGCTCATGGGTGAAAGCCAGGCGAGGGCGATCCGTGATACCGTCTTGTTACGTTACAGTACGATACAAGCATGAATGGCTGGTGTACTAGTATGGCGTACTTTGGAGCGGATATCTTCTGATATATTATTTAAATCAGTTTGCAAGACCGCCGCCAGATCATGTATCAAGCAACAACAGCTGCATAGCCGCAGACTTGAAGTATCCTGCATCTTGAGCGTGAGCACGTAGTCGCATGACGGACGAATGGCCTGGGCAACTTGCACCTTGATTGTGTGCAAACCCTCGTAATGGGAATGATGATGTGTCGTTTTTGTTGGTCTGAGTAGCATGCGGACCCTGTTTGCCTTCGAGATTTCTACAGCAGTGTGGCACTGTCGCACCATCTCGCCGAGGGCATACCGTCATGCATACCATCACAATTGATTGTGAAACCGAAGCGGCCGGGTCAGAGTTATCCGACTGACCTGGCTACATGTGCAGGTGCAAATGGTAGCTTTGCCCAGTAGACCACCTCCATCCCGAACCGTCCGAGAAAGCTGGCGAGATATTCGACCTCGCAGAATCGCTATGAAGCTCACTTTCCTCCTGGTCAGCGTCTCCGTCCTTGCCGGCAGCCATCTTGTACTGTCGCTGGTCGCTGGCTACCTTGCCTGGTACTACCGCAAGCAGTGGAAGCGGCTCCAAGCTCAACGTTCAGTTGACGATGAGAACCCGTATACTCTCCCCGCAGCCAAACCATTCGCAGGTTATCGAGCCATGGCACCCTCCGCGAAGAAGATCGCCGCCAGCACACACGACGCGGAGAAAACTCGCAGGAGGCTGGCATCCCCGACGGAGGTGCTCAACAAACGAAGCGGAAGCCTCCTAACCTGGGAGGAGTTCATCTTGAGTGCATTTGAACATCCGCGCACTCCGCCCGTGCCTCCAATGCCTGTGAAAAGTGCGGAGCGTGGTGTCAAGAGAGCTTCATGGTCACTTGCAGCTGAGATAGCGAAGACTGGAGAAAGCTCCAAGCAGCCGCAGGCCATGGAGAACTAGAAGAATCCTGACACGGCTGCGTCAGAGGGCGAATATTGGCGTATCGGGTCGCCAGTGTCGGGGAGGCCGTTGTGGCTCGAAAACTCGACCCAGGATGGTCAGAGAAGAAAGTCGCAAGACGGGTACATCTGAACAGAACGTAAGCACACCTCATCCGCATTTCGTGGTGTAGTAGCTTACCTCAAACCTTCCTCAAGCTCTCGCTCTCTTTCTCGAGGTAGTCTTTTGCCTTTGACCACAACTCAGCCTCCATTTCGCGCTCCACCTTGTTCCCCCGACTGTTCAGCCAGCCAATATCCAATTTGCCCACGTTGCCCACGCCATCTGGCTTCAACGAGACTTTGGTCCCCTTGGCCGCAGGTTTGAGGTTCACGATTCCAGCCTCCTCTAGTGCCATGATCTGCCGCTTCATCCGGACTTCCACGCTGTTCAGAGTATCGAGGAATGAATCAGTGGCATCCTGAAGTCCTTGCTTTTGCGAGGCAACGTCGACTGGCGAAGCGGTGGGGGGTATGGATACAGCGTTGAGGGCATTGGCAGTGTGGTTCATCAATTGCACAATGGATTGATCGATCGCGTTGAGCTGGCGGATGTTTTCCTCGACTGTGAATGGCTTGTGGATGTCGACGGGCTCGTCACCCATGGGAACATCGCCTGACATTTTGGATGTAGGGAGGAAGCAGTTTTCAGGGATATGTTTGGTATAGAGAGAAATGTTGCAATCTCTGGCGCTGGTCGTGTGAAAGTGTGTGTACGAGTGAGTGAGCTTGATGGCCTGCTGAGAGAGCGGAAATCAAGGTGAGATGGGTCCGTGCACAGCTACACGCGCAGTTATTGTTCTGTCTGGTTGATTATGGCTCGGGTATGCCTCGGCTAAAGGCATGACGCGACAAGCATCGCGCCTTCATCCGAACTTAGCTTCACGCATAATCACATCCCTTCACCATCACGAAGAAGCATTGCGAAGATCACAGTAAAACGCCTGCGAGAAATGAAACTGGCACAACCAGTCATTTGTTAGGCTCTGTAATTTGCTCATCGCACGCATCACTCCGGCGCCGCCGACGTCTCCAATTGCGACACCCCATGAGCCGCGACTGCACTCAATGAGCCTGGGCGCTGCTTCCCTTGCTTGAGTCGACTGTGGAGGAAAGGGCACCCGCGAGAATCCGAGCATAAACAATTGTCATCAAAATGTCTGGAAATCCTCCGCCTCCAACCCCTGGTGGGAATTTTGGCGGCGCACCACCGGTCACATCGCCAGCACCTGCCACCGCTGGAGGAGCCGCTGGCTCAGGATCTTCTACCATGTCGAATCAAAACCTTAATCAAATAGTGAGTTTACTGCGAAAAGACGGCCGAGAACACCGCATTTGGAGTTCTTCTGTTTGTTTGTGCTGGAAAGCGGGAGCTCGCACCGACCATATCTCGCGTGTGTGGCTTTCCTCTGCAAGAGGGGCCTTTGCGGACGCCAAACGCATTGTTCACAACGTCTGATGTTTAGGCTTAGACCTCTACACATGCTACACTATAATTCACCGGATTGCACCCTTCGGGCTGCCTTTCACGGCAGGCTCTCGTGTTGCTCTCCGTCCCCCTACATTCACCGGGCGCAATGCTGCATTCAAGCCATCATGACTAACAACATCGCAAAGGTCACCGACTACCTCCTCAAAAGGGGGTTCAATAGGACCGAGGAGATCTTCCGACAAGAATCGAAGCACCTCGGCGCAGATGGCAAACCCCTTCAGCAGTTGGCCAACATGGGGCCCAAGAAGTATGCCAAGGCTTTCAACTTGTTGTATGACTGGGTCGAGAACAACTTGGACATCTACAAGGTGCGCTTCTCCAAGAAATTGATACTGGATTCTCTAACTTGCTCAGTTTGAGTTGTCGAAACTACTCTGGCCCATCTTCGTCTACTCCTTCATCGAGCTCGTCAACCACGGCTACGGAGATGACGCAAAGAGATTCCTCACAGACTTGAGTCATCACTTCCAGCATAGTCATAGCGATGATCTCAACACATTTCAAACCATCACATTACCACAGCATATCAACGAAAATGCGACAGCCAAGCTGTACAAGGGGACCCGGTACCGCATACCGCTCAACCAGCATGCCACTGGCGATCTGTTCAATTTTCTCGAGCGCGAATCAGAGCAGGGTGGCTCAGTCATTCGCCAGCTTTTAGTGACATACTGTCAGATCGATTCGACGGCGCGGGGACCCGTGACACCCTTCAGTTTTGAAGCGGTGTTCCGCAAGACGAGGAATATTGACCTTGACGATGTGGACAAAAACGAAGGCATCCCGGGCGTCAACATCGGCCTGTCAAACAGCGATGTGCTGGACCCGGCGGCACCATTGGCTCTTGGTCCGCTGCCCATGGACACAGACTTGAAGGAGGATGTGCGCGCAGAAATCCAAGACGAGGAGGCACGCAATCCGCCTCAGGATGGTCGGCCCAGTATGCTCGAGCAATTTGACCAAAAAATTAAGCGTGAAGAGAGCGCCGATGTGCCCAACAGGACGGAGCTCCCCCTTCCCCCGTCACGCCCGCGAGATATTGCCTTGGAGATGTCGAAGCTGAAGGAAAACCGTGATCGCTTCAAGATCGAAGGGCGAACAGGGGGTGCTGGCATTCCTGTGAGCGCTTGTATCTTTACTTACCACAACACACTGAACACGTGAGTCTTTCTGTCTTGGGAGAGAGCCGCAGCTGACATCTTGCAGGGTATCTAGCATGGACTTTTCCGACGATGGCACCATGGCGGCTGCCGGCACGACTGAGTCGTACATCCGCGTCTGGTCTCTGGACGGCAAGGCGTTGCCCTCCTCGAATCCTTACGATAAGGACCAAAAGTTCAACAGCCGCAAACTCGTCGGACACTCCGCCCCCGTGTACGATGTGCATTTCTCGGATTCCGCTTCAGGTCCTCCCACCAGATTGTTCGGCGAAGAGGGCAAGAAAAACCCCGCACTGGACACCCGAGCGAAGCTACTTATTTCGTGTTCGGCCGATGGTCAGATCCGACTGTGGTCTTTAGAATCGTGGACGTGTCTCTGCCTATACAAGTCTCACGACGGCCCTGTATTCAGGACGCAATGGGGGCCTCACGGTCACTACTTCCTCAGTGGCGGCTACGACAAGGCTGTCCGTGTATGGATGCAGGACCACGCTTCACCCCAGAGATTGCTGGTGGGCCACGATACGGCTATCTCCTCAATCGCTTGGCATCCGAATGGCCTGTACGTCTTTTCAGCTTCGGACGAAACCGACAAATCCATCCGCATGTGGTCTGTCGCTACGGGTCAATGTGTGCGTGTCTTCAGCGGCCACAATGACTATGTCACGGCTCTCGAGTGCGCGCCAAACGGCAAGCTCCTTGCCAGCGCTGACACTGCTGGGAACATCATGTTCTGGGATCTGAGCAACGGCAAGCGCATCAAGCGGTCAAGAGGCCACGGCAAGGGCGGAATTTGGTCCCTGAGCTTCAGCATGGAGTCTAACGTACTTGCATCTGGAGGCCAGGACTGCACAGTTCATCTCTGGGACGTTGAGCTACCGACCGACCCTCAGAAGGCCGCGCAGCAGCATGGACTCGACAGCCTCACTGCGACCACCGACCTCAATGCTGCCAATGATCCCGCTCGCATGGGGGGCGGAACAGGCGGCCCCTCGACATCTGCCGCCAACGCCACTGGTGCTGGTGCACCTTCGAAGAAGAAGGGCAAGGAGGTCATGGTTACGCCTGACCAGATCAGTGCATTCCCCACGAAGAAAACCCCTGTGATGAAGGTGAAGTTTACGCGGATGAACTTGGTCATCGTCGGCGGCTGCTACGATCCCGAGCGTTAGGAGCCTGAGCGTAAGCCAAAGTAACTTTAGTTGGGCGGAAAAGGGTACGAGGGTTTGTACAAGCGGAAGAGGGACATTTATTCTTTGGCGCCCTTTATGGTGCATGGCTCTCGTAATATAATATGACGATAGCATTCTGGAAACACGAAATCCACGAGATGTGCTGGAATGAATTTTCATGAACATTGTCACCACGTGCGTTCTTTCGTGCAGAATGTCATTGCGATTCCACAAGCTCATCTTACAGGACAATTTGCGTCTCTCAACTACACGCCACCAAAGTCCACTCATTCCACCCCACGAGCCTTCATGAAATCCACAAGATCAAAGAAGCTCTTCTTGTACCGCCGCTCTTGCGATGTCCTATTTACCGTTTGGATGCCGAAATGCGCCGTGTAATCTCCAAATTCCCTACCAACGTCAGTTGGTCACGCTGGAAAAGGGCAATTTGACTCACCAATTGTCCATGTAGCTCCACGCAAAAGCGCCTGAGACGTGGACGCCGTCCTCCCAGATGGCCTTGAGCACCTCGGACATGAAGCTAAGGTAGTACAGACTGCGGGGCGTGTCGAACAGTTGATCGGTCAAGTCCTTGTCGTCCTCCCCGAAGACGGGGAAGCCAAACTCTGTCAGGACGACGGGGTGCCGCCACGTGTTCCAGAGGTAGTTGAGGTAGCTACGTAGATAGGTTGGTGTGATGTAGACGTAGGTCTGTGAGCGATACCCAATGTTCCAACCATTGACCTCTATGGTGGTCTGGTTGACGCAGTAGGGCCTGTAGATGGAGCTGGCGTTGGCGGCACAGTCCATGATGCTCTGCGCATTGCCTGCCTCGGGCGGCGCAATGACAGTTGCCGTGTATCTACGCTAGTTAGTCAATCTTCTATAGCCTTCGTCATATGACTCACGGATCAATGCCCAAAAAGTCCGCCGTCCCGTTCATGTACTCAAGGTCTTCCGCTGTCAGGGGCACATAGTCCTGGATTGTCGACTTGTAGGATTCGGGATAGTCAATGCCCAAGTAGATCGGGTTGCAAAAAGGTCCTAGTTGGAAACTGTTGAAGTGGTCTGCAGCCGTTACATCAGCTTGGCTGTTGGGGTCCCGGGGGACTCCAAGATTGTTGTTGAACTTCATGGAGATCTTGCCCTGGCCGTGTAGCTCGTCCTTGTAGAAGTGATACACCTGCGAGTGGGCCTTGATCACGTTATATATCGACCGCCCATTGTCGGAGTAGAGGAGGGGCTCGTTGAAAGTGAACCAGGTGGCCACGCGGTCGGCGTAATGGGTCATGACGATCTTGGCATAGTTCACAAAGGCGTCGGGAAACGTCTCGTTCTGGTAGGCTCCGTTGTTGTATCCAATCTCCGGAGTGCGCTGGGCCTCGGTCAGGTTGGCGCCGTAGAACTGCAGCGGAGTGTCAAAGTGAAGCAGTGTGACTTCGGGGATCATGCCCTTGGAGACGATGAAATCGATGAGATCGTTGTAGTGGTCGATGCCCTCCTGGTTCACGGGCGTCCCGGGCAGTGCAAAGGGGAGGATGCGGGTCCAGGCAATGCTGAAGGAGAAGTACTTGACGCCCATGGCCGCCACCCTCTCAATGTCCTGTTTGTACAGGTAGTAGTTCTCGTTGGTTACGTACGACTTGGCTCTGTCATCCTGCACGAGAATATCCATGAGTGACGGTGCCTTGCCGGCCTCAGCGGTGGCGCCCTCCACCTGGGAAGCCGAGCTGGAGACACCGAACTCGAAACCCTCGGGGAAGTTATAGCAATCATTCGGACCAAAATAGTCACGTGGAGGGAGCACGAGCTCCTCGCTCGGGATTGGCGTGGGTTCGACGGTGGTGCTGTACACGCCTGTTTCCGTGAAGTTGGGAGGATTCGCATGCTCCCACAAAGCTGTCCAGGCAGCATCACCGTAGAGGTTGTCTGTGTCTGAGGCTGTCTCGGTAGCATTTGGGTCCCATTTTCCCCATGTTGTATACGACTGGGACGGAATCAGAGTGGCCAAAGCCGAGGGCGGGCAGGCGTAGGTTGTTGCTGCACTGGGTGTGACGGACGTGGCCGTGCGCTGGGTCGTTGTGAGGGTGTAGCTGAAGGGCGTGAACGAGTACGTGGGCTCTGGAGTCTGAGAGGCTTCACATTGGGGACGATCCGTGGGACCTTGCGCGGGAAGGAAGACTTGTTGGGCTAGCGCAGTCGAGCCCAGGAGGCCTACCAGTGTGAGGCGGTTCATGATGTGTGGTGTGCCCGTGGGAGCTGAACTGACCTCAGCACTACGCAGGATAGGGGGAGTATATAAACACATATATATCCCCAATAGTGCCGGTCGCATCACATATGCACAGAGCTCAGATGCCTTGGTGACGCAAGGAACAGTCCCTTTCTCGCCATATTGGTCAACCAAGTTCTGGAACTTTTGATAATTCTCCTGATCTTTCGGAGAATAGGAGAAACATTCCCAAAGCACGGCCTCACCTCCTTGGGTGGTATCCTCTATAGGCCCGATACTGCGGGGGACGATCGCCCAAATGCGTCAATTAGAGTTGAGCAGGCGAGGATGACTGCTGCAAAATGCGTCATAGGCTGATTGCGAACCCCCAAGCCTTCCCCGCAAGATGGCAGCCTCCACGATGTTGTGGGGAAGATCGGGGAAATGCAGGCCGGCAGTCCTGCACTTGTGTAATTGCCGAGGCTACTGTCAGTTCTAGACAAAATTCGGGGTTGGAGACTCCTGGATCATGAAAAGCTGAGCGCCTGAAATCTTAAGCCAGGGACGCACGTTGATGAGTCGTATCTAGAACGCAGCCATCGTCACCGGCGTCCTGCGTACACCAAACACTTGACAGTCTTGAATGATCTCGTTTTAGATGAGTTATATGTATCTAATGATACTAATGCGGTTTGAGATGGACTAGTTGCAAATCTTCGTCACTCCGGCTGGTTGTTGTTTACAGGCCAGTTTATAACAGTCCAGCACGCGTCCTCTCTATGCTCCCCTTCAGATCCTTGGATGAATCTATGGTCCAAGGATAGCCTGGTAACTAAACTTGGGATCCGCGACCCACTGAATAACAGAGCCACCAACGGCAAGATACTGTGCATGAGGCAGCCAACTCTTCAAATGGGAAGTGGAACACCCCGTCTGACGAACAGGCTTGCCCTCAAACCTGTCCTGGATCCACCGCAACCAACGAGGGCGGGTCGCATCCAATGTGGGAACGTGACCTGTCCCGTTGACTATGAGAAAATCGAGATCGTGCTCGGGGAATAGGCCGCACGTATCTTCGACAGCGGACTTGACACCATCAAAGGGAACATAGATATCTTCTGTGCCCTGAAGCACCAGCAAAGGGCCCTTGAAGTCCTTCCTGCCCGGGTTGGCGAGCTTCTCGAATGCGGCACCGTGCCATGACTGCTCGATATAGTTCTCCCTTGTCACCTCGGCCGCGAGGAAGAGCTGTTGCGCAGCACCGACGCCGCCTTTGATGCTGGTCCAGAGCTTGTTCCTCGCCATACCGAGAGGAGTGAGCCACAGATCGAGCGTAAAATCGGGAAAGATGCTGCTCATGGCGATTCCGACAAAGTTCGAGATGAAGGCGGGAGAGACGCCAAAGACATCAACGACGGGACTTACTGCCACAGCGCCCTTGTAGCCGCCAAAGGTCTTGTCAGGAAACTCATCCACGCTCAGGGCGAGACGCTCGGCCACACCCCACGCCACACCACCACCCTGGCTGTGGCCCATGGAAACGAACTCCTTGGTCAACTTGCCGGGAAAAGCGTTCCATGCCGCTTGAAGTGCATGGAGAGCGTCCCTGGCACCGACTTGAGCGACGTCCCATTGGTGTGCAATGTGACTCCCGTCCCAGGACTTGTCGATTCCCAGTCCGGCATAGTCAGGGCCGACCACTGCGTAGCCGTCTTGCGCGAGTGTAAAGGGTGCCGAAAAGCCGTACCAGAGGTGTCTCATGGCAGAGGGGGCAGCGTCAGAGTGGAAGCCTGAGGTGCCGTGGGTCCATAGGACAGTGGGAGCAGCCACGCGAGAGCTGTTGGTGTGCCCAAAGTGACGGGGTTCAAAGGGCCAAAGGACGAATGCTGTCGCCGGAACGACTGTGCCGTTGAAGGTGGTGGTCGTGTACATGAAGCGTGAAAGAGCAGTGTTGGGGGGGATGGAGAATCCAGATGTGTCCGTGACCAGCTGGGTCTTGAGGACGACACCCGGTTGGAGGGGGCCAGTGCTGTTGGTCAAAAGTGGCAGGGTGTAGAATTCGTCTTCGCTTGGTCCACCGTAGGCGAGCTGAGAGCGATCTGAGTTGGTGACGACCGCAACGCTCTTTGCGATTTCGTCTGTCAGCAGCGCATCTTGGATATGCTGGGTGGAGAGGGACAAGGAGGAGTTCCACGTGTTGGGCTGGACCTCAAAGTTGCCTAGCTGTGCTGAGGCAGTGGAAGCCAGCAGGGCTAATGGTACTGGGCTGAGCAGTCTCATCGTGGAAGACGTTGACGTGGTGAACGTTTCTGGCTTCGCTGGCTAGTTTGTGTGGTAGATTGCTCTGCTTTGTTCGTGGTACTGTCTCGTCTGGGCCACTGGCCTATATATATGTGTGTTTGTGCGTGTGTATGCGTGTGGAGGTAACTGATGCTTTGGTAATAATTTCATCTATGTCACCATTTCTGAATTGTCATCAGATGGTATCCCAGGGTCATGCCCGGACGCCGTACTATGAGATCGTTTGGGCCATGGGCCCGTGGCGGCGCCATGGAGCCTTTTGTGGAGACACGCCGAGCCACGGAACTCCACGGCGTTCCGGAGGCCGGACTCGGGATCGGGGGACAAGTTTCCATTCTCGGACGAATATGCTCACCACTTCATGATGGGGATCTTAGGCAGAATGTATAGCAAGGTATCGTTTCATTCGACATGGACGTAGATGAGCTGCATCCTGTATCTCCACTGAGATTAGGCATTGCAGGGTAGGCTACAGTTAATGTGTCACCTTGCAGACAGGTAAGGTATCCCATAACACGAGCATTATTCGACTGATTTAGTGACGCGGACACTAGTATGGCGCCTACATTTCTTGAGATAATTGAGATAACTATGAGGGCAGACCACTCCTTACTAATAAAGAAGGTATCAGGGGTGAACTATCGCCGGTCAGAGTGTCCGAGAAGACGATGCCGTGGAGTATTTGGGGGCATGATAATTTTGTGAGACTCTCTTTTATATGTGTTGCTTACATATGTACGCTTAAATATGTTCAAAACACAGCGGAATCCCTCTTTTGGCGTTTGATAGGTTATGAACCCTCGCTTTTCAACCACACAGTTTAACCCCCATTACTACCAACCAGGAGAACATGTACCATACAAGCAGTACACCTTAACAGAGAGGCATAGAGGCTTATTGAGGCCCGGAAAAAAGTGAGAGACTACCATTATGTGGCTGTGGGCAGCCTGTGGGTGCACTGTTCACTAATAAACTCTGAATAGCATTGCGAAAACACAAAAAAATAAATATTTCGCCAGTAGCTGTAACAGCAAGGACAGCAGAACAAGCCATGTATTTCGCTTTCTGCCTGTTCAATAGTATGTATCTGCTTATGAGCACGGCGTCTGGCTATTTCGCATGAGGAGGCTTTATTAGAATTTAATTAAGTTGTATACTGACGGCTGAAGATGGATTAACAGCTTGGCTCAGGGCACTTGGCCTCGACGCTGTATAAAGAGGATAAGAAAATGAATGACTAGGGCTAGCCAGCAACGCCAGTGGCAGGATACCCTAGGCAATAGATTAGCAACTGTCAAGTCCAAAGGCACTAAAAACGTACACCACGAGCACACGGCAATGGCAAGATAGAGACAGACGAGCATAACGCCCTCGAGCCAATTACTCTTGCCATCCCCAATGAGGTAGTTCACGAGCAGAACCGACACAAACATGACCGCCACCTGGAACATGTCAAAGGCCAGCGTCATGTCCTCGACGCCCATACCCCAGCCGATAATGACGAGAAGCGGGACCACAAAGAGCGCGACCTGGATGGAGGAGCCAATGGCTACGCCGATGGACAGGTCCATCTTATCTTTGTACGCGACCTTGACGGCCGTCACGTGCTCGGCTGCGTTGCCGACAATGGGCAGGAGAATGAGGCCGACAAACTCCTCGCTGATGCCACCGGCATCGGTGATGGCCGAGATACCGCCCACCATGTACTCGGCGCAGAAGGCGATGATGACAGTGGCAATGGCCAGCACGCCCAGGGCGACGGAAAAGTGCAACTCGGGCTCTGCCTCATCGCTGTCGTCGTCCTCGTCTTCTTTCTCGCCAAGCGAGCCTTGGCTGGGATCCTGCCGTAGCATGACGTTTGCATCCTTCCTGCGACGCCAGAGCGACTCGGGCTCGACTTTTTGGCTCTCCACCGCAAAGTCCGCACTGTGTGTGTGCAGCTGAAAGACGAGAAAGGCGGCATAGACAAAGAACAGGATGACAGCGACGCCACGCGACAGGGCGGCTGTGCCCGGGCGGTCCTCAAAAGTGGGATTCTCCTTGAAGACGGTCGGCACGATGAGGCCCGCGACGGAGAGGATGAGGAGACTGGCGGCCGAGTCGACGACGGTGGTGTTGAAGTATTGCTCGCGACGACGGTAGCCACCAGCGAGGAAGCAGCAGCCCAGCACGAGCAGCAGGTTAGAGAGGATGCTGCCGATCAAGGAGGTCTGGACGATGGCGACCTTGCCCTTGGTGAGGGCGATGATGGCGACGATGAGTTCCACGGCGTTTCTGTGCTAGTTAGTTTTGTAAGTCTCCAAGGCCCAAGCGTTTCGAGCTGGGAATAGCATGCAAAGTCCGTACGTACCCAAACGTCGCGTTGATGAGGCCACCGATGGATTCACCCGTCCGCAGAGCGACCTCCTCCGTTGCGTCACTCAGCATCGCCGCCAGAGGGACGATGGCAACAAAGTTGACACCAAACACGATGCGCCCATCGAGACCGGCAGCACCCACCGCAATACCAGCCGGCGCCGCCAGGAGGAGAATGTTCAGCCATGACCCGAGCAGCGTCCTCCTGATCTGGTTCGAAACAGTGAAGGGTTCTCTAGGATGCACAGGGCGGTAGAATCGATGCGAGTTCTTCTTTTGCAACTTGTCACTCTTGTTTTTGGCGTTTTTGGCTTCATATTTCGTCGTGGTCTCACTATCCTCCTCTGCTTTCCCGTTCGATCTTCGATTGCGGAGCGCATCCCCATTGGCTTGAGGGGATGTGTTGACCTCCGCGCTGGAGGGTGTGCCGTCGAGCGTCCGGTCGCTGCCTCCATTCTGACTGTGGGTCGGATTCTGTGGCTTATAATCTGTCGGTTCTGTATAGCCGTGTCTCAGTCCTGCCTCGAGGCCACTGTCGGTATTTGCACGGGGCGCGAGCGTCCTCCTGACCTTGGCGGCTTGCTTCCACCTGCTGCGTGCGCCTAGAATGTTATCTGCAAAATTCATAGTTGGTTAACAGAGATATCACTGTCTGCGCGCGCCATGGCTCGATGTTGAAGTAAAGTGAAGGGGATAGAGGAACGGGACGGGATGTAGTTGATGCAGGCACTGAGTCCAGTTCACAGTAAGATACGCTGCGGGTGTGGCTGCGGCCACGGATGACGAGGCTTATCTGAGCCTATATGATGGCGGCTTAACAGATACGAGGACATCTTGCATCGAATCATGGTGCGAGGGCACTTGTTTTAGCTAGCAGCAGAGGAAAGGGAAAGAGGGAGTGGGACCTACGCGTCGCGCTCTGCGTCCGCCGCACGTTGGGCGGCATGGTGCTGGGTTGGGCAGATCTGTACATACAGAGGCTCGGAAAGGAAAATTTATGTGGGAGAAGTTTAGTTTGGCTTCCGAGAAGTCAGAATAAAGAATGAATGAGTCGGAGGATTTGACGCATGGATGGCTGGTCCCCTGGCCATTTGAGTCAACACTCAAGGGGCGCGGACTGGAAATTAGGCAACAATGGACGTCAATCAACGCCCCTGATTCATGATTTCCTTAGCGTCATCTACTGTGGCTTTCGCTCATTCATGTTTCACTGCCGGCCTTGAGTGGCTGAGGCATCATGGCGGACAGCTGGTGAGTGGTGATGTGGTGTTCGAAGCTACGTGTATACCGGCTAACACGGCGCGGCGGAGCGACGTCATGAGGCTGTACAAGGGTGATATTGGCGCCAACGGGATTAGATGTAACTGTACACCCACTTGCCGAGCGCAGGGTCACTTGCTTGATTCGATTTCTCCGTCGGCCTACCGGCATGCCCAAGCGCACGACTGCCAGACACCTGGTAAGGATGTCGTGTTTCCATGACACTTTGAAAGGGCCACTCGTCTGGAACAGCCTGTGACAACGAAAGCATGCATTTGGGTCAAATCAATGAATCCTCAGCTCCGTCCTGGACTCCTGAGCCAGTCGTCCACGCCGAATTCCGTCCAAGCACCCAATCGGGAAATGCGGCGCCGGCCATGGCCAGCGGATCTACATCAGAAATGCCGGTCTTCCGGAGAGCTCAGTCAACAAAAGACCAATAATGCCAACACTTGCCCAATCGATATGCAGGGGCCGAATGCAAGCAAAATAATCACTCCGTGCGTGATCTCGGTCTCATTCTTTGGGCTGTCTGGCTCGTGCGGCCGCGGCATAAGAGACAGCCTGTGCAATCATTATAAAATATACAAACAGCCGTCTCCTCAGTTACTTCATTTTACAGTATTGCCAAATTCTGATCCAGCCAATGTGAAGGCTAGAGTCGAGGCAGAAGAACCGGACAAGAGTCACATCAGGTCAAAAACCACAAGTAAACACCCTGTTTGCCCGAAAAGGGGTATCATCCTTCGTTTCCAGCTGGTACTATGTTTCTGAGTAACTCTCAAAACCCAAAGATTCTACGCATCAAAATAATTGCCAAGCATCCTCATCCATATGTAGCTTGGAACTCACGTCTTGGCCGAGACCTGCGTCGCCTCCACACAAGGCTTCTTCGCCTTGGCCTCATTCACCGATGCCACAGCCCTCCCTACCGCATACTGCGGCGTCGGCAGAGTCGTCGACTGGTACGCCCCTTTCCACGGTCCCAAGGCCTGCGCGACAATAACCCACGTCGGCAGTAGCGGCGCAATCCATTCTCCAATGATGCGGAACAGCCACGTCGACCATGCCGAGATGCGGATGAGCTGTTGACTCTTGGCGACCGATTCGCGCACACGTGGCTCCCTCTTCTTGTTGACCTCGCCCAAGACCTTCTCCAGCTGCGCTGTCGTCACCTTGTCGTTTTGCTTGATGAGATGCTGCAAGTGGTCCACGAGCATGACGACCGACTCGGCCCCCTGCGCGCCACCCTGCGCGAGAATCGGATTCGTCTTGGCCACGGCGTCGCCCAGACAGATGAGGCGGCCATAGTGCCAGCGACGCAGGCTATGGTTGGGACACGGTTGCGTGGTGACACGGTACCTGTTGGCGTAGACGTCGCCAAAGGTTGTCTTGTCACTCAGCTTGGTGTCGGCGTACTTTTCACAGACAGCCGCGCCCTCCTCCGGGGTCCATCGAGGAAAGTCAAGACTGCTCGTTCTCTTGTCCTCGCCGGCCTTGAAGAAGATAAACCAGCAAGCCTCGCCCTTGGCACCCCCGAACAAACCAATGGTCATATCCTGGCCGGTGACCTGGTAGGTGTGGTCCTTGCGCAGGTCCCCCGTGTTGTCGGAAAGGCCAAACACGCAGGCAAACTCGGTGGCTGCGTCTATGCGCTCATTGTCAGCAACAAATCATTCGACTGCCACTGCAATGTGACAACTGACCCTCTCCCTTGTCGCCCACAAACACCTGTGAGCCCGCCTCCTCGGCCATACGCCACATCTCGGCGCGCACGATGCTATGCGTGCCATCCGCACCGAGCACCAGATCTGCAAGATGCACTTCTCCACTCGTCATGTGCAATCGAACGCCCTCGTCGCCCGTCAGCTGCTCTATGCGACTTACTCGCTGGCTCGTGTGGATTTTCTTCTTGCCCTCCTCGCTCACGTTGCGATATAGCACCCGGAGATACTGTGTGCGCGTCCACGTGCGGATGCCATACCCATCAGCACCAGCGTGGATGGCCTCCGCCACGTGATGCGTGAAGATGGGCTTGCCAGCAATGTCACGCGCCGTCAGGGTGCACAGCTCCGCCGACTCGTCGTACACATCGTCCAGAACCCCGAGCTGGTCGAGCACGCGCTGGAAGTTTGGGTACAGGGCGAGACTTGCGCCCACCTCAGGGGCAATGTCGTCGTACGCCTCGAGAAGGATAAAGTCGATGTCCAGGCGGTCGAGATGGAGGGCGGCGGCCAGGCCAGTCATGCCACCACCCACAATGGCGACTTTGAAGGGGGCCATGGTGAATTGACTGGGTCTAGAGGCGGGAGAGTGAAGCTGTTGGCCCGCACTCGTCGCTCAAGTTCAAAACAGAGGAGGGGTATATGGCGAGGATAAGACCCCAAGATCGGACGTATTACGGCATTCCTTCCATACTACACGAGGCGCTCGGGGAAGTCTTTACCGTGTCCCGCCCGTCCACGAGACTCTCGACAGGTGTCGCTATCCCTGCAGGTGCCGGGGTGCCTGTCTATGATCCCTGCTCTGGGCGGCCTTGAGGCTTCACTTTAAGATCCCGTGGGTACAGGATCTGCTTTCTTAGTCGAGCACGGCAGCCTATTGAAACTTCTCCAGTCGCCACATTCACTACGACATCTGCTTTCCCAGATCTCCCCTTGACGGCCATCTGAGTCGCACATGGAACGACCACTGTTCACATGCGACCACAGTCGAAGAGATTACGTGCCTAGACGCTCGGGTTTATCTGGGACGCTGTAGACGGATGCGAGCTGGGCCTCGAGCCAATGGCCCCCGAGGGTAAAAGTTCTAGAGCCTGGGGCTCGTGCATGCTGCCCCATGAGACTCGTTTCATGCATTGAATTGACACGACCAACATGTCAAAACGTGCAGAAGGCAGATCGGCAGATGATTCGGCCAAAAATTAAGCAACCTGAATTCTGCTGTTCTGAGCTGGCCTCGCCGATGATCGACAAGTACGTATTGCCTATTTACAGTGATTCCGCGCATGCGATGAGGCTTTCGTTTTGATGTTCCTCTCACGTCCCCAGTAGACACGATGCCACAAAATTTATCTCACACATCTCATTGGGCGAGAATCGCCGGAGTTGGAGGGTACCAAGACAAGTCGTGAGCCAACATCCTTTCTCCCAGCAGGAGGGATCAGGAGGTCGGGGACAGCATAGGTTGGCTTCAATCAACAGAGCCAACACGACGTTTGAAGAGGTTGCAAAATTACCACACTTGAGCAACAAACTGTCTCTTCTCTGTTATCATCAAAACACCTGGCTCACTCTTTTCTGTCTCTTTGCTTGTTGAACGCGTGCTGGCAAGCACACGTGCAGTCAAAATGTCAGTCTCCGATTGGGCTGCTCTCTTCCCGCCGGATCAAATTCCCTACCACTGGGACAAAGTCCCCATAGTGGGAAAAAGCCTGGCATTTCTCATCGCCAACTATGTCCTCGAGCCAGTCGTGATTGCTGTGGTTGCCCTGCGGTTCTACTCGCGTACGACGATGGGGACACTTGGCTGGGACGACTGGTTCGTGTTGATAGCCAAGGTAAGATCGTTTGTTCTGCTGACGACTCATTTTGATTCTAAATCTCCTAGATACTTTGCATATGCACCTTGACCGTGGTCACAAGCTGTATGAACCTAGTCCCCTTCGAAATCCGCACTCACTGACACTTCACAGTAAGCTCCATCGGATCCGGTTATTACGTCGAACAAGTCGCCATGAATCTGTCGACAGTCTACCTATTGATCTTCATCCTTCAAGGTTTCTTCCTCTTCGCCAACATGACGGTCAAACTGAGCGTTTGCTTCTTCTACCTGCGCGTCTTTGTTGGTAGGAGCATGCGCATCGCCACCCATGCTACTATGGGCCTCGTCGTGGCCTGGACCGTCGCCATTTTATCGCCGCCGTCTTCATCTGCAATCCCGTTCAGGGGCAGTGGGACCTCCGCTTAATGGCGACGGCTCAGTGCGGGAACCAGATGATGTTTTTTTAGTCAGGCTTGAGTATTAATGTCGTCCTCGACTTTATAATCCTCGTCCTGCCATGGTGTACGTATCCCATGCATGTACTTGCACCATGCAATGAATTAACTAACGTTCAACAGATACTATCTGGAATCTGAACATGCGCACGTCCGACAAACTTGGTCTCGCGCTCGCTTTCTCCATCGGTATCGGCATGACCGTCGTCGGCATTATCCGTGCCATCTACGTATCGACGACCTCCGTGAAAGGCGACATCACAGCGACGCTACTCACGAATCTCTTCCTCACAGTGATTGAGCAGCAGCTGGCTATCATAACCGTCAGTATACCCATGCTTCGCCCGCTCTGGCGACGATATAGGGGCCGGCTGGGCGGCTACAGTCTCGATGAAAGTGAGCAGGCGAACAAGGACAGCCTGCCCAACGGCACGTTTGACGGATCTGGTGCGAAAGGGAGGCGCTTGCCTCGGCGCAGGAATAACAATACAATGTTGGATTCGAAATTTGAGCTTGGGACTGTCTTAGGCGAGGAGAGACATGCAGAGGGACGCACTGCCGATCAGAAGAGCCTACCAAATGCAGCTTCATGGGATGCCGTGGACTCAGGGTCATAAAAGAGGCTCGATGAAAAGGGGAGAGGGCGCGTGGCATAGCAGAGCAAAGACAATGTGCCAACAATTACTTTTCGTAGCCGAGACAGAAACCAAGTGGACTTGCTCACAAACATGCGTGACTGACTATTCTATATACTCTATCAAAGCATCCCATTTCGCCTAGTGGTTGAGTACAAGAAGGCTGCAAATCAGGTCCCTTGCAGTCCAAAAATGACGACAACGACCAGTGTCTACATGCGCCTCGCCCCCTTAATCATAAATATAGCAGAACGGTGTCCCTTCAAGAGTATCCAGTGCCTCTCCGATGGTGACCATTTCAGCATTGACACCCATATTCAGGGGATCCGACTTGACAGCGTCCCTGCTCGGCGGCCTGTTGAGAATGGTGATAGTCCCCGCAATGTCCTTAGCCTGGCGCGGATGCAAAGCTTGCCAGATCCAGTAGACACGGTCAACCATGGCGTGGTGCAGAAAAAAGACGGGCTCATTGGGCGAGGAGAAGAGGTCGGACGAGTCACCACCCATGGCAAAGTGACCAGCGGCGTGGATACCGAGGAACTCATCGGCGAAGCGGCCCTGGAACTCGTCCTGGAAGGCCTTGATGCTACCCGAGGCTTCGCCCATTGTGATGTTGTAGAGGTTAGGTAGGGTCATCCACGTATCGATGGCGTAGGGGCTCAGGTCGCGACGGAGGCAGCGAGGGTTGTACTCGAGAGGTGTGGTGGTCGCCTCCATGCCCGCCATCCCGGGGGATGGTGGGCCAAGGTTGGCGACGGCACCGACAAAAGGACCTGATTTGATGCATCCGCCTCCGTTGCCGCTGGGGATGTAGATGTTGTCGAGACCGGAGAGGGCGCCGTCGTGTTCGAAAAACTCGCCGTCGCCACCCATGCTGGTCTCGGAGCCGTCGAAGATGGGGTTCGTGGCAATATCGCCAGTCTCGAACCAGTTCCAGTACTATATGTCTGTTAGCAAGACGATGGACTGTCATGTATGCTCGACGCAACTCACTGGCTGGGTACCCTCATAGCCGCACTCGTCCTGGAGAGCCTTCTCGTAAGCCCATGTGAAGTAACGGTGCCATGTGAGGAAATTGCCCTAGGTGACTGTCAGCAAATTGTCATATGGTGGTACGAATAGCTATTGTTACAGTTCCGTGGATGCTCAGCGTCTGGTTGATGTGGACAGCAACAAAGTCGTCGTATCTGGTGCGAGCCCCAGGCGCAAAGGCAGGGTCAGCCTTGGAGGGCTTTTCGCGAAGGCACAGGACAGCACTGATGTAGGCTTTCTTTTCATCATCAGACAGGGTCTTCCTGCAGAATTGAGTCGCAATGTCAGAAAAGGCGCAGGCAGAAGAGGGCATTGGGAACTCCAGCTTACCAGTCTCGACGCACAGTAGCCTTGGACACGGTACACTTGCTGCACGTCGACCTCTTGGCCTTGTTTTCTTCAGCCTTTTTCAGTGCCAAAACTGCTTTGCTGTTGAGATCGAGCATCACATCGTTGGCGGACTGCTCAGCAGGCGCAGCTGCGACCAGCGACGAGACGCTGAGAAGGCCAGCGAGGACAGCGAGTGAGATTTGCATGGCGGATGGGTTGGGCAGCCTCAGAGATAGATTGAGAGAGGTCAGTAGTAACGGACAAGGCGGTTAGTTAGTCTTTTGACTATTATGTAGAAATGGAATTTCCCCTGTTCACATAATCGTCCAGCGAATCGGAGCTAGCACTGCTGCTGCCAAGTCGCACATGGAGTGTTGGACCGGGGAAATTTGTTCCCAGCATCATGCAGGCGATGTTTATAATCAAAGCAGCCATGGCTGCTCACCGCGTGTCCAGTCAGTCCCGCCCGGTTAACATGCCCTCTTCATCCTGTGCCCTGTTGGTCGGCAACTGGATTCGGCACAGCACCGGTCAAGGATATACGACCACAGGTGAGGGCCACGGTTGAAGTGATTCCCCTGCATCATGCACACAGGGATGAATGAAGAGGCGAGAATGAAGTAAAATATCCGGCAGCTTTAATCTGGGGACGAGTTGGCCTTGAAGACTGATGTGCATGCGAAATTGGGGCAGCATTTCCGTCTTGCATCAGAGAATCGACAGTGTCAGGGGTGCATGCCGGCTCAACCAACAAGGCTGCCTACGAATCATATTATCCTGCATGTGCATCAGCCGTCTACAACAAGTACGGGCAAAGAGCCGGTGCGGTTCGCTCAGCCTGCCGTGTCCGAATTCAGGCTATTGTCTATACCTGCCAACCATGGACGGGCCGCTTTGCGCGGATCCGGCCCGAATGTACATCTACCCAAAACTAAGCCACAAATGAGACTTGTATGATCAAACAGGTGCAGAGCTCTGACCCCTGGCCGGCCGCTGAGGTGTTCTCATGCTGTTGAACGCCTGCAAAAACCAAGACCTGTGCCGCTGACAAGCTTCCCTGCGCCTGACTTGCCGTTTCTACATTGATTGTGGTGGGAGAATTTCTGTTCTTGCCCATGTGCCGCTCAGCCAAGCAGCATTGAAATATGATGGTGATGCCGTCTTCTTAATCTGGGGAGGATGCATTTGAGTTCTGATACCCTTTTTTATTTTATTTTATTTTATTTATTTATTTGGCTACCAGTTGCAACCAGCACCTGCTCTGCCTTCGGGACCCGCATCCTGTTCTTGAATATGGTGCCGCCTCCTCCATTTGTCCTGAACGAGGACCCGGAACGCGTAAAGGAAACCCAGACGGCCATGATAATAGGTGTCATTACAGCGGTCCACTCAATCGCCCTGCTCGCCGTTGTCGTCAGGACGTACATTCGTCTCGTTATATTGAGATCTCCTGGTGTCCAGGATGCGCTCATGGTGATCTCTGCTGTACGTCTTCCCCACTCATGGCCTGCCCCCTGCCTTCCATTGCTAGAGAGGAGACGCCCGAGTCCAAGTGACGGACTGAATCGAGTCGTTGGTTCCATGCTAATTGAACCTCGGAAATGCAGATCACCGCCTTGGTCGGAACAATCATCCTGTTCATGCAAGTACCATACGGCCTGGGCAGACACGCCGATACCATCCCGCGACCCGATCTTGCCGCAATAGGAAAATTCAGCTTCATACATACAGTCGTCCCTCTCCTCGGTGGCATCGGATTCCTCAAGATCTCGATAGCGCTTGAGCTGAAGAAGTTCAACGGCAGTATATGGCGTTGGTACAACATCACTCTGTGGTGCTTGGTTGGTTCGTGACCCAATCTCGCCAAGGGATTTTTGTCCGCTGACTCGATTTGTGCAGCATTTGTTGTTGCGTATACATTCGAAGCGTGGATGTCGTTCATCTTCTTCTGCCAGCCTGTTGCCAGGCAGTGGGACCAGTCGCTCGACGGGTCGTGCTACTCGATCGACATGTTTATCAAATTTGGTCTTGCCAACACGGGTAACAGACGCCCACTCATAGAAGATTGATGCATTACAACTCATATTCTGCAATAGTTTTTAACATCCTCACCGATGTCGCATTCGCGACGCTGCCGATCCCCATTGTCTGGTCTCTGAAGATGCCGGTCAAGACGCGTGTCTACCTCATTCTAGTGCTCAGCCTCGGATACATGTACGTGCACATGTAAATGGATACAGTTGCTCAAGTATAGAGCTGACAGTGAAAGTGCCGTCGCCATGGGGGTTGTCAAGGCCATCCATCAGATCAACTTCAACCCAATGGGCGACAACACATTGTAAGGCCACCAATGTCCTCATCGACGCACGTCTGACTTACATCCACCCACAGCGGCTACGATGTTCAGTTCTGGGGTCTGTATGTAGTGACCATGCACAACTTTGAGCAATGACCAGAGCTGACGAACACTAGCCTACAGCTCAATGTTGGCATCATCGCCGCATGTGCACCCTCTCTGAAACCGCTCGTCAAGAACATTCTGCGTCTCAAGTCGGTCACCCCTCGGTACGGCTACACCAACTCGGGCCACCGTAGCAACAACAGTGGCGTCTACACCGTCGGGGGTGGATTTTCTGGTACCCATGGCTACGCCAGGCAGGGTAACCGCAGCGATCACGCGCCCGAGGGGTTCGAAATGCGCAGTGCACACCGTGGTAAAAATGGTGAGGTTGCGTATACGACAGCGGTGGGGAAGAAAAATCGCCATGCGCCGCCGGATGTGTACGCGTCGCGGGAGGGTAGACATTCTGGCAATGAGAGCAGTGGAAGCCAGGAGACGATCCTGCCACTGCAGGGTAGCAAGAGTAGTGTGAGAGCAACTGAGGTCAAGATATCACTGTAGGTAATATAGTTCATGTAACATCAAGACTCGGCTTTCACATACAGACTAGCTCGAATATAAGCAAGCCCCACACCGTTTTTGTTTTACGCACGGCGATCTAAGGAATGTGTATATCCTGGTCGAGAATGACAATCTCCCAGGCATTGTCAATCGGGAGGCAGGGGGCTACTGTCCGACGTGGTGAGAGTTCACCAGCGCAGAGGTAAAATTGAGTTCTGATGATGAAGAGTGGGAGGCTATGCTAAAGGAGTATTCATCTGATTATTCGCAATCACAAGAGTCCTGGCGCGATTTCTATGTGTTCGTGATATCCCAGGCAAAAGCAATGACAATTCCAATGCTCAGCAAGGATGGTGATACCCAAGTTGAAAAATCAGGATCGTGATGTGGTAGGCACGCAGTTGTCTAGGACGCGAAAGATGGAAAGAAACCTAGGCGAGGATGGAAGGCTAAAGTATAGAGAGAGAGATGGCTCAGCGTCGCAGTATTCACAAGTAGTCCTGCTGCGACTAAGATGAGTGATACAGGCTCTAGGGTAGGTATACGCATACGACGAAAGGGGCTGAAGGGCGCTTCGCGGCTCGCCCCGCAGCTCGGGTCGAGACGAACCGACTGCACAGCAGCACAGTGCTGGGATAGCTATTGCATGTGCATAGTAAGTGACGAGATTAAGACAAATGCGGCTGATGTTTCAACACCCAAAGGCCAGTTCAATTACATCTTGTTCTTGGGCGGTCCTATGGCGCCATCGCACTCATGCCATGAATTACATGTACTAGTGAATACATGCAGCAACGATCTCGGGGCGCAGCTGCGACTCGTACCTCCACGACCATGTATTTTGATCAATGCAGGAGATAAGAAACGGAGTTAATGGGGGCCTTGGGGCGATTAGCAATGGACGATTAACACCAGACTACTCTCAAATACTATATACATAGTTCGTGTTCCCCAGTCGCTTCCTAATCCTCAACCGAAGCCAAGGGCATTTGCCGCCATATGGGTACATGTACGTACAGCGCACCTGAGAAAGCTATTCGACACTCCAAGCCTTCTATTTCTTAGCGTGTCTGCTTGGAAGACTGGTTCCCCGGTTTAATTTTCCATTGACAGCATGTCTTGGGGTGGTTATCTTCCTTGGCTAGGAATGGTCCATCAAAAGGGGGATGGATAGTAAAGGTGGCAGCGGCATATAACAACATAGGTGCCCAAGCCAAGACATAGGCGGCTGCATGTAATTGCTTACAAGTGTTATTCGATACGTGCACGATCGCTGCATGTCGTGCACTAATCGGCGGGAACCTGTGACGTATAGAACTTGAGAAGCATGCCCACTGCCGAGTCCACTCAGCTGGCACGATTAGTGCGATCGTGTATACATGCCCTATATGAGGGGACGCCTCAGTTCAGAGACCAGGGGCCAGCAATCGACAGAGCGAAAACTTACTTGTTTTCGCTCCCCCAGTCTCGTTCATCCTTGCGTATGAACTACTGGACTGGCTCATTCGCCGCTGTGAGCCTGCTGTCTGACGCTGGGACTGGAATCTACGTCCAATACGACATCAATGAAGCAGCTACAACTCGGTGCAGCAGCGAAACCTTGCAGCATGCTCCTGTACCACTCCCTGGCTCAGACCAAAGAGCCAGCAACTTGATGGCGTACATGTATATGTAGTCACCGTGGCGAATTTCTCATCGGGCCGGACAGGTTTGCTTGTCGACATGTCTGTGGCATGCCAAGGCGATATGCAATTCCGGACTCCAGGTGCGGATTGATCATCGGAGGCTCGGAGCTGAGAGCCTGAGGCACGGAAGACTCTCACCGATGATGGCTTCCCAGAGCCGGGAAGCGATGTCTGGCTGTGACTGAAATCCAGTGATTCAGCAGGTGGGAACTGCGACATCCTGCCCCAGAAGGATGTTTCTACAGCACTTTGCCTCGCGAGACATAATTGCGCCCCACGTCCACTCGCTGTGGTGCGTTTCCTCCAGCATGGCTGGGACCGGCATTGTCGAGAGCGCCACCGGTCTGGTGGGTGAGTGGGCTTGTACGAGGCGCATATGGGTTGTGTTGCGCGGAAATCAGCACCTACCTATGTAATTCCATAACATCTCCTTCTCACGGATAGTATAACGCTTTTTACAGGGCGCCGTCGGCGACTGTCGTGGTTGACTCTTGTCCGCAACCGATGATCGGCACCAACCCTGGCATCAAGCCAGTGCAAGTTTCGCCAAAGACGGCCCCTTGGCGCCATTGCTCTGATTCAAACATATGTTTCTATTATTATCGAATCTCTGCAGGCATTCAAGATGCGCAGCTTGTGGTTCCGACTGACGAATGGCCGTGCAGTATTGAGCAAGCGATGGCTGGCTGGGGGCACGCCCACGGTTCAGCCGATTTCCAACTGATCACAGAAGCCGGTGATGAAACAAGTTATGCTTCTTGTGGTGAGGGCCACCTTTGTCCCTTCCGTCGACTCCGTCCAGTATGTCTCGTGCATCATACTAGATGGCGCATCTTCCGCCCTGCAGGCCGCTGATCATGTCAAGCTTGCCCTTGATGGGCCCGAGGCTGTTTAATTCCTTGCTGGACATGCCTCGCCGCGCGTCTGCAGCGTTGCGGAACCCCCCTCGCCCGACGCCGGCGCCGGCGAGAAAGCCAAAGATGGCCATGAGTGCACTGTCCGGGTCCTCGACAATGCTGTAGACGAGGAGACCGGCCTCGCCGACAGTGCCAATGAGGGTGAGCATGGAGCGGAGGGCGCCCATGCCGACGCCGCCAATAGCGCCGCCGATAAAAGGGATGAAGAAGAGGAGGCCGCTGATGAAGTTGAGAATGAACTCCTTCCTCGCCGCTTCCTTGATCTCTTTGGCCTTTTCGACTATCTTGTCCATGTTCTTGACGGCCTCCTCCATGGAAAATGCCGGCAGCGAGGCCGAGTCGACCAGGTCGAGCGCTGTGAGGCCAAAGTCGTACTCCATGTTGTCTTGTTGGATTTTAAGCCGGCGCAGCAGGTCCCGGGCCTCGGGGTAGCCCTCGCCGATAATGTCCTTGGGGTCAAAGACGTCAACCTTGTCCTTGACAGGAAAGTCGAAGAATTTGTTCGACCGCCTCTCGATGCAATCTCGAATGTTCTCTCCGCCATATTGGCAGCCTTGGGGCGTGTTGACGCGGACCGTGTCGAACTTGATCCAGCCCTCCTCGATGCCGTACTCGTCGTAGATGTCCTTGAAGAATTTGTCCTCTTCCTGCATGATCCACGTCGTGTTGGGGACGGCCGGGCCGGTGCCGGGCTCATTGGAGTCCTCGAGCTTAGACGGGCACTTAATGTCCCGGGAGCCGTATCCCGAGTGGCAGTCGTTGCCCCGGACGCAGTCCTCCCAGCATGTGGCGTAGGTGCAGTCGTTGCAGCACTTGAGCTTGGTGTACTCCTTGCAGTCAAAGTAGTCATTGCCCCGTTCTTTAATGAATGCGTTGATCTGGAGCGGCACCTGCGCCTGGACGTAACCGGCATACACGTCAAACTTGTCGTCATAGCCGTTGTCGAGGAGCGCTTTGTACTTCTTCAGGGCCGCTTCCATGATGCGGATCTCGAGGGCAAAGATGTAGCGATTCATGCAGTGATCGGGAATGTCGTCTGCGACGTCCTCAAGCTGTCCAAATGACGTGAAGACCTTTGTGCACTTGGAAAAGCGGTTCGAGATGGTGGGATGATCATCATTGTTTCTGTCGCTGCCACTGGGGCCACTGGAGAACCGGCACGTCAGTTGATGCATCACTTTCCTCAGACCTGGTACTCACTCATTGAACTCCTGCAGATCGACGGCCCAGTCGGTGGTGCCAGCAAAATTGTACGAGCTGTAAAAGCTCGTGCGCGCCTTCTTGGTGTCTTCGTCCATGTAGGCCACCCACTCGGTCTTGTCGTAGACGAGCATGTTAGAGCCCTCGGCCTTCCACTTGCGGGTGACCCTGTCGGACTCTAGAATCTCGCTAATCTCGGCGTTGGAGATATAGCCGGCCGTGTCGGTGCAGCGGCCTTTTTTGGCGTTGGAGAGGCGGTTGGTTCCGGTGAAGAGACAGTTAACGCCGTCGCAGCCGGCCTTGGCCATCTTAAAAGAGCGCCCATACGAGCTCACACCGACCACGACCTTGCCCGAGGGCACGCCCGCCTTTGTGATCATGGCCAGGGCGTCTTTAGTCTCCGTCTCGTTAACGTGGGACCGGAGGCAGTTGCCGCCGGGGCAGCCGGGGGACGTCCACTTATTACCGTAGTCCCACTGGCCGTGAAGGTCATAGGTCATGTATACAACATAGTCAAGCGCCTCGCCCATCTTCTTCATCGGGAACGACTTGAGGTAGTGGTAGGAAGCCGGCGCCGCAAAGGAGACGGTCTTGCCGGAGCCAATTTGCTTCTTGAGGCTAAGGAGCGTCTGGTAGTAGTCGTCGCCCTGCTGCGGGTCGCCGGGGGGGATGCCTGGAATGTCGGGGGCCTAGAGAGCAGTGGTCAGGCGAGAAGAAAACGGGAGGTGCTGGACGCGGAGCTACGTACCCCAGGGTACTCCCAGTCGAGATCGACGCCGTCCAGGCCATGGTCCTCCACAAAGCTGACCAGGTTCTTGACGAATGTCGGTCTATTCGCAGCCTTTGTGGCCTCACGTAAAATATGGAAGGTACTAGGCGAGTTACTGAATTCCCAGCCGCCGAAGGAGACGACTTTATGTACGTCTGACATGTCCTTGAACATGTCGAATTGCTCCTGGACCTTGGACGCGTCGATCCCAAACTCGTTGTTAATATCGACAAAGGCGAAGTGGATAGTGTTGTAGCGGTCCGTGTCGATCTCGTCCACGTTCATGTTAAGGCACTTGCGCTCGAAGTTCCAGGCCTCAAAGTAGGCGATGTTGATCTTCTTGGCTGGGGCGGCGCCCTTGACAATCTCCATGCCGCAGTTGTCAATGCCTGTTTGTCAGCATCTAAACTGCCTCTCTTAACCGAGATGACTTACATCCGCTCTCGCCGGCAGGCGCCGTGCCCGGGTTGCCGCTGGCGGCCTTGTTGACCTTGCAAAAGTCGTCCGTCAGGCCGCAGTTGCCCCAGTTATTGCAACAGACGTTGAGAGGGCACGGGTTCAGCGTCGAGATGTTCTTGCCTGCGGCGGGCGCTTTCGTCCCGGGGACCTGTTCATGTCAGTATCTGCTCTCGAAAGAAGGCTGCCGATGCCGCCAGTGTGTGTCGTCCGGCTGTCATGCTCGAGGCGCGCTCAGGGGTCAAAGTCAGGGTCAGGTTCGCTTACCGTTGGTCCGCATACAGCATTCTGTTTGCGTGTCAGTCAAAGAAGTGCCAGCCTATGTAAATACCGGTCAAGACTCACCGATACGGACGCGGGCATCGGGGGCGATCCCTTGCTGAGGCAGATTTTGCCAGTCAGAAGGGGGTCGCAGCCGATCCAGCCCCAAGTTTGCTTGTTGAATTCCTTGAGGTCGGTGACAGTGATGTCGTTCCGGACGGCAATCGCGGCACACTCATCGCCCTTTTTGACCTGGTAGTCAGCGCAGTAGCCGTTGGGTTTCTGCTTGGGCGGATTGTACGGAAGCTTGCCCTTCGAGCAGCATACAGGCTGGCCGACGATGAGGGACGAGCAGAGATTTTTCTTGGTGTTGACCTTCATAAAATCGTTACCGGAGATACCGCACTTGGAGGCCAGCGTCGTGCATGTGTCGTCCTGGACGACGCGCCTGATCTTGCAGGTCCCGTCTGCGTTACCCGGGGGGATGGTCGAGGGGAGGGTGCCTGAGCTGCAGCATACCACCTCGCCCGAGACGAGCGTGTTGCAAAAGTTGGTGCGCGGGTTATACTTCTTCAGGTTGTTCTGGGTGATCTTGCAGCGATCGGCCAGAGCCCAGCAGCCATCTCCCGGATTCACCTTTGTCGTGCGACACTCGGCGCGACGATCTAGTTGGGCGAGGTCCCCGCGCGAAAAGAGGCGCGCAGGCGACTCGGCATCCTCGGCCGTGACGATCTCGGTCGAGTTGGCCTTATACGGTTCCGCCTTCGGGACGCGGATGGTCACCGTTGTCCAGTTCTCGTCGTCAGCGTCAGCGTCTGCAAAGCATCGTCCGTTCGCCCACGACCGCATGGCCTTTTGGACGACGGCAAAGTTATTGGTGCTGCCGGCGATGACGCCCACGCCATAGTCCGAGCCGCGTCCGTCGCTCTCACACAGCTGGACAAGGGTCGTCTTGGAGAGGGACGTCTCTTCGGCGTGCGTGAGGAACCTGTCCAGCAACTCGGCCGTGAGGCCGTGCTGATGGACCTCGGCGCCGCCAAAGACACCCACAAGGGAGGACTGGAAATAGGCCATGCTCATGGTGTTACGGGTGCATGACGGGGTCTGAGACCCCAACTGGTGGAGGACCTGGCGGCCCGCCGCGAGAAGATGCTGCGTCGAGAAGCTGTCCTGGGCGTGAGCCCCGGGCACAGAGGACGAGAGGGCCACGGGTCTGTCGATCATGACATGGTTGGGCGTGGTGCAGAGCGCGGCGACGTCGTCCTTGGGGCGAAAGGACACGTCCTGTGAGGAGAAGTCTGACACGCAGGCCCGGAGCGCTAGGTTCGCGTTTTGACCGTCGTCAATCTCGTTCTGGTAGACGACGTCGACGAGCATGGTCTCATTGCACGCCGCCAAGCTGGCCTGGTCTGGGTACACAGCCCACCCTTGGCCCAAAGACGCGACCTCGCTGCAGGATAGTGGGCAGATGGTGGACGCGGGGGCCCTCTGGAGCGTGGCAAGCCAGGCCTCCATGTCCTCGTCTCCGGCTGTGTCGATGTGGTACGCTGGATCATCGCGCGGGAAGACCTCCAAGGACGGCGGGCGGTGGCTGTGGGCTTCTTGCGCACAAGTGCCGGCCGCGACGAGCGCGCCCAGCAGGGCCCATGACTTCCGCGAGTTTGCCATGGCAGACAAGGGAGTCGGGACAGTGGACGCTTGAATTATGATACGCGTATCGGCGGGATACCGAGCCAGCTGAGGTTGACGTGCTAATCAGAGGGACGGCCCTTGAGGGAAGAAAGGTATGGATAACGAGGGAAGAGGCTCGAGAGATGAGAGAGGCGCAGAGAGGTCTTGATGTTTGCGCAGCGGAGAGAGCACTCTGATGCTCATTTACGTACGCGCGGGATGGCCGAGGCACCTGACCATGAGGGCGAGGCCTGGCCAAGCTGTCCCAAGACATCGTAGCATCCATGTGGATCACGGTGTCCTGGAGTCTGGTCGTCTAAGGTGTCCAAGAGACCATATGCAGGAAGTGTCAACTTTAGGGGTTGTCGGCGTTCATGCAAGGAACCTCTGTTGGTGGCCAGGCTGGGCCGTCTGTTCTTCGTACATGTAGACAGCACAGGCCGACGTCTTTTGCCTAAACTTGTTCTCTCTGGAGTCTAGACTATGTATCTTTGTGCACTCGGACGTGCTTAGCTCGGCGTCGAGCCGCTTGTGGGAGCCGGCCCCCGGCTGGCGACATGGATTGCAAAGGGCTAGTTTGGGGGCCGAAACAAAATTCACGAAACAGAGGACCGCGGAAATCAATCATCAGCCGCGGCCCGCAGACAGTGTGCCTGCGGCTTGGCCTGCATTCTTGGCAAGGAGTTAAGGACCACCCAGGCTCTTTTGCGGCCTTTTGCAACCAACAAGGCCCGACGCTTGTCGACGGCCTCGAGGCTCCCCGCGGCTCACGAGACACAGCGTTGGCAGTAAAGATTCGGCGGTTCATCTTGCTCATCCTGGCTTCTCCTGTCTTGGCGAGATGCTGTGCAGCTCGAGATGTGTGATTCGCGCAAAAAGTTCTCGCCAAAAGGACCAGGACGACTCTATCCGAGTCCGCTACCAACGTAACGTTGGTGGTATGCGTGGGCGTGAACCGATCAAGGACTTTGACCCCTGGCCCCTTTTCTTGCTGTCTCGTGATGGCAGGATCCTCGTCGACTTTGCTTTTGCAGGTCCCTCCCGAGAGACTGCGCAGCTACATGTATCTACGATATCATATCTCCGTCTGTCGGTGTGTCGCCCTCGCCAGATTTTCTCGATAAGCCTGCTTGCTCAGGCAACCTGTCTTTCTTGTGTTAAACATCTGGTCCTCAGGCTATCCCGCTTCTCACCCTGCGTCATCTCACCATGCGCTTGTCGTTGCTCCTCTGTGACCTCTACCTGGCCACGGCTGTCGTTGCTGGCGGCTACCAGGGTGCTCTGGAGCGCGTCCTCCTGTATTACGCGTACCAGATCGACGGGCTCAATGATCCCAGCTACCGGCAACTGGGCTACAAGTGCGTCTCGTGGCAAAAGGATGCCGGCGAGTGCAAGGACAACAATTGGGAACAGTACAAGTGCACTGCCCTGGACGACCCAAATGAAAAGAAGGGCAAGCGATGCAACTTTTGGCAGCTCATGACGAACCTGGGCGAGACAAGGGGCGGAAATAACGCCAAGCTCATGATGCCTGAGGGCGTGGACGCCAACGCTAAGACGCTACCCATTGAGAAGACGGCCGTCAGCTATTACATGTACACGCGTGAGCACATGCCTGATGTCAACAGCGCCGGCGAGCCGGACAAGGGCAAGGTGGGAGACTACCAGCCCTACAAGTTCCTCAAGTACGGCGAGACCAACTATAACGATTGGCTGGGTCAGCTGGGCGACATCGTGCAGAGCACAGCAAAAGCAAAAAAGAGCGACGCCAACAAGTGGATGTTTGAGGAGTTTCAGAACACTGTCAAGCAGATCCGCGCCGCCCGCATCGGCGACAATGGCCGCTTCGTCGTCGCGGAGTACAAGAAGAACGCTAGCATGGACAATAAGAACATGGTCACCGACAATCCGGGCACCAACCCAGCCACCAAGAGCGAATACAAGAACCTCGACTGGTACGAGAACCACCGGGGCGAGTGGATCGAGTTCAACTGGGCCGAGACGCAGAACGAGATGGACAAGAATGGCGTCAAAGAAGCAGACAAAAAAATGGCCACCTTTCGGAACAAGTATTTTGAAAGCGAGAGTGCCCGGCAGCACCAGGCCGTCATGAACGAGTTTGAGCTCATAGAGAGGAAGGTCACGGGGTGTAGGTAGGTGACTGCATGTGCACTCCGAAGAGGAGGGAGAGGAGGATCGTGAAAAAGAGACAGAGGAGTAGAGCTCAATTGGTCAAGTGGTGTGCGTGTGTTTGTGTACGCCGTAAGCATGCCTCCTCGTGTATTGGTCTACTTCGAAGTATAATTGTGTGCCGCACAGCGGATATTCAGGCTACTTCCCCTCGGACACCCCAAAGAACAGCTCGTCAGGCACTTCCCCCTCGGTCCCCTTGATCCTCTTGTCGTACATCTGGCGATAGTAACTGTTACTGTATTCTGGAAACGGACGCGCGGGAATCATCTCCAACATCTCCCGCCTGCTGTATATGGGGCTCGGGCTCGCGGTGCTCTTGGCGATAAAGAAGACATTGTCCGTGGGAAAGTGCTTCTCCTCGGCCACGTTGATCCAGTGCCCGATGTTGTCCTGGCAGACAATGTGCAGTTCCCTTAGGCCGGTCAACGTATTCAGCTCCTCAGACTGGAAATGAAAGAAGCACTCGTCATTTTCGCTCTCGAAGCGGAAACGCTGGATCAGCGGCCTGTCGTCCTCGAGCCACGAGAAGACCAGAGGCCCGATGGAGATCATGTCGGACGCAAAGTTGACCCAGGTGTAGCTTTGGGGCCGGACGAAGGCACGCTGGTAGAGCTGCCGCTGGATAGCGATCCGCCGAGACTCACGGCAGACATGGAGAATAGCGGGCGCCCTCGAGAGACAACGAATCTGCTCTCTAGTGCCGCGCTTCTTCGTATGTTCGAGGTGGTGTCGGAGCTCCACGACGCGCGGCTCGGCGTCGACAAGCTCCCAGACGCGGGTGCGAAGCTCGGCTGGTAGGCGGCTAAATTGATGAAAGGGCCGCAGCTTCTTGTTCTTGTCCTTGTCCTTGTCCTTGTCCTTGCCCTTGCCTTTGCCCTTGCCCTGGCCGGGCATCTTCCTCTTCTTGGGCATGGCGGCGAATGCGACCTTTGATAAAATGGTGCTTCAGGGTGGATGGATAGGGAGAGGTGAGAGACTAGGACGTTGGGTGTAGGAGTCGGGATTCCCCGGTCGCGACCGGCCGCTTGCCAAGGACGACAGGCCAGAGCAAAGGCCAGAGACACCGTGCAAAGCGAAGAAGGCTTGTGATTAGCGGCGTGCGTGCAGTCGCTGAGGGCGAGGCTGCTTGGCGTGATTAGGGGCCGGTTGCGATGGAACGTTGCTGTCGAAAGGATGTTGGCCTGTTGGTCTGTTGGCCTGTTGGTCTGTTGGTCTGTCGAGCACATGTGACAGGGCACTCTACGGACTGTTCCGTGTACTCGTGCCGCGTCCCACTTTAAGTAGCCCAGTCGAGGTCGGTCTCTAGAGTCTAACAATTCGACCCGCGTGATCCTGCAGAGGTCCGTCTGGTGTGTACAACGCACAACCAAGGTCTCTCAGGGACCTGCGGCGGGACAAATGTTATAGTATGAACCCCCCACACACCGCACCACGTACACCACCCACACCCGGCAGTGACGGCGCGTCCGACCTTTGTCACCTCGGGCTGTGCCCGCCCATCCAGTCCCCTGAAGTGAGTGTGGCCGATTCCTCTGGCCCGGTGGCCGGTGGCCGGTGGCCGGTGGCCGGGGCTGGGGCTGGGGCCTGGAATCCGGATCTCCATACGGAGTATCCGTAGTCTCCTCCAACTGCCCAGATTTGCATATTGCACCCCTGCATCAGCCATGGCACGTACCTTCCCGAAGCAGTCAGAGCCTCAGAGCGCTACAACGTCCCTCATGGGGGCTGCCGCATTGTCATTTGTCAGGGGTCCACGACTCCACGCGCCATGGCCCGATGCGCGCCCGAGATGGTCCTTGTCCATTGTGCCTGCATGTACTTTCTCGGCACAGCAATTGGCAATCCTGGACTTGCGGATGCTCAGTCGAAGAAAAGGTCCATTTCTTCACTGCCCGCCAAGTCGCCCGATTCTTGGAGTCCATTGGCCAGACGGACGCTTAGTGGTGCCTCCCCGGTGCCCTCCTGAGACCTGATAGTCAGCTCACGTCCCATCAAATCTCTGCTTCACTCGCCGCGTCTTTCACTCTGCTCTGCTCGTCTCCCTCTTCGAACTCTTCCCCTCCCGTCTACCCCGCGGTCTGCCAATCCTCGTCGTCCCCCTTCCCGTCCCTGCCACCTGCTGCCACCAGCCCGCGTCCGAGACAAGGCCCCGTCGGCATCATGAATATGAAGGCCGCCCCTCTGTTGGCATTGATCGCCGTCCCTGGAGTCCTGGCGGGCCAGTGGCCGAGTCTCCAGGTCGACCCAGACACCATCTCCCCCTGCGTCATGTGGGAGGACAACGCCAACGACCTGGTCTGCGAGGACGTCCGCGACTTCTGGAACATCACCCCCGAGGAGTTCTCCCGCTGGAACCCCTCCGTTGGCCTCGACTGTAAGCCGTGGCGCATACAGTCCTACTGCGTCGTGCCCCTCGCGCGCCTCCCCACCACCACCTCCTCAGAGGCGCCCGAGACCACCGCCACCACGCCCACCACTTCGGCCAGCACCCTCGGCCCCTCCCCGACCAGCTGGTCCGCCCTGGGCTGCTACACGGATGAAAACCCCAAGTACGCGGCCCTCGAGGAGCGAGTGAGCGACGAGGGCGGCGATGACAATCTCACCGTCGCCACGTGTCAAGACGCGTGCTACAGGGCCGCCTTCATCTTTGCGGGCGTCAAGGCCGGGAACGAGTGCTGGTGCGGCGACGCCGTTCTCGGTGACCTCGCGGGGAACGCCACCGACTGCGATACCCCTTGTTCCGGGGACAACACAGAGACCTGCGGCGGCAGCAAGCGCCTCAACGTCTTTGAGCCCGCCGACTCCTTCTGGGACGAGGTCACAACCGAGACTGAGAGCGAGACAAAGACAAAGACAGAGACGCAGTCCGAGTCCGAGTCCGCGTCTGGCACAGCGGTCGCCATCGACGACGCCGACTCGGACTCGTCCGCCTGACTGCATGGCGGCGCCCGGTGCATGCATGTGTACATGCTGCTGATCATCTCTGTCGGATGGTCGAGCCTATTCATGATGTAGGAATATGGGGGAGATAGTATGGACCTGGGTCCAAGTGATAATATGACGAGGAAGAACATGACGCCCCATTTTTGCGTCGCAATAATCGCTCAAGGCGTGAGACCCTTGTATTATTTATAGCCTGTGGCAGATAGGTAAATCGTGACTCGTGACCTTGCCATGCGCTCGCAACTTGCACGTGGCCTGTCTGGGCCGATCACCCAAATCTATTACCATCACTTGTATCATCGACTCCATTCTGCTCATCGCCTTTACTGCCCGACCCACGCCCGCCACAGTATCCGTGTGCCTACAGGCCGTCGTGCGCTCAGCAGCAGTTCCTTTGCGGCAGCGCAACATGAACTATCCACCCCATTGTCGCTGCGGGATGTCCCAGAAGAGCAGCTGGAGGACCGCAGCGAGATATGGTGGGACGGAATTTCGGCCGAAGCCAGAATCTATCTCGATGGAAACAAAAGATGGGAATGGGTCGTGTACCGGTGCGCCTACGGCCAGGAGCTCGATGCGCGCTGGGAGGCTACCAAGCGGCGCATAGTGGAAAACCTACGCAGGGAGATTGACGAGTCTGACGAGTCTGACGCGCCCTCCATTATCGACAAGATGGATCTCATCTTTGTGGAGGAGCCTGCCCTCGAGGGCGTCACGAATGACGAGCTCAGGGCGCACTTTCAGACGTGGGCGGCCCCAAAATGGGCAGCGTACCGTGAACTGAGCATCTCCACACGACAGGAGGTTCACGGTATGAGTACTTCCTCAAGGTCGACGGTGATCAATTGTGCGAAGGCCCCGTTGGTCTCGTCCGGGGCTGGCTGCATGAACCGTGCGAAGGCCACCCCGAGGAGGAGGAAGACACGGACCCCGAGGATTGGTCCAAGGTCCGGGACAGCGAGATCTCGACTGATCTCTACGAAAGCCTGTATGGCACCGAGCACTATTCCTTACTGTATTAAACACCCGAGGACGGGCCGGCTTATATTCCTAGGGCCTTCTATATACAGGACCCAATGCAATGACAAGAGTTCTATAGTTGTGTCTACGGTCACGCTCTCCTTGGGCAGACTTACAGCCCAAGCTTGAAGCCACCGGGCCACAGCCGCTGCAAGAGTCGCAGCGGGTCGTACTTGCGCGAGATGGACAGCAGCTTCTTCTTGTTGGCCTCGCCATAGCCGTCATAGACCTCCTGGAAGCCGGCCGAGTCACCCATGTAGTTGAAGGCGTCGTAGACACCGGCCGCTTGGGTGGCGTTGGCAATCTTCCAGGTGGTCGTCTTGATCCAGTCGTACACAGCCTCGCTGTGCTCCTCCCCGCGCCACTCGACAACCTCGGCCCAGGCGAGGTAGGTGCCCTTCTCCTCGGGCTCGAAGCCGAGGGCGTTCCCTGCCGGGTTGGCCTTTTGGGAGCCGGCGAGCCAGAGATCGCCGAGGGGCTGCCAGTCCATGGAGATGAGTTGGCGGTCGGCAGGAGGAAGGATGGCAAAGAGCTTGGGCAGCTCCGCCTCGAAAGCCGCCCAGGACACCTGGACACCCTCGAGCAGGTCATCGTAGGTCTTGCCCACAGTCGTGCCGGCAATGAACATGTCGTAGATGCCAGGGACGACCAGCTGGCCCGTCTCGTCGGCGAACTGCGACAGCGTCGTCTTGGAAAAGGTGTTGCCGACGTTGGGAAGGTCCCAGAAGGGGCGGAAGCACTCGGGCTCGGGGTCCTTGTCGCTGTCGTAGTACAGGATCACAGCACCGACGGTGGTCTCCTCGTCGACGGCCACGACCTGGGGCACCATGTGGGACAGCGGGTCCGTGTTGAAGGCGGAGTAGTTTGCAATGGCCTCGAGAAGGGCGGGGATGTCGGTCACGGAGTAGACGCCGGCGTAGACATCACCAGAGGGGAAGGTGTTGAGTCGGAACCCGGTGACGATGCCAAAGTTGTTGCTGCCGCCCTTGAGCGCCCAGAACAGATCGGAGCGGACGTTCTTGGTGACCTTGACGACTTGGCCGGTGTACAGGACAATCTCGTACTCGACAACATTGTCGGCAGACCAACCATGCTGGTTGCCGTGAAAGTTGATGCCACCACCGAGCAGGAGTCCAGGTACACCGACAGGCGAGAGACGTCCGCCCGTGGTCGCGAGGCCGAACTGGCCCAGGTAGCTGTAGACCTCGCCCCAGTCCAGGCCGGGACCCACCCAGACCGTCTTGCGATCGGCGGCGACCTCCAGTTTGGTCAGGTTGCTCATGACGATCAGCGGTCCACCGTCGATGCTGTTGGCGCCACGGATGCCCATGTGGCCTCCCCCGCGCACCGCGAACTCGGTCGTCGTGACCTCGTTGATGAGCAGCGCGGCGGCGACATCTTCGGCCGAGGTCGGGCGGAAGACGCAGGCGGGTGCCATGATCTGGTGGTTGGACCAGAAGTTCTCAACCTCATAGTCATAGACGGACTGTCCTGGGACGAACGTCTTGGCACGGGCAGTCAGGCGCAGCGCGTCGCAGCCATCCAAGAATGCGTCGACCTGAGTGAGCAGGCCACCCAGGGCGTATAGCGCCGCGGTGAGTTTGGTGGTGCGGGCGATCATGTTAGCCTCGAAGAATGAATGACGATGAAGGAAGGCGAGGGATGTGAGATAGATGGTCACAAGACCGCTTGTCTCGATGGTTGGTGAGGGAGGGATAGGGGAATCTCAACCACCGCGATGATCTGGCCTGGGGTTCATTAAGACATGACAGACACGATTGAAATATCGAGCCTCGGCCGGTCTTTCGGAACGCATGGCATTGGGTCTGCTGTTCTGTAATTTGAAAATTTACGGTCTGCAGTCCTGATGGAGTAGGCGATGCTCGGCGAGATGCAAGGGGAAATTGACCCGTCAGGTCGGTCAGGTGGAGAAGAATGTCTGGAGGACTCCCGATTCGAGCGCACTGACGGTCCACCGAACAGCTCTAGGTCACCTGCAGCAGATAAGGGCCTTGGCGCGACTGCAGCATCTGGCCAGATCCTTGCTAGGTCCCCGACTCCCCTGTCTTGTCCCTCGCTTGCAGCTTGGTCACAGCTCGCGGCGTGCTGCCCCGATGGAGTTTCTTGGAGTCTTGGGAGCCGAAAGCTGCTGCTGGACCCACGCCAGCTTTTGTCTTTGAACTTTGCGGCCGAGGCCCGGTATACGGTGACGAAGAGCAAATCAGAGGAGAAGATGATGTTTATTCTCTAGCTGAAGGATATGCCGATGGCGAGAAAAGATAGCGCGAAAATGCCGCTTTTTGACGTGAGTAGCGAGCGGTGTGGGCCGAATGTGGGTGGCGGCCTCACTAAACTAAAAGTGAGGCAAACATGAAATAACACGGTCATGTCCCCGGACAAGTCCACGCCATGGCTGGGGTTTGGCGGTTGCATGGTTGCATCATGTGTGCAATACTACGACTCTACGAGTCAGGAGGCTAATCACCGCCTCGGACTAAGGGTCGGCCGATGTAGGATTCAGAATCTACGTAGCATGCGACAACGTGGAATGCACGTGCGAAGTAAGGCTTCTGCAGCGGAAAATATGACCGATCCTCTGGATTGGGACAGTCTCGAATTTCCACGTGCAGATAAACACATGGCCAAGTCCACCCACATGCCTCGCCCCCAACTTCTTCCTGTTCCTTTGTCTTGACACTCACCCAGGGCGGTTTTGGACGTACGCACATACCAAGCTATAGCTAACACGCCAGACAATGTCAATGGATCACGGTGTCATGTACTTGGAGGATCCGGTTCCCCCCGTGACCCGTGATCCGAGCCTGCCCGGTCATGCGACACCCCTGACGGTTGTCACGATTGTGTCCTTCTCGCTGGCGACGGTGTTTATGGCCATTCGACTGTATGCTCGTCAGTTTCTCGTTGGCAGACTCTCGTTCGACGACTGTGAGTTCACTTGCACCAGGGGTTCCCTGAAAGTCTCAACATGAACTGACGGCGGAACAAAGATGTCATGGGCCTGGCGTATGCCTGTGATGCAGTCATGGTTGGCTTCACACTAAACAGTACGATCCGTCTTCTCCTCCTCCTCGACAGTATATCTAACAATACCCAGTGCTCAAGTACGGCATGGGAAAGCACATCTGGAACGTCCCTCTCACCGATCTCTTCCCGCACTTCAACCTCAACAACATGCTCGCGGCCGTCTTCTGGTGCGCCGCCACCGGCTTCGCCAAAGGCTCCATCCTCCTCTTCTACCTACGCATCTTCCCCGCCAAGTCCGCGCACATTGCCGTCTGGGCCGCTTTCGCTTTCACCATTGCGTACTCGTTCGCCTCGGCGCTGGTCAACATCTTTGCCTGCGACCCCGTCAAGGGCTCGTGGGACTTTGAGGCGGCCGCGACGGCCAAGTGCATCAACCGCGAGGCCTTCTACTTTGCGCAGGCGGGACTGGGTATTGCGACGGATGTGATCACAGTCGTGATCCCACTTCCTTGGTTGAAGACGCTCAAGCTGCCTACCCGCCAAAAATTTTATGTGGGCATCATGCTCACTATGGGAGCATTGTACGCATATTTCCTCCCTCGAGTACACGAGGAGTAGACTAACATCGACTAGTGTCTGCATCGTGAGCGGTATCCGTCTCCAGTCCCTCAAAGTCCTCCTCAGCGACCGCGATCTGACCCGTAAGCCAACTTTGTGCCACGGTCCTCCCATTTCCACCAGCTAACACCTGCAGGCAACACCGTCCTCGCCCTCATGTGGTGCGTCCTCGAGCTGAACCTCAGCGTCATCGGCGGCTGCATCCCCACGATCAAGCCCCTCCTCAAAGAGTTCTTCCCCCGACTCCTCGGAACCAGCCTAGGCCGCAGCCGCACCGGCGACGACATTTATCTACAATCATCGCGCAAAACGGGTCGCAATGCGGACAACGGTCCCTCGGGCGTGCGCTCATTCCACGCTGGCACGCACTCTGCCACCGGTCGTCAGTCCGACACGGGCAGCGAGGAGTTTATCATTTCAAAAGCCTATGGGTCAAGCACAAACGACGGCGTGGAGGAGGGCAAAATCACGAGGTCATACGGTATTGAGGTGGAGACCACATTCGTAAAAGACAACAATAGACATTCATGAGTGCCCCCTTGATCTATGGTAGTCACGAGGTAGAGTAGGTCCCTCATAGAAAATGCAACAACCATGGTAGTGTCCTGTCGTCCTTCGTCTGGGGGTCTGCGAACCAGGCATTTGACGTAACCACGCCCTCCTCGCCCACGTCCCACGTCCCGCTCCTCACACAGTCGATCCACGCGTCGAGCATCTCTACAAGCCTCAGCGGCCTCTCCTCGCCCCATGGCCTTCTCACCGTGAAGGACCAAGTGTTCGCTATACCTCGATCCGTAATCAAGAGCGTCCCGTCGGCAAACTCGTGGCCTTGAACATAGAGGCCCGGTCGGCGGGCAATGGTGAATTTACCTACGCCCCAGCCACGGTCAAAGGTCGGATCGTCAGGTGTCGCCGACACGGTATCGGTTACCGACGGAAGAAGGCAGCAAGCGAACATGCCGCTGCCCTCAGGAGCCGAGGCGTTGAACCTGCGACGCGGAGAGGCGTCGTCTTCGGCATCCATAAGGGATGAAAAGCTATCGGTTGTGAATGTCGTAAGCCCCGGTGCGACGAATCTGCACCGAGGTCGCGAGGCGCTCGAGAGGAACGCTTTACCAAACGGGCTGATCTCGTATTGCTCGACAAGATCGGCCGGGAGCATTGACTCCTTTTCGGTAGATGGAGGTAATCCGGGCATCCTCTCCGTGATAGCGACAAGGAGCTCATCCCACGCTTCGAGAGCGTCTTCGAGATCTCGCACTACCCAAGGCACGAAATCTATTGCATTGCTCCACGAATCCCTACAGAATTTACCTCGATCCCACATCTCGAGCATCTTCACGAGGACGACCTCTAGAGGGAGCCACGACGGCGATTCATCGGGCGGAAGCTGCGATATATCGAGCCGCCAGCTCGTAGCATAAAAGCTGTCTAGGTCCAGGTAGAGCCCACCGTCCATATACGTATCGGTGAGGTTATCCGGGTAGAGTAAGATAATCTCGCGATCATCCGACTCGCCGAACACGGTTCCGTGTATTTTCATACACTGCGGATCGGGCTGACGAAACTCAGCGGTGAGAGGCAAGCTGTCAGGGCGGAAGCTGTCGAGCTGGGAGAAGAAGCGATAGATCCTGCGCTGCTCCAGTGGCTTTGCGTCGCGTGCATCATTCTCACCGTCGCGATCACAGTCGTCGCTGCCATCGTCCATGCCGTCTTCACTATCATCATCAGACCCTTCAGCATCGCGGTCCGTGTCGAGGATCCATGTTGCGCAGGCCGGTACGCGCTCGCGCATGCGTCTGACGAGATCCCGGCGGATACTGCGACCGACCTCAGGTACCTCGTGCGGGCTCTGTGCTATGGCCCTCTGAAGAATTTGGTTGTGTAGCGCGGCGCAGCGCTCGGGGTCGAACGTGCCATCTTCCATGGTACACGTGTGTTTAGGTGTTGCCAGGCCAGAGGATGGGTGGCGAATGTTGCTTGGGCGTCTACAGGGTAATTCAACGGGACTTTAACTGTTAAGTTAGTTAACTTAACTTACCTACACCGCCCGCCCATGGAAATGACTACCCGGGGCATGTTTGATCGTAAGACCGTGCGTGACCTCGATCCTACTCTGTCTAAGATGGCGATTATCAAAAGGATTAGGAACTCGTTCACAAGACGAGCGGCAAGTCTGGGCCGATCGTTATTTTTCCTCTAGTTGAGCCAGGGCTTATTGACAATTTCCTTTGCGACACAACCCCTCAAGGCAACAGAGCAGAGCGAGAAATTCCAAAGTGGAGCGTGGTAGAAGTTCTATCTTCTTGATATTCTTGTATGATGCGACTCAACGTCACTAAGCTCTACATAAGTGGCTGCAGATGCCCACGCACTATTTTATAGACAAGTTGCTAGGCCCCTTTTACCCTGAAACGTGAAAGCTCCTGTGTCCCTAGAGTTTAATCGCTGTCAAGCGGCCAACAAGTTCTAGAAAATCAGAGTGTTAGTGTTCTCGAAACGATTTTGGTTTTAACTGTAGGTCGATTTGAGCCGGGGAACGCACCTTCAGTCTCATTCATAGATCTCAAGAAGGCAAGGGTACAGTCGACGCAATAGTCCTGATTGATATCATCAACAATCTCCTTAAACTGCTGGACCTCTGGGATATTCTTATTTGCCACGACTCTCGTTTTTTCAAACGATAAGCTGTCTTTCAATTCATCTACCCGTTCATTAGTAACCATAGACCTTTCAAAATGGGTACGCACCTGAGAATAGTATTGAGATCCGACCTAGAATGCCGGGATCCTGCTCCCTGCGACGACGTAGAGCCAGTAGATTGGCTAGCACGGGCAGGAACCACACCGTCCCAAATTGTAATGCTATCATCATCGCCTTGCAGAACTCGGAGGCGCTTGTTGGTTCCGGCTCCACATCCGTGTAGAACGGCTCTCGGAACTCTATCACTGCTTTCGCCCATCGTGGTTTCCCATCTTTCTTCTCTTTTTTCGACATGAAGTCGACTTTGAATTGAGGCAGCATGGTGAACAAGTCATCGTTGACGATCTTGTCGCAGGTTACCGTGGATGAACGACCCTTGATGTATGTCTGCCCTTGAGAGAGGAACTCTCCGAAATAGTAGACACCAGAGTACTGCCAATGTTTCTTTTTGCGCAAGTCACGTAAATCGTCGAGTCCTCTCTCTCCCCAAGTGTACCTCCCGCTTTTTATCACTTGACCGTTCGGGACCTTGTCATGGAATTCCTCTATCAGGTCAAGGTCTCGTATAAACACTCCTTTTGGGAACTTGGTGGTGTCAACAATGCACAGGTGCATTGTCTGCAGCGCGGCATCTTTTTCCGTCTTATATTTATAGATGATGTGTTCGATCGCAAGAAGCAGCGAGGTTGTCCATGATATGAAAGGGTCTCGGCACGATTCACGTTTTGGCCACCATCGAAGATGCTCGTTGAGGACTATAGCGACATTGGCAGTGTCCTTCCGTGCAAAAACGTCCGTCAGATTGTCTTCCAGAGCGGCAGGGGATTTCATCAACTCGGTACTGTTCTCTCCGTGAGAATTCTTTGAGTACACACGAAAGAGATAACGAGGAGTGTTGTCCAATTTCGTTGCCAGGTTGCCTGACGGGCGGAACGGAACCTCATCGTCAGCGAAACCAGAACGGGATCCTCCGACTACCTGCGATGCGCCGAGACTTGGGGCTCCTTCGTTCATGGCTCTGCGGTTGGATAGAGCTTCTATCCAGCAGTGATGGACTTGATGGTATGTTGTCAAGAAACATGAGCATGAAGCAATGCAGCAGTAGTCAGCGTCAAGACGCGGGGTTCTGGTTCGCACCATGGTGCCCAGCCAACATGTAGGTTGCAGCCCAAAACAAGGCGGCCACTTGATCGGAATGCAGCACCCAGTACGAGCGGGGGATGCGTCACACTTTGGTGTGTCTTTGGGAGGTGTCTGCTGCCATTGCGAGCTTTTGCCGGGAGATGAACGGTCGACACCCACATCGTAGAAGGCTGGGCATCACGGGATTTTTAAGATCACGGAGCTCCTAATCAGAAGTCTTTTGAATCCGGAGATTCCAGAATAGAAGATATCAAGTCATGTGAGTCTTCATTCAAGATTTCTTCGACACTCGTGTGCAGAGTGACCAGTCATTTCCTCAATGGGTCGTGAGTAGCTTCACTCAAAGGGCAGCTACTGGAATCACTGGATGCACTAGGGCGAACGGGTCACCAAATGCATCAATGAAAATGATCTGGATTGGCGAGACCAATCAATCCCACAGCAAACGATCTGCAGACTTCGACCTCGCTAGCAAGGTATACATTGAACAGGTGGCGCCCGAGATCTGGGCCTGACGCTTGCCGAAGCACTCGTCGAAGCTAGGGCTAAGGGTGCGTTCATCCATATTCCACGTCACAATCTTAAGCTGATTGGAACTGTGGCCCGCAACATGCTCGAGCATCAATGCAACGACAGCATCTGCCTCGTCGCCAGCATATCGGGGAGCATTGCCAACAAGGGCCTCGTTTCACCTGTCTACAACTCATCCAAGGCAGCCGTCATCCAGCTAGTCAAGAACCGCGCCATAGAATCGAATCCTGTCCGTCAGGATGGCAGTGGCGGCATCCGCATTGACTGCCTCAGTCCCAGACACATTCTGATGCCCATGGTCGCGCAAAATCCCAAGGACGAGCCCGACCTCAAGGACAGCTGGTGTCGTGAGAACATAGTGGGACGCCTTGCCGACATTGAGACGAGCAAGGTCAAGAGCGCTGCGCGCTACTTGCTGAGCAAGGCGAGCAGCTTTATGACGGGGAAAAACTTGGTCGTCGACGGCGACCACACGGTGTGGTGACCTGTTGACGCCATCGTGATGCATGCGCGCGCCCACGTCATCATGGCATGAATAGCTGGTGTCTTGCACTCCTGTGCCACCTGTGGGAACATAATCTCGACAAGACTCGTGTTCTTCACAAAAAAAAGATACCCCAGACAAACATGTCTTCATTAGACTCCGTTCAATTGAAGCCCTCACAGAGGCAACCATTGCTCAAGTCCCGCGCTCAGAGATCACACTCGCTCGAGGCTAGCACGACGAAGTCACACCCCAGAGATGACGCACTCAAGGGCACGGAAAACGCCAGCCTGTACTTTGTCGGCACCGCCACGACAATACTCGAGTGGGAAGGCATACGGCTCATGACGGACCCCAACTTTCTACACGCCGGCGACCAGGTCCATCTTGGACCTGGTGTCACGGCAGAGAGACGCACCAACCCTGCCCTGGAGCTGGATGAGCTGCCTTCGCTGGATGGGATTCTGCTATCCCATTACCACGAGGACCACTTTGATCGAGATGTGGAGGACGCGCTCGATCGCAACTTTTTGATTGTGACCACGCCCCATGCACGCCAGTGCCTGACGGCCAAGGATGAATCTTTCTGCAATGTACACGCCCTCGACTTCTTTCAGAGCCTGCTCCTGGTGGGTGATCGAGCGGACAAGAACGAGACTCGGCCCGTGATCAAAGTGACGGGCATGCCTGGCAAGCATATCCCTTCTGGTTTCCTGTCTGCTGCCAATGACCTCCTGGGGGCTGTACCGCCAACAAACGGGTGGATGCTCGAACTGGGCCATGGCAAGGGACAGCAGCAGGGTAGCAATGCTGAACCAGGGGTGGGCTACCGGATCTACATCTCGGGCGACACACTCTTCGTCGACGATCTGAAGCGGATTCCCGAGTGGCTGAACGGCGAGAAGATTGACCTGATGCTCATCCACCTGGGGGGCACATCGATCCCCAGTGCGTCCGCGCCCCTGGTGATGGTGACCATGGATGCGGTGCAAGGCCTGAAGATGATGCGGCTGATGGACCCGGATGTGACGGTGCCTATTCACTTTGACGACTACAGCGTGTTTGCGTCGCCATTGAACGACTTTAAGAAGGAGGTGCAGGGGGCGGGCATGGAGGGGAGGGTGGTGTATCTGGACCGAGGGGAGAAGTATGCTTTTACCGTGAGGGACTGCGCTGCAGGTGCTCGTTGATGCTGGTCATGGATGGAACTTGTCCAATCATTCAAGGTCGTGTCGAATCAAGTAGTTGGAACAATGGCTTGGTTGGTGTACTGGATCGTTATGTCCATGTCGATTTCGGTCTGAGAACAGACTCGTGTCCAGAAAATCTCTCGTCAGTCAGTGTCGTGTCCAGGAGAAATGACAACATGGTGGTCTTGGATGAGCAGAGTTTCAATTCGACACGAGCTTTGTTGGAGGGAGAAAGGAGACTACAACCAACCAGACCATGGCGCACTCACATGCGCGCCTTGGATTCACATGCAAAGCCGTGAGCACTGAAGCAAATGATCCACAGGTACGAGGCGCTAGCCTCAAGTCGGGAACATGACGTATACAGTACCAGACGGTTACGGGCGGCGGAAATATAAAGTATCGAGCATACACGCCTGGTAGGGCTGACGTATCACTTGTGTCTGTCGGCTGCCGGTCATAATGCAGGCCAATTGCCGCCGAATGACTCAGTGGGTAACACGTGAATGAAAACGCCCAGATGCCCCCAGTTAATAATGCTTTAATCTTTAATCATAGATTCTTAGTGGCAGATTGTCGCCACTTGGCGCCAGGCACCCTGGGGCTGGGCGCGCCTTGGCACTTGGGAGCAAGAACTTTTGGTCCTTGCAAGTTGCCAGTGAATGAATACTTAATTGCTGACTGCCCATCTTCCCACTCCACTTGCCCTCACGGCAATCATACATACTCGCGCAACCACATTCGCTCAAGCACGCTCGCTACCATGAAGACCACTCCGCTCAGCTTCTGGGCCTCTTCCATCGCCCTTTTGCATGTCCCAGGGCTCCATGTCCTCGCGGAGCCGACCATCACTTCCGATCCCACTGCGGCCACCACCACCGCCACCACGTCTGAGGAACCAAGCTGCACAGCGTCCCTCGTCACCAAGCTATGCGACTACCCTAGTCCGTTTCGCGCTGTCGCCAGCAGCGGCCGAAGCCACTGTTGGGAGTGGTGCAACGAGAACCAGCCTTGCGACTTTATCATCTTTCTGCCCCACAACCCGCACCTCGGCGACGGCACCTGCTGGTGGTACCCTGGCGAGAGCTTCGACGAGAGCAAAGGCACCACCGAGGGCTGCGGCAATCCATACCTAGAAGTGTACGACAAGCCCGTGTGCGAAGGTCCGAGCACCACGACATCGGGCGCCTGCGCTGCTACCGCGTCACCTTCTGCCATCGCCTCCGTGTGCGACTACCCCACGCCCGATGACGACTGCTGGAGCACCTGCACCGCCAGTTCGGGTGCCGTCGACTGCCTAAGCCAGTGTGCCGAGTCTGACGACTGCAGCTATGTCGTCTACAACCCGCGTGGCGAGACTAACTCTCCGTATGAGCCGGGGACTTGCTGGATGTATCCCGACGGCGAGTATAATCCGGAAGACGCAGGTACTTGTGGCAGTGAGGGCCCCGAGCAGTACGTGTACGAGAACGTGTGCCCCAAGCCATCAAAGGCGTCCACATCGCTGTCCTCCTCCACCCCTCCATCGGCGACCGGGTCGGATGGAGATTCGGCTACGGCCGAGGCCGATGGCGCTGAGGCTGATCGCGCTGAAGCTGGGGATATTGAGGATACTGCTTCTGCGCCTGTCGCCCTCTCGCTCACTGGCCTCCTGACTGTAGGACTGGCCATGCTGTTGTAGGTGCCCTGCGGGCGAGGAGGTCACTTGTCTGTGTGCATGGAGCCGCCTATGCGCTGAATATACTTGTGTTTCCGCCAATCGGTCTTGCTCTCGGACGCGACACATAGTCGACGTAAAGCTGCGACGATCCACACCATAGACATGAAAATTTCTTTTCCCATCTTCCCGGAAGCTGCCGCGTATGGTAAATGCATCTACGAGTAATTACGCAGAAAAGCGTCTGGTGTGGCCAGACAACTCCCCAGAGCAATAGTACACTGTGGAGACGAAACTGCCCACCTTGGGCTTGGATGGGGACTTGTCCCAACGTCAAAGGACTTATGACTCGGCTTCAAAGGTTTTAAAGTTCTCACCGTACAGGAAGACACGCGTGAATAGGTTCAAGATATGACCTTAGCATCATATACAGGAACAATGAAAGGGACTTTGAGGCCCGTGCTCGCGAGGCTGACTTGGTGAGCGGCACCGTTCTTGCACAACAAATGGCCGACATGCAAGGAACCTTCTCTTGGCAGGATATGAGTGCCGATGATCCCGATATGCTGGCCGGTTTCTACACCTCCCAACTTTCGAGTACGTACCTGTAGTACTATACGTACATTTGCGGGCCCAGCCGATCTACACCAAGTTCCAATCGGACGGCTTAAAAAGGGCCGCAGGACCCCCTCAGTCAATCTCACGACACCGTCCTGTGACCCTTCCTGTCCAGCTTTCATCACCAAATCATATTTACACCTTAATAAAGCTCCCCGCGATAGCTGATTCACAAAGGCCCGAGATAGATAAGGATGGTGGTGTACCCCCCTTTGGTCTGATTGATTTCGACCAGTACTTGATTGTAAGTACCGTGACCTTACCCTCTAACTTTTTCTGGGACTGGTCACTCGTTCCCTTAGCAACACTGGGACCTGTTGCGCCCTATTCAGACCGACAAGAATCAGTGGAGGCAGCTTTGTCAGCAGTACTGGCAGCTGTACCCTAGCAAGCCATGGGTGAGTCGCTACTCCCTCCACAATGAGTTGAGCTTCACTAATTGGGCAAAGCCATACCACAAAGACAAGTTGGATGCCGAACAAGATTGGAGGAATCAGGACGAGCCGCCGCCGGCCTATCCCGAGCTCGAACAACGCATTGCGCCGTTCCAAACATCGCTCGAGCGGAGGCTAGGCGATGGATCAAGGACGCAGTGCTGCCTAAGGACCTGCTACGACCCTGAGCTTGAGGAGGACTACCAGCAATTTATCTGTAATTATCAGATAGACCGAGATATTGGAGGCATACTCTACGCCTGTGGGAGTATCCTCGACGACGCGGAGCGCTATAAGGAAATGGATGGTGACCCCATGGAGGTCTTATATAACATGCCTGGGTACACTGATGTGGTGGACGTAATTGACGAGGCGTTGTATGACGAGCTTCTGCCGTGGAACGACGAGGAATGGGCCGCAAGAGACCCCGGGGCCATGGATCCCTGCATGGTCGTCTTGGAAGTCTATAATATTATTATGATTTTAGATACAGAGGCTCTCGAGGAGGGTCTCCTCAACGTGAAGTGGTTGAACTGGCGCAGCGAGGTTGTCTGGGAAAACAAGCTCTACTGGGGCACAATAGATTCCTCTGTGCAGATTTGGCTGCAAGGTTTTGGTATCTACGACTTCTCAGACAGGAACGGGGGTATTATAGGAGAGGGATGGATGCCGGGCTCCTAGGAGTCAGGATAATGATTAGTATTGTTTGTCGGGCACGTTTGCCTTGCTTGGCCATGACGAACGCCACTCATTGTCTAGTTCCTCCTCAACTGCCACGACTCAAGCGTTTTGGATGGGTACCTTTGGTCATCCACCCCAGCAAGGTCTGCCAAAGTCCGACCATCGATACCAGGCACATTGAAGCGGGACACGTCCGCATCAGCGTGAGGAATAAGACGATCCCTCAAGGCAAACAGCAACGTCCAAATAGCAGGTGCGCTCTTGAATAAAGCGAGCAACAGCCCACCAAGCCGCTCTCCAAATGGTGCATAGTGCGCGACTTTGCCATACACGTCGCCATCCCCGACTGCGCGTTTAGACGCTGTCATGCCTCGCTGCAATTGCCCAAGCGCATCATCCATGGCTGCTTCTGTCATGACGCTGCCGTCTGGTGTGACCTGTTGAACGCGCTTCAGCATCTTCAGCAGGGCCGAGTCGGCAAGGACTTGATTTGGCTCAATGACCTTGCTGGCATAGCTCCAGCGTCCCAGCCAGCTCTCCAGCCAGCCGGCTCCGATCCGAAGGAAGCGAAATCGCTGCCTGCCCAGATCGTAATGCACACCAGGGATCCATTCCTCGTGAATGTTTGACTTGGAGTTGTCCTTTCGGCTCGCGAGGCAGGGCTGGAACACCCAAAAGCGATCATGCAGCGAAACCAAGTGATACACCTCCTCCACGACGGAGGATACGTTTTGGTCGTAGAACTCGGGCCAGTCGAGCCCGACGCCCCCCGTAAAGGTCGGAATGCCCAGCGAGCCTACGGTGTCGAATAAGCCCATGAACCGAACGGGTGGGCGGCGGGGCGGTTCATCCTTTGCTTCGTCGCCGATCAGGGGCCAGGAATGGCGCTCGCGAAAGTTGACTGACTGTTCGGAATGTGGCGCATTGACGTGGTACCGAGAGCGGTACAAGCGATATACTTCGTCGCAGAGCAGGTCTGTCCTGGTGTCTGTCGCAGGCTTCCGGATGATACCGCAGTTGTTGATCATCCCAGCCACGCACCGCACCGTATACGCGCCGCGGCTGAGGCCAAAGAGCATGACCTCGTCGCCGTCTTTGTAGTGATGCACGATGAACTTGTAGGCGGAGATGCACTCAGCCGCGAGGTCCTGTGCGGTCACACCGTTGAAGAGGTAGTCGAGGAACGTGCTCTTGAGGCCAACGCCATGGCGGTATCGCGCAGCAATGGTAGGGGTGGTCCGGGTGTATTCGTCTTCCAGATTCAAATTGTCAATGCGGATATCAAAAAACCTCGCGAGATGGTAGATATTGGACTGCGTGCCAGTCTCCCGGCCGCACCAGGTACCGTCGCCCATGACTATGATACGTCGCATTTTTTGGGATCTTGGCGCCCCTGGCCGAACGTGGGCGATTCAAATTAGTTTACTGGGAAAGAAGAAAAAAAGAGAAAAAGGGCGCATCACAGGCCCATTAGTACGCAGTTGGAATCAGGGCCTGGGTTGTCTGCATGTGAGGTTCAAGACATTTCGTGCCTCTAACGATCTAGATCCACGGTGGATGTCGCTCTAAGATCTTCCATTGGCTGCGGCAGTGTCACGCTGCCTTCGATAGACAATGCAGCTGACATTTGAATATTGCAGAAAGCTGGCATGCTCAAGCCTCGGCGCCACTTGTCTCACCTGCATTAGAAAAGTGTTTTCTCTAATTAGCATTCCCTCAGTTTTGCAGCGCGGCAATCTTTGGCCAAAGTTTCCAGATGACTCGGGTCTCTCCATCAACGACCTCTCCCCGAGCGGCCGCCAGCCACTAACGAGCGATGATGGTCTGATTCATGCCGTTGTCAACGGCGAGATATACGATTTGAAGCGTCTGCGGAGCATTTGCATCCAGCATTACGGATACCAATTCACAGGCGACAGCACATCGCCAGCGACAGCGAGCTCGTCCTCGCGCTGTACAAGATTTATGGCGCTCACTGTTTCTTCCAGCACCTCCGTGGCGAGTCAGCCCTGATTATCTATGACGGGCGTGGTGGCAAGACAAAATTCATTACGGCCAGGGACCGGGAGTGGCATCAAGCTATTAGTATAGACGACGAAGCCCCAGGGCAAGATTCTGATGGCGTCTGAGATGAAAGCCTTCCCTCCCCTCGACTAGGAGCCTGGGTGGGGTGTCAAGGCTACTGCAACATCGCCTGGCAGCTAGACGACCGCAAACCCTTCAAGGGGGTTAGTAAACTGCCCCCGGGCCATTGGATGCAGATTAGCAACGATAGTGTCAACATCAAGCGATACTGAGACGCTGGAGCATTACTGTTGAAGCATGTCGCAGAGCGGATGGTTTCCGACACTATGTAGCGCAATGTTGAGCCACGAAGCGTTGAGAAAATAGTAGCGGGAGTCAGCCTGCGCCTCGTAGAGTCCATCCCGGCTCAGGTTTCGTGCCGATATGCCTATCAAGGTATATCTTCCAGGTGGGATTAACTTGTCTGCCGTCGTGCTCACAGGCGAGGGCGCAGACGAGCATTTCGCCGGCTATTCCTACTTTCCGGTTACGTTCCTCCGAGAGGCGGGGCCACTCGCGACCCGAATCGATCCTTGAGAGCCACAGAAAACTAAGGAATATCCTGCATCGAACGGTGGACAAGGATACGAGACAGGTATTCCGCAACCTGGGCGCAGCTGGCGAGGGGGCGACGAGCTACTCCCCGGCCCTCGCAGAAGTGAACAATAGCACCATGCCCTGGACGCTATCAGTGTGGCACGCAGACCAGAGCCTATTTTCACCCTGGGTGCGCTAGGCGGCCGAGAATGTCGAATGTGCGAGGACGGTCGGTAGCGGAGGTGAGACCCAGTATCAGGGCGACATACTGTGTTCTTGGGCATGATTGGCAGGGTGGATGAACGCAGACTTGGAGCGTTTCTTTACGGCACAGGTATTATTAGCATTATGGCAATCGGCCAGGTTAGACGGCACAGTCAGAGAGAATGTGGTCAAGCTCCGGTGTGGTGGAGAGTAGGTGGACTTGGCCATAGGTCGGCCAATGTGTGGCATACCGTATACGTAGTATTAACGTCAATATTTAATGAGTCACATTATGCGCTTGGGCGGATCTGCTCTGTAGGGTTCACCTCCATAGACTAGTCACTTTTGAGAGGTCTCAATCAGTCCAGAACGAACATGAAGGCAGATGATTTTGCCTGTCTTCATGTTGTCTCAGTCTGGGCAACCGTCGAGCGGGCCATGACAGGTCTAGTGGAGTGAGTACCTTAAGCAACGTGGGTGGCGTCTGGACCCTGGAGAGATTGGGTTGGCACTTGCTCCAGGTGGGTGGTGGCGCATGCTTAGATACTATGTAGTACTCAGTAGCGTGTGGCTGAAGTCCAGTCACAATTCACAACAGCACAGCAGGGACGACTAGAGTCTAAGCCACCACCAATACCAAGGGCCTAGTACATGCCACGTCTCTCACGCCCCCGCTTTTATTCCCTCCCGCACCCGGCAGCGTCGATCATTGTGTACCCACAGCCCAATCACCATCCCGTATTCCCGGACCCCGGTCGCTCAACCTGAACCGCGGCGCTTCCCGCTCGTCCCGCCCTGGTCAAGAGTCACTCCCCATGCGACAACGACTCCAGCCCGCTATCACGGATCCGTTCGATAGCTCGGGCTGTTCGTGAGGCAGAGTAATGGCTTGCCTGCCATCCTCAGCACGCGCTGCGCTTTCGCGCTCTCACCTCACGGTGGCCTCGTCACGAGGCACCTGGGCGAGGCATCGCGTGCCCAAGGCTAGTGGCAGCGGCAATTGGTTTCTATGATCCCAGTCGTCTCATAGCTGAATACACACGTTTGTAGGCTGGGGCTACATGCATTGCGCCACCACCTAGGAGGTAAGGTGATACGGCTGTGGTGATTGGTGGTTTCTTTAGCGGTCCTGCCTGCCTAATCTTCAAGTCCTTAATCAAGCAAACCCAGGTATATAACCCAGCAAACGCTTAAATTTCTTGCGAGACGCCTCACTTTCTCTATCATCCACCATTCACCAAAGTTACAGAAAGTGTGTGAGAAAACCCATCTATCACGTCTCTACGTAAGGGTACGCGTCTTCGTCACGATCATCTGCCATGGTGTCACCAATGGACTCGAGCCGCCTCACACCCTGCAGAGTCATACTTCTCATACTCCTCCTCGGTCTCCATTATTTCACAGGAGCCACTCCCAACGACGATTTCGTGGCGGAAGTCCGCGACTCAGAGGAGTATCGGGCCCTCAGCGACGAAGGTCTATGCGCGCAGTGTCCCTTTGCTGGCGTCGATGAGGGCAGCGGCTGCTTCGGCCGCAAGTCCGCCGCAGAATACTCCACCTGCGCTGAGAAAACATGTTTCTGTGCCCAAGAGAGCGTGAATACGACAGTGAACTACATTATGGACTTTGTGCGGGACAAGTGCCCCGGTGAACAAACGTGGCCGGGCACAGCGATTCAGGCGGCCGATTCGTATACAGGGTATTGTGGTCTCGCCGCCGTTCGTCCTCGTAAGTAGCCCTCCCATGCCAAGCCTGACTGAGCAAAAAATGATCCAAAACGGAGCTAACATGGGTGGCTTCTCCCTTAGTTCCCATCGAGGAACCACTTTCGACTTCTGCGTCTAGTGCGCCACTGCCGACTTCCTCGGCTACATCAAGTGCGCCTGCGACATCCTCTACCAGCGATGACGATGGAGGTGGAGGTGGAGGCCCCGGGCTCTCAACAGCAGATATCATTGGTATTGTGATGGGTGTTCTCGCCCTTCTTATTGCGGCTATAGGCATTTGGCTGGATCACAAGAACCGATGGTTACGGAGATGGTTTGGGGTGACGGCGCAAGGAGCAGCCGATCCCGAGGACCAACCACGCCGGAATTCCGACAGATTCAATGTTCACTTTAATAATCTAGTTATGGGACAGCGACAGGAACACCGGTAGCTAAATGGACAGAGGAGAGGACCACTGGACCTTATTGAATATAGTCAGAGGGGTCTTTGGGAGACTCCGTGCAGTCAAGTCTTCAGATAGGTCTAGCCCTAGCTGATGCTCGAATCACCCGACAAGGAGCTCGTGGCGTTAGTGCCGAAGGAACTGTTTTTTAATATTATATCTTGGCACTATGATTCGTTGGGCTCCAGTGTCAGTGCTTTAAATAAAGGGACATGAAGCGCAGGCACTGAAACGACCTTAACGACAGTTAACTTTAGCAAAAAGTTTCCTGAAATAATTTCTAGTCTTCCAGAGTAGAAAGAATCGCTATTGTTCTGTTTTGAGCACCATGGGCAGGGGACACATCGAGGGAAATAGATCGGAAATGCAGCGCTTGCGGGAACTCCATCCAAGTCATCTTTCAACTTTGCCGCCCCCACGAGACCCCACCTACGGAATACATGCCGGCTTTTCTAGCTATCATCCACAACTCCATCCCCTTGTGTGTGCGTGATCTTGACTCTAGGCCCTGCAATATCGAGCGTAGGCAGATCAGGAGTGTTCCTTATTCGTCAAGCTGTCAAAGGCTGGGCCCATTCTCATTCATGTTCAATAGTAGGGGCTGAGTGCTCTATTATATCTTTGTAAAGAAATCTCTCGACTATTTACTCCTCTATAGCTCAGAAACTCATTCATAGAAATTAATTTTCGCCGCTTGCGTATGCGGACGACCTATACCTACGCTAATCTCGCTGAGGACGGACACAGGTCGACAGCCCAGGGGCCGTGTAAGTCTCCGATGACCTGAAGCGATTTGGCAGTTTTATAGGGCTAAAGAACCTACATAGTTGTGTGAACGTGCAGGATCAACTCGACCACGTTACCACCCGAATAGGCTTCGGAAGAAAGACTACACGCAGGCTGTCAAGCCACAAACATGTAGCTCACGTACGGCTTGCGTCGCAGACGCTGAATTGCCCTTTAATAGGTCATAGGAGGTTCATAGAGGCGTCGGGAGGATTTGGAAGAATCCACGACAAAAGGGCGGCGTGGAGCCGGCTACTCAACGAATACTACGGATATACGATGCAGCCAGCGGACGCAGAATAAGAGGCTTTCTAAATTCTCACTATGCCTGGCCAGAAATAGAAGGCAGATATGATTGCAGATTTCTTGATGTCCCTTGCTTGTTCTATGTTTCATAAGGCGGCATCGCGGGATCCCTCTTCCTGTGGAAGTGTGCGGAAAGTAGAAAGCTTTGAAGCAGCCCCCAACGCGTCGGTCAATCACCGCTATACATGTGATCCAGCTGGCGACCACTAACATCCTTACATCAGTCGTTCACATAACGAACATAGGTTTACAGGTTTCTCCCAAGTTCACCTCTTTAAGCGGGAAGGCTGGGCGAGAATGTGCTGGAAGTCTGTTGTCAAATAAGAATAGACTTACTGTTGATGTACTTCTCGAGCCCTCTTTATCTCGCTTTCTGGACAACTGAGAGCATTTAAAAGGATTCAGATAGCTTTCTTCAGATGTATTTTGCAATATACGGGCTCCACCGACGTACCGATGATGGCGGAATTATTATCAACCCTTATGAGTACGTATTCGACGTGGTGTCTCCAAGAAAACGGATGATCGCTATGTGCTTGCGGCTCAGAAACTATTCTTCTCCGGAAGAGCCAGAGTCTGCAATCTGGGCGAGGTCAAAGCCGCCAGATTTGAGCAGGATTCTCAGCACCCCAGCCTCGTGGGCAATCGGTATCTTTGATTCCAGTTGAAGCGGCAAGGATTTTTAATTCTCTGTATCGAAAGTAGGGTTGCGAAGCGACTCAGTCATATCGTTAAGCTACTCGCCACACGGTGAGTATGGAGGAGGCGCGTTAAACCCCCCGCAAACAGGACCATTGAGTGATGCGAAATCGCCAAGGGCGAAATATTCTGGAGGACCCGATTGCCTAACTATTCTTCGTTTGAGCAATGGCATCGGCATACAAGTTTTGAGCCAACAGCCAAGCGCCCGAAGGGGAAAGCGAAAAAAGGAGGAAGACAACGCAGCTGACATTTAGATGTTGCAGAAAGCTGACCTGCCTAAGCCTCGACGCCACTTACTCACCCGCATTTAGAAAAATGTTTTGTTTAGCGTTCCCTAACTTCTGCAGCGCGGAAATCTCTAGCCAAAGTTTCAACCTGCAGAACCTAATCGCATTGGGGGCGGGGGATAACCCCTGACATGACAGTCGAGAGACCGACACATGTTCGCGGCTTTCGTTGACGCGTGGTGTTGCTGTTGGTTTCCTGCGAGATACATCGACGGCGTCTCACAAGCACTAGAGAACGCCGTCCCAGAAGGTCTGACCAGACATGAAACCGATAATAAATTCGGCTTGCAGCAACCTCATGACAGGTCGCTCGTGTTAGTACGGTCCGTTCTTGCCGCAAATGTAGACATGTCAAGGGCTCACTGGAGAGAAGTGTTGCAGCAGTCCGTGGCCCTGAGGCGTCCTCGGTCACGACAAGTTGACAACATTCAAACCGAGTTGAACCACCACTGGCTCTATCGTGTCCATATCAACTTCTATGACTATCACCAGACCGACGACCTCAAACAAGGCAACAGCAAAGACGAAAGAAGCCTATCCAATTCCGCCTCGAGAAAGTCAAACTCAGACCTGTGTTCATACGGTGCGCCAAGGTTGCATTGCTGTTCGTCCCGTTAGTAAGACGAGAGTAGACCGAGGGCAAGGGAACCCCCCAGGGGCCAACTTACACTATGACGGAGAGTCGTTGCTGAGAATTCGCCACTCCCTTGTTGAAGAACACTATATTTTCCCTGTATGATTGCAGTTCCGTAGGCTTTCCAGTTTTCTTCCATATGTTTGCGACCAAGTGCAGTGAAGGTACTTCGTCTCCTTGAGGACTACAGTGCAGTTGTTGTTCGCACTCTGGTATCGGGAGGCACCGCGGCATCCCATCCTCAACGGCGGCGGTTTGTGGTACTGCGTTTTCTGCAACGAAAGAGTCCAGAGTTACATTTCTCCCGCGGTCTGCTTGTAGCAGATGATGACCGTTCAAACCTTTCCACAAACACTCTCTTATCTACTACCGTCCATTTTACCCTCGGCTTGGGCTATAGGTAGGTGATCGATGCAAGAACGTGACTATCACTAAGGGGTCCAAGTTAGGATTGGTTTCCGAATTAGCCACTCCAATCCAAATTTGTGAAACGGACGATTGGCGTTACATCTCTGCTGCGCCAAGAGGGCTTAAGATTGAGATTGGCGCCTGTTGCTACTATGTCAGTCTGTTGGTCAGCCGTCCTCACACTGACCCTACCGGCCGAAAATACAACGAGAGTGTTCTAGACGTCGCCTAACAAGACGCATTTCAGCGTGGTGACAACCTGTTCTCGCCGTCTAGTTCCGCGACAGGGCAAAAATCTGAGCTATCCAGCTCGGGCTTCTGGAACGCAACGCCAAGCAGCCCAGTAGCTCCCGTCGCGCTCCCTGGCAGCTCCGCCTTGCCAATTGCGCCATCCTGACCCCCTGTGCTGGGGTTATTCTCCTGGTTGGGGCTGTCCTGCAGATGAGGCAGATTCTTCCGTCGTCGCCGAATCATCCAGACTAAAATCGCTGCAACGACGATCACCGCGACCGGGATCACGACTCCAATTGCAATTTTGGCGCCAGCCGATAGCCCAGAGCTGGACTCGTCAGTGCTAGATTCATCGTCGGAAGAAGGCAGGCCCTTGTTCCCGCCGGCATCGGACGTGGCCCTTGTCAGCGTCGTGTCTGTCCTTGTCTCGTTGGGTAGGATGAGGATCACGCGCGGAGCTTCAGCAAATTGGGCATCCATGAAAGCACCCCAAGCAAGAGGGATATGCGTCCTCAAGGTGGACGCCTCGCATTCCGAGTTGTAAGTCACGGCTGTGATGGTGGTGGGGGCCGTCACGGTGGACTCGCAGACGCTGTATGTCTCTGACTTGCAGACGAACCCTCTGGACACAAGGTCAAAACAAGCATTCGGAGAGAGAGGACATATCATGTGTGCAAATTGATATTGGGGGCACTTACGTCGGGCAGCACCCAACGGCAGTTTCGTCATCTTCCAGGATGCCCCAGAGATCGTAGAGACCTGTCTCAGAGCTTGACCCTGTGGTCAGCGCTCCTTTCCGGCGCGTCAAGGAGCAGGCAGGTTCGTATCCGGCTGGGCACGCCAACCCAGGCGAATATGCGGCCGGTGCAACCGTGTCTCGTAAGTTGCTACTCGGATTGTTGAACCAGTCGGCTAACTTGCCGGGATAGCACGACGCGGGGACGAACGTAGACGCGCTGCCCTCGTCGTCGATGGTGCATGTCTCGCCATAACCGGCATAGAATTGATTGTATCTGAAGCCTTCTCCGTCGTCGTCGTCGACTACGCTTATGGTTCGTACGAGCAGCGTGCTGAAGTCACTTGGTGGAGTGAAGGTTGTTGTCAGGGCGCCCAGGTTGGACACGAGAGACCGTTTTGCTGCCATCGCAGCTGGGGCCGTCGGTAAATCTGAGCCTCGGCTCTTCGACGCGATCCCGTCAGAGACTGTTGACGATGTCGCAGCTATCGCAGCGTCCATGGCTAGTGCAATAAATAGGCAGGCTATCACTTTGTAGTCACCCTTGAGGAGGGACTGTTATGTGACTGAGGTGAATGAGGAAAGATACGCAGCCCACTGAAAAGCCATTCCGCTGTCAACAATGACGGTCTCTGTAGTCTGTATATACTCACTTGATTTACCCAGCTTGGCTAGGCCCCCTAGCAATTGTTGCAGGAAGCTCGACTGGGGCGTAGGCCCAACGCTCTGTATGCCAAGCAGATCTTATTTGGCGATTGGGCGTATTGAATAGCCGTCCCTGTCGCACAGAGTTCCCCTCTTGGAAGTGCAAAAGTGTCAATGCAACGCTAGCTTAGGTAGGCCCTGCAGCGTGTCGATCGACTCGGCCGCTGTGACTATCATCGAGGCTGTTCAGCTTCATGCGGAGGCCCCTGGTGGTCTTGATTCATTGCGCCACGTCGAAGCACACCTTGTGTCGCGCCCCACCTCTCGTAAGGTAGTGCTGACCACCAACCGTAGAATCGTAACCCTCATTCCCCTTTTAGTCGTAAGCGTAAGCTCAATTCATTTGGGAGGCAAAGTTGTCTGTAGTGGTGAGGATTGCACAGACATTATTAGCCTCAGTGCGAAAGGGAAATACCTCGAGCTCCATCCTGATATATTCCAGACCCTTTGTTTCCAAGATCCCCCGACTCACAAAGTCAGCCACAAGCCCCAAATAGTGCAAATCTACCTACCCCTAAGATGCTGCAAGAGCTCTATCTAGGTTGAACCTGACTTATCGCGTGTTCTCATGTGCCAGCTTCTTGTAGCCTGAGCTCGGCGACCAAGATTGCATATAGTATCGCCCAAGGTGTGTCAGCCAGGCTGGTGAAGTATAGCCAAATCAAATCACCCTCACTGAATATTTTTTTTTTTTTCATTCTCTTCGAATAGCAGAGAGCCTCTTCGCAGAGAATAGCCACTTTGCACTTGTCAAGCTGGAGACTGTAAGCGCCTCACATGTGTAGGGTAGGCACTAGATGCCCAGGCGAGAAATGCTCAACAGGAAAGACATAAAGCCAACAGGTTCGCTCTTGGACTCGGCATTCTCACTTCAGGATCCATGAACGCGACCTGTCGAACCCCCGACGATGAAGATGATCATGCACAGCCAAGAGTTTACGCCACAACATGGTTTCTGCTCTCCGCGAGCGATCAGGCGTCCTGCAGCGACCGCCCTTTGTAAAGAGCGCCATAACAAGAAGACACCCAAGAGCTGTGAGCAACGTCAAATTGATGTGAACTCGCATCCTTCGGGTGCTGTCAAAGCGGCACGCAGAGTACGAGCGTGCAGAACCCAATTATGTCAGGTCTACTGGGAGGGATGAGTCCAGCCAGCCTCCGCCTAATAATTGAGGAATACAATGAGTAAAGGACCCGCATATATCCACCGGGGAGCTGAGAAAGATCGTCTTCGCCAGTCAGGTCAGTGCACTACCAATTCGGAGATGGGACCAGAACGAAATGCGGGAATCTCACGAGGTTGAACGTGGGAAGCGGGACACTACCATTCCAGTGGTTTGTGCTAGGACTACCGCGTCAAGAAAAACAGTTATTGAAAAAAGACGGCACTCGGGAAATGGCTGTTGCTCGGTACAGGCCCTAGCCCTGGGCACGTAGCTACGATTAGCGGGGCACTTTGGAGGACAGGGCGCAGACGCGACAGGACACATGTTTTTCTTTTTTTTCATTCTAATTAATTGAGGGCGCCAAGATAAGGGCAAAGACGCACATGCTCAGGGTGCCTCTCAGGCTGCTATGGCCTACGATAGCATCGTGCCAGTCAGTGCTGGGCCAAGCTATAGGGGGCTGGTCCCAAGACAGGACCGGCATGCGCAAGTCAAAGAATTGCATGCTTGAAGTGGATGGGGGAGCACATGGCATGCCAGCGTCGGGCAGGGACAGGGGATTGGCGAACGCACATGTCTCTCCCGTCATGGTCGAGCGGCCAATCATTGGCGCTCGCTCAAGAGAGTCTAACTGTATCGATTCAAGGGAGTGGCCGGGCCCGCGCAATGGGTTCGAGGGCGGCGACGAGACCCGTGGAGGGAGCGCCCGGGGTACAGACCCCAGAGCCGGTGGTCGAAACCTGTCTTGCTGTAATCTCGTCAGCCCTGACTGACAGGTAACGGAGTGAGGCACCGGAATTCCCCCAGCATGCACACACGTGTCTGGGAATGAACGAGAGGGCGTCTTGTCACGTCCGCGCCGAGAATCAATATTGCGAGCCGTAATGGCTACGCAGTTGGAGTCCTGGACGCCCTTGCGGGCAACGAGTTGGTCCAATATAAAAGGCTCGACTGCGACGGCTCAGCAGCCTTTCCCGTGGCATCATCCTTCAGTCCTCAGGTCAAAGATCCAACGCCTTATCTGAATCGACTCGACTCTTCTACACCCCATCGGCCCAGACATTTGATACTTGTTCTGCGCCTGCAAGGAGGCTCTCGAGGCACAGCATGACTGGCATTCAACAATATGGGCGTGTCCTGGCGACGGCCCTGGCCATTGTTGGGGTTCACGCCCGACCTGACTACCTCGCGTCAACAATGGTCCACACGACCACACGATACTTGGCGCTAGAGGATGTGCAAGCGAGCTGCGTGGCGGGCAACTATGTCTGCCAGCCCACGCCCGGGCCTGCAGGCTCCCACTCTCTCTTTCACGGCGGTTACAGCAAGGGCGATGACGGTGGCGAATGCGACGGATGCTATACTCAAGTCGAGAAAGTGTGCGACACCTGTGAACTTGCCGGCGGTGGCTACACGTGGTGGCCATCCCCCGGCCCCGAGGGCGCCCCCCGTTGCTGCGTGGCTGATTCCGACTGTGCCAACGGGGCTACCTGCAGCCCCTGCGGCATCTGTGAGGTTGTAACCGACCGCAAGTGCCAACTGTGCAAGGATTGCGAGCTGGGTGAAATGTGCAACACAAGGGGAACATGCCAGCTGCTCCCTGGCCCTGCCTGCGACGGCAAACAAGCCTGTCCCGACGGCTACTCCTGCACCAAGGACAAGGTCTGCGAAGTTCCGAGCGGTCTCCTGTGCGGCAACAACTCGGACTGTGCGCGAGGCCAAGTCTGCAACTCCTTTGGGGTCTGCCAGACCGTGGCCCTGCCGCAGTGCACCATGAACTCGGATTGCCAGGAGTTCCAGATCTGCACCTCGGATAACATCTGCAAGGCCGTGAACGAGGACGCGCGCTGCTCCAGCCAGGCCGACTGCGAGGACGGCGCGATTTGCAACTTGAGCGGTGTTTGCCAGGCCGCGGAGCGTCCCCCGTGTGAGGACGAGGCCGACTGCGCGGCAGGCCAGACGTGCGGCCCACAGGGTTTCTGCCTGAACCCCCCGGATGGTCCCCCCTGCGACGGTCCTTCGGACTGCGGAGAAGACGAAATCTGCGGCATCAACGGCGTTTGCCAGCCCGGGATCCCCGAGTCCTGCACGGGAGACGACGACTGCGATGCGGACGAGGTATGCGACGTCAACGGCCAGTGCGAGCCCAGCCCTGTTCCCGGCCCCGACTGTACCACTGACACGGACTGCGACGAGGATGAGTTCTGCAACGCGCAGGGCCTTTGTGAGACGGAGCCAGTCACCGGCTGCACCGAGGATGCCGACTGCTCCAGCGGGCAGACATGTGTCGAGGGAGTGTGCCAGCCTGACCCAACCGAGCCTGGAGGTGAAGAATGCTCCAGCAACGCCGACTGCACAGACGGCCAAGTCTGCAAAGAAGCCACCTGCGTCCCATGCTCAACCAATGAGGACTGCACAGGCGACAACACGTGCAGCGCGGGCGAATGCTCCCCACCCGTGCCATGCGTAGGCGCGGACGACTGTCCCGACCCCAATGATGTCTGCAAGGAGGGCGTCTGCGGCATCTGCACCGTGGACCAAGACTGCCCCGGGGACCAGGTCTGTGCGGAAGGCGTCTGCGGCCCTCCTCCCCCAGACGCCGAGTGCTCTACCAACGACGACTGTCCAGCTGGCGAGGTCTGCCGGGACGGCAGCTGTGGTCCTTGCACCGCGGACGAGGACTGTCTGGGCGACCAAGTCTGCGCGGTGGATGGATCCTGCACCACGCCGCCAGATGATCCCGAGTGTACCTCCAACGACGACTGCCCCAACGGGGGAGTTTGCCGCGATGGTGTGTGCGACGTGTGCAACGTGGACGAGGATTGCGATGGTGAACTAGTCTGCTCAGATTCCACCTGCCAGCCAGCGGGGCCCACAGACCCCGAGTGCTCCTCCAGCGCCGACTGCCCAGAGGACCAGGTATGCGTCGATGGCGTGTGTGGAACCTGCGCCTCGGACGACGACTGTGCCCTCGGCGAGATCTGCGTCGCCATCTCCCTCGATCCCACTGACTTGGTCAAGAGGCAGGTCGACGTCGACGCCCGCATCTGCATCCCGAACCCAGTGTCGCCCCCTACGTGCTCGGACAGGTCAGACTGCGCCGAGGGCCAGGTATGCGTGGACGGCACTTGTGGCTCGTGCTCAGGTGACGCCGACTGCCTCCTGGGAGAGGTATGCCTCGACCTGGACGTGGACCTCGACCTCCTCAAGAAGCGGCAGGACGTGAGCGTGGACGTGAGCCTCTGTATCCCCACGACTGTTGTCCCCACGCTCCCAGGTTGCGACGCAGACTCCGACTGCGCGGGAGGTCTGATCTGCCTTGGCGATGGTACCTGCGGCTCCTGCACCGGGAATGACGACTGTGAGGATGGCCTGCTCTGTGTCGGGGTTACAGCTGGGCTGGAGGTTGATTTGCTGCGCACCAAGCGCCAGGACACCCCCCTGGACGTCTTCATCTGCGTCGCTGTGCCCGAAATTCCCATCTTGGACCCCCTCGCCTGTGACACCGATTCCGACTGCGCGGCCGGTCTCCTCTGCCTCGACACCAACCTGTGTGGTGGATGTACTAGTGATGAAGACTGCGGCACCGACCTCGTCTGCGGTGGTGTTGTCGGCGGCCTCCTTGACGACGCGCTTTCCATCTTGAAGAGACAGGTTATTGGCGTGGACCTTGGCCTGTGCATTTCTCTCATCCCTGAGGATCCCAGCACGTGTGCCAGCAGCGCCGACTGCCCCGAGGGGCAGGTGTGCGACAGCGACGGCCAGTGCGGTTCGTGCACGGACGATGCCCAGTGCGCAGACGGCCTCGTCTGTGTTGATCTCTCCCTTGACCTCGGCCTGCTCGATGGCGTAACCGATGGGCTCGACGGCCTTCTTGGCTCGGGAAGCGGTATCCTCTCCAAGCGCCAGGTAGCGGCCGACTTATCTCTTTGTCTCCTTGGCGGGGATGTCCTGAGCCCTCCCGCGCAGGAGTGCTCTACCGCCGCGGATTGCGAGACCGGGCTCATCTGCACCTCCGAAGGCCAGTGCGGCTCGTGCTCGGTGGACGCGGACTGTGACTCGGGACTCGTCTGCCTGGGCGTGGCGCTGGACGTCTCCCTCCTGAAGAGGCAAGACGTTGGAGCCGACGTGCAGCTTTGCGTAGAGGCGCCTATCCTGGACGGCGTTCTCCCTGAGCTCACCTGCGATTCGACGTCCGACTGCGAAGGTGGCCTGATCTGCCTTGGCGGGGCCTGCGGATCATGCACAGGAGATGAAGACTGCGCCGAGAACGAAATTTGTGTAGGCGCGTCTGTGGACACGGGATCCCTTTTGACCAAGAGGCAGGACGGTGGTTTGGACGTCTCCCTCCAGATCTGCGTCCCAACCATCATTACCCTGCCTGAGCTTTTGGAAGATGGACTCTTGGGGTCAACCTGCACAGATTCCACCGAGTGTTCGGGTGGTCTCGTGTGCCTCGGCTCCTCGTGCGCGTCGTGCTCCGATTCCGGTGACTGTGCCGATGGCCTTGTCTGCGTCTCTGCCTCGACCGACATCTTGGGCGCCGACTTGGATCTTCGAATCTGCATACCGGATATCCTTTCTCTCGACGAGGTCACCCCTGTTCTTGATGACATTGAGGATACGCTTGGCTCTGTTATAGGCGGCATTGGCCTGTAATCTGGGCCCTCAGAGACTTGTGCCGGCGAGCTCACATCCAACCTAGAGCATCACGGCAAGACCTTGTGCGTTGTATCAATAGAATAGCGTTTAGGAAAAGTCAAATGGATCCATATCAATGGTAGACATGCTTCTTGGAGTCACAAGGTCAATGCTCCCTTTTTTCTTCTTCTCGCAGTGAGATGGACTGAGCTAGCATCCACGCATATCGCCGCATTGTATAGGGTCATACTTTAGTAGTAAGCCACAACTACTACGGTAGTATGCGAAAGTGATTTTTGCTGGTATGCGACTCTCAAGCAAAGCCTCTTTCTTCAGTGGAAACGATGACACGAATGTTGAATTCAATAAATTTAAATCAATGCTGATTCCGCATCACTAGGCACGCTTAAGCCCTTCGACCGCACATGTAGTGCTGCCTAGTATCTTCACATAGCATCTCTTGCACGAAACTCGTTTGGACAAGGGGACATTCCGAACCTTCATATTCCTTGTGGCCTTAATGGGTCTGCACGTATACCTCGGACTCGCCGCTGCTTTGGTAGCCCTCAGTCGCCACGATCTGGTAGTAGTGCGAGCCCAGATTCATTCCGTGGCTGGCCCAGGCGTTGAAGTGGTTCTGCATAGTCACGGAGCCTCCGACGCGCTTGCTGGTGCGGACGGACCAGTACTGCTGAAAAGTGCGGGTACCATCGATGGAGGGCTGGTTGTAGCGGGTGGACACGTAGATGTTGTAGGTTCCTCCGTCGGTGTTGACGGTGCCGCGGTACGAGGCGCCGCTGCTGGGGTTGTACGTGCCGTACGATTCAATCACGTAGTACTCGACGAGGGGGTTGCGCGTCCAACCGTATACTGCCAGGTAGCCGTTGCCCCTAGGGTTGAAGTAGCCACCGTAGTTGATGGTTCTATCGCCATGAGTACTGTTCTGTATCATCCTCGGTTCTTGGAAGTTAAGCTTACCGGCCATTGCCTGGGTTCCAGCCCTTGCCTCCAACAAAGTTGCCCGTGTCGCGCCAGGTTACGGCATACTGGCTGCCAGCGCCCATAGTGTACTGGGCGTAGCCGCCGCCGTCGGACCACCACGAGTAGAAGTAGCCATTGTGGTAGCCCTCGCCGTTGGCTGTAATCTGGCGGGCTTCGAGGGTGCTTGTAGCGTTGCCGTCGTCCTCAATTTCGTCGAGGAAGTCAAATGGGCGGCTCAAGACGCCGGCAATGGTCGCAAAAGCGAGGAAGAGGGACTTGAACGCAACCATGATGTCTTAGTGTCAAAGGCGAGTGCTGAGAAGCTGTCTGGGCTGGGAGATCGTCTCGAGTGGCAGTGGACCATTCGGCCGTTTATATATTTCTTCGTCTGTAAAGCACAGGCAGTAAAACCCTGCTACTCCGCATCGTACCTATTGCACAGAGCTTGTTGATCCTCAGAGCAAAGGCGGTAAGAAACACGCCTCATTGAGCCACGAACCACGAACCACGAACCACGATATTATCCGTAATACTGGAAGAATATGGCTTCGCAAGTCAACTTCCGAACTCATCGCGGAATAGCTTGTCTGCATTGTATGTATACACAGCTCGATATTCGCATTCCGGCTAATATTGACAATCTCAGAGCGGGAACGACGTCGCGTGGGTGCGATAGCTCTCAGCAGGCCCCAATCGGAGAGTTTGCCCATTGCTATGCTAACCTTGAAAGAGCCAAGCCATTGGTCTGGTTCTTATGCCGGTAGACAAGATAGCCGTGCGGAGATGCAGGCCTCTTTCATATGCAGTGTGCTCAACTCCACCCTTGTGATTTGTGAATCCATCAGTGCGAATGATGTATCACGCTCTATCTCGTTTCGATTACGCCCAAGGGTAATTTGACAGAGGCGCCCAGATGCAAGGAATGTTTTGCGCCTTACCCCCTACCACCGATCATTCGATCTCCAATTTTGACCCTCGGCGGCCGAGCAATGCTGGGGAGCATCATACGTGCAATTAATATATCCTGCATAATACCTAAAACTTCCCCAGAAAGAGCATTTAGGCTAAATCAACCGGTCCAGACTCTGGCAGCTGGTGCGCACGATTTGATTTGCTGTGCTACCAGACAAGAGCCTTGCCTAGACTTTTATGCGGATGAATACCAATTTCCAAGCAAGATGGCGCATTTCCCCCGCCTTGATTTACGCGGTTGCAGCTGAGAAAGACTTCGCAGCTTGCGCCGAGTGAAGACAGTCCGGCTACGAGCATGAGGAAGAGGAGAAAGAGGTGCCGTGCTCGGGGTCGTGTGACGCTCGGTCCATGAGGGCTGTCTCTTTTAGGCATTTTCGACGGTGACATAGAGGCTGGATGTAAAAAAGAAAGCTTCCAGAGAATACAGCCTCTCAAGAGCGTCTTGTGCCGCGCTGAACATGGCTTGTTTCTTCCACCAGCATGCAATTTTTACTCCCTAGCGTAAGTGCTCGCGTCTGAGGGACTCTCCTCTAGAAAATCAGCAGCCCCAACGGCGGCTGATTTGTTTGGACCGCAGCGCAAGGTGAAAGCCGTTCGTCCGCCTTCTCGATGGAACGGGCATGTCGGCGGGAGAAAGATTTTGATCCAGTAAATCGTGGCTGAAATTTAATAGTGACAGAAAGTTGCGTCGCCGAACGTTGATAACGACGTTGCGGGCAGCCTGTCGTGTTGAAGAGTGGCTTATGATGCGTCAAGATCGTGTCACAGAGTGCACCCTTTCTTTTGTTATTTAATCTCCCAACGTGAAGTGTTGATACTGACAATCTTAAACTTCTTTGGCAACCATGCTGTGCTCAGTGCAGAAGGCAGAAACTGACCGAGCGCGACAAACGGCGTGTCGGGCTATTTCTGCAATGTTGTCAACCAGTGCTACCGCCAAGGCCTCCCCGACGATGCTCCGCCGCCTACTACCACTGCGACCACTGTACTGACTGTGACGAGAGCCACTATTCAATCGCCGTCTTTCGGTGAGGCTCCTCTCTGACTGATTTCACCTCGCTGCCACCAACAGGTTCTGCCACGTCGAAAGCGGACTGGGCATGTCGTCAGCGGCAGATCTCACACCAGTTGCAGATGCGCGCGCTTGATACTATGTGACCCAGGTCTTCTTCTGTCACTGGATCATGGAGGGGGAACTGTCTGAGTTTAGCGTCAGCGAGGAGTTTCGGTCTGTGAGCTTCTCCGTCGGTGTGAACAAGCCAAGTGGCAGTGACATCCCAACCATGCGTATAGCTTCGCGAGCATGCCAATTCCTAATAATCTAGTCACATTTGCTTTGAAAGTTTCGGGATTACGCAAAAGGAAGGTAGGGCTCGAAGGGTTGTGACATCTCCCACGATATACATGGTTCGAGTCACCGTGCTGGTGCTTTGACTACCTGGGCTTGCCGTGCCTCACGAATCATCGATGCTTTGCAGAGCACACCTGGTGTAGACATTGACGCTACTCCTGTCGGGGGTACCGGCTGCTCCCGCAACGGCAGGGGAGCTATGCACGTGATTGCTCGCGCCTTTGACTCTCCTATCCGTCTGCTTCTACGCGGGGCCGCATCTCGGCGCCTATGTGACGATTCAGTTTGCACACTCCATGGTGGTGTTTGGTAAAAAAAAAACAAAAAAAAAACCGGGGCCTATTTCCGCGACGCGGGCTCCAAGGAGGAGTCGGTGCGTGTGTCTGTTGGTCTGGAGAAGACAAGCGATATCCTTGAGACGATTCAATCAGCTCGAGACAGCTAAGGCATTGAAGAAGCTCGGGTATAAGGAGCAGTAGGCCATGTCTGCCACAGTTCGCTTCTGACGCACGCATAGCCTTTCTTGAACTCGGGTGCTCCTGCATTAATGCTCGAGCCTTTGTTGAGCCTCAAGTACACTTCGATGGACATGGTCCATGTAAAAGGCCTTGAACAGGCCAAGAACTCTCAGTCTGCCTCTGGTGAGGACTGGCGAGGATGAAGGCAGGCCTGCACACAACATTGTCCATCTTTCATTCGCTTCAACCTTTCCAGCCGCCCATCAGCGCATTGGGCTGTCCCAAGCTGCTGGTGCTGTTGCTATTTTCATTATTTATTTCATTTGCAACCTCGAAGACTACTGTATTATTTTGGACTTTTGCCATCATACAGTCTCGATCTGTTCCATAGAACTTCACACGAGACCTCACTGTTGTGGCGATTACACCAGTTGCACCAGGAACGTGGTAATGTGAAGGCATCATGCATGTATAATGTGACTCATTGCGTACGCTAGCATGGAGTGAATACACACAGAGAGTAACCTTGAACGTTGCTCATTCTGTCACTGGGCCAGAGATAAAGTTCCACTGCGCTGCCTCCCATCCGCTCCGTCTTGTCAGGCGAGTACCGCAAACTGCAGCCTCGTCTGCTGGCTTGCGCACAGAAGTCGCCTGGGGACACGACGCCATAGGCGGCGGTTTATACGCATGCCAGTTCCCGTCCAGAGGCTCCACATGATAGCCCAAGACCAGCGCGGCCACGAAGCCGTAGATCTCGGCCGTAGCAAAGTTCCGCCCAGGACACATGTGTGCGCCTCCGCCGAAGGGGGTCCACGCAGCACGTCTTATTTTGGCTTGCTCGTTCGTCAGTCCCTTGTCTAGGAACCTGTCAGCCCGGAATGTCAATGCGTCCTCGCCCCATATGTCCTCCGAGCTGTGAATGACTCCAGTGGGTATCTTGACAGCGGCGCCTTTCTTGAGCAGGTACGGGCGGCCTTGTCCGTCTGTGATGGTGGTGTCCTCTAGGGCAAGTCGGTTGCAGGTGAATCCATTGCAAATGCGGCTGGCCTCCCGGTAAGCGCTGATCAACAGAGGACACCTTTCGAGGATATCGTCTATGTTGATGGTCACTGCATGGCCCGGACCGCGGTGGGCAATGGGCTCCAATTCAGCGCGCATTCGGAGCACCAGTTCGGGTCGCGTGAAAACATGCATGAAGAACCAGAAAATTGTCGGGATCGAATTGGACGTTGGCACGTGAATGAGCCCACACTCAATGACACCAAGTTGCTCCTCTTCCACGCCATAACTTCGAAGAACGCCGACCCGATTTCTGATGTAGGCCGAGACTTGTTCGTCGTCCTGCTTCATGGCCTTGCACCACTTCCCTAACGCTTGCTGTATCCTCTGCCTAGCCTCTTTGGTACGCTGCAGCGTTGTTGAATTGAAGAAATGGAGGAAGAGGTAAGGCAAACCCGTTTCGAACGTCCTGTGATGGAACCGTCGTTAGCAACCGTCATCTCGCATGATACATCTCTGATGTAGAGTGATATCATCTTACCAGACGTCTTCTACAAGCTCGTCGCTCCTGATTGGATTTTCAGGACCATATAGACCCTCGCATGTAGCGACGGTCATAAGATTGCGCAGCCACAGGTACGTGTTGGCAACGTCCATGCCATCGCCTCCGATGCTGTTGAAGTGGCTTGCGACATGTTTGAGCGAGGTGACATTCAGCTGGTGGATGTGCTGGGCAGTAGTCCCGTCGTAGAGGCTCTTAAAGTACTCGGGCAAGACGTTTGTCTGCATGAGCACTTGGTGATACTCGTCAGAGAAGCCCGCAACCTTCTGAGCACCCCCCACAGCAAAGGGAGTAAAGGAGAGATGCTTGTTGCAATACGCAGACTGGGCTAGAATAGGGTCCGATATGGCATACAGTTTAGTCCTCAAAATGGGGACGGTTGCGATGGGCAGGTGATATTTCTTGCTACCGAGGCGTTTGTGTTAGCGACCACCGTTGTTGCGTCTCGTCTTCCCAAGCAGTGTGCTCTTGCTACAGTGGGAAAAAGGAGGAAGCTCTGATGATGTGGGAACCCACTAGAGATGTTTAAAAAATACCTCTTGGTCCTTGAGTAAACTGTAGAAATGACCAAATATGGGAATCTTGGATCTGAGAACCGGAGGCTCAAGGTCGTCGATGCTGGACTCGAGCGCCCGCCCGACGAAGAAGAGCAGAGCGCACGTTGCCAGGCTGAGAGAGATGGGCGTGGACAGCAGCAGGGCCACTACACCCTCTGTCAGTGCCATGATGTTCTGCGAGAGTCTTATCGGGGCGTGATCGGGAAGTCAAGTGCTGGAAGTGCGTAACTCCAATCATTCAGAATGGGGGAAAGATGTAATTAATTGTTATGTGCATTGCCTAGGTAAGAGGGGAATGGCCAGCTACGCCTCGTTTCGAGAATCCTTCTGGCCACGCACACTGCTCCCGGCACGCCGAGTTGACTGCTGGGATTCCTTGTCAAGTAGGGGGCGTGTGTCCGTAGCCCGCAGATTCTGAGAGTAGTAAATTTCCTGGGGTGCGATAAGCTACGACGGCAATATCTTGTAAGGATCCAAGGGAATCATCTGCAGTAACTTGGAACTTGTGGAGCGGGAGTCGGTACGGAGCAAATCCGCCTGATCCATCAGCTCTACACTGCGTCGAACCTATCACATACGTGCGAGTACTGCACCAGAGGATTGAGTATCCCTAGCGGTGTGGTAAGCCTCCACTGGGATTACTTTGCCCAGAAGACCCAACCGACCTCGATATCCCCTTGGCCGTAAAAGGTCGCCTTGGTATCCACAAGAGATTCACTATCCCATGCCGAACTAGCCGGTACGGAGAATCTCGGGGTCTTGCCGCGCTGTGGCGGGGAGCGTTTCGTGTTCAAGACGATCATCCGTGGTACTGAAAATTTAGGTGGGCTAGCACGGACGTAGTGTGTATCTCCACGCGCAGAGTCTTTTAGGAGCTCAACCCCTGTCAATGCGATGCTGCTGATTCTACCGCTTTGGCAAATAATATTGTGACTGATCGTCAGCGTCTCCAGCTTCGCTAGCGTCTCACTGACAAGAAGATACCACTCCGCATACAGCAACGACATCGTGGTTGGCTGAGAGGAGGCGCGGCATGCATATTCCTTCGAGGTTCGAGTCTTGGCCGACGGTGTGCTGGCAAGTGGGTAATAGGAAGAGCCCACATATACGGTAGGATATTAGATAACACACTGTTAACTATATCGACTATTAATTGCACATATATACCTTCGTAATAGCCTTAATATTTAAGATACCGCTACGCACGAATATAAGTCATTATTTAGACATAAATTTAATCGCTAATAACTGTCAGGGGGGGTCGGTCGGCAGGTAGGACGGGGAACACTCGGTCAGGCTGATCTGGTCTATTGCTACGGATAGGCACTCCTTAGGTAGGGCAGGCTCTATATATAAGACGTAGCTCGAAGAGCTATAACAGAAGACGGTCGGGATCGCGACAAAATATAAAGGCAGGCGCGAGTTTATGTGACTACTAGGTGCAGGGTGGGTCCCCGCTCTTGACCAGCTGTGATAATACGCCCCCCTTCTAAGGGCGAGCTCTTACGAGTATTTATTAAGGACTAGGTTTATCGGGATATCGGCGGTGGTAGTTGGCGACGATCTATTGCGCGTTCTCTAGATACTCTACGGGTTCTTCGGTCGGATCATTATACCCGACCTACTTTATAGTATACCGTAATCGTAGGTTACCTCGGCTTCTTTATTCCTAGCGGGAATCTACTATCTCTTATACCACAAACTCTTTAGCCTTATTAACTTTAATAGGCGGCGGGGGTGCGATACGTTATCCGGGATAGGGGTTATTAGTAACGGGTCGGAGTAAGTTAACGTAGAATATAGGGTATACTCTTATACTTATAGGTAGTTCTAGTTTATAGGCGTACGGCGATACGGCCTTCTCGACCTTTAAGGGGCCGATATTCTTCTAGTCTAGTTTCTTCTACGGCCGTAAGGTTCGTAGGTTTCGGGCGTCTAGCTAGACTAAGTCTCTAATACGATACGTGCGGGTAGGTCAGCGGTTCCGGTTCGCTTAGTCTTTATAACGGGCTTAGGCGGCGGTTAATTCGGACTATAGGTATTTATTAATCTACTTTATCTTACGAATAAAGCTTTCTACGTCCCGGGAGGCAGGAGTATTAGCGGTAGGGATATCTAGTTCGAACCCTATCCGGGGGTAGGAGCCGTAGTTAGTAAAGAACGGCGATATACTAGTAATCTCGGATTTCTAGGAGTTAGTAGCGAATTCAGCTAGCGGGAGCTAGGTAGACTAATCGTCTTATAGATAAGATACATAGGATCGTAGGTATTATTCTAGGATAGTATTAAAGCGTTTAGTCTGGCTATCTATTTATAAGTATATAGCGGTTAATAATAAGCTCTTGATCTATAGCTATCGGTTTAAGCTCTTCTAGAACTTAGAAATAAACTAGGGGCCTCGGTCGGATATAATAGTTAATAATAGGCTATATAGCTTCTAGATATAGTATAGGTATAGACGGGTAGTCTTAGCCGAATCGTAGGTTACTTTATAAGGTATTAAGTATCTTATCTTCGTTAGACGGTCTACTATAACGAGGATTGCGTTATATCCCTAGCTCGGAGGTAGGTATATAATAAAGTCTATTAACACGTCTCTCTAGGCGCGTTCGGGGATCGGTAGCGGCTTTAGGACTCCTTAGTAGGCGTCTCGGGATGGGTTAGACCGGCGGTAGGTATAATAGTTCTTGATCTATCTTTCCACGTATGTTAGTATACCTAGCTAGAAGTAATTTCTTAATAGGATATCGTAGGTGCGGGCTTATCTAGGGTGTCCGGTAATAAGTAACTTATAATAGCGGCGGAGTAGTTTAGCCTTTAGTTCGTCGTAGTTAGGGATATATAAGCGGTCTCGGAAGTATAGGCGGTTATAGTTCTCGGTATACTTAGATAGTATAATACGGGTATAGCGTTACTTACCTTTATAGATCGTTTCTTAAATAGATTCTAGGGTTTTATTAGCGGTATAGCCTTTATTAAAGAGGTCGGATAAGTTAGTAAGAAGTTCGGTTAATAAGCGAGCGGCGTAGAACCTTACCCTCGGGTCTAGGTTCTCTCTCTTTAGTACTATCTAGCTTTAGTAGAGAAAGTATTTATCCCCCTCTTTTAGGAGATCCTCTAACCTCCTAGTTAAAGCGTCGGGCTTAGTACCTTACTTCCCGGGTCGGTAGGTAATCTAAAAGTTAAATTATAATAGGAACTTAGACTAACAGGCTTATCTTCGGTTTAGTAGCTTCGTTATAGTAAAGTACTCTAGGTTACGGTAGTTAGTGATTACTTTAATCGATAAAGAGGCTCCCTCTAACTCCGGGCGCTACTCCTCGAAATAGCGAATTATAGCTATTAGTTCTTTATCGTAGATCTCGTAGTTATACTTAATAATAGTATGCTTTTTTAAGAAAAAGGCAATAGGTCGTAGTATCTTATTATCCCCTACCTAGGATAATACCCTAGCGGAGATATAGTCGGAGGCGTCTGTCTCTAGGATAATATTCTTTTCCTAATTAAATAGGGCTAGTATCGGGGCAATACTAAAAGCGGTTTTTAGGCCTTTAAAGGCGTTATAGTAGTTAGTAATCTAATAAAACGGGACTCCCTTTCTAATTAAGTGGTTTAAGGGTACGGTAATCTTCGAGTAGTCTCGGATAAATCTCCGGTAGAAATTACCGAAACCTAGGAAGGCTTATATATCGGTAATATAAGTCGGCGTCTTTTAGTCTCTTACGGTCCGGACTTTCTTAAGGTCTATTCGGATTCCCTCTCGGCCGATAATTAAGCCTAGGAATTTCGTCTCGGTTACGAAGAATTCGTACTTTAATATCTTAGTATATAGCCTAGCGTTCCTTAGGGCTTTTAAGACTATTCGTAAGTATTCTTCGTATTTAGACCTTATTCGGCTATAGATTAAGATATCGTCTAAGTAAGCGGTATAGAAAATATTAAGGTATTCTCTTAGTACGTTATTAATATACCTCTAGAAGGTTATAGGGGCTCTAGTTATTATAAATAGTATAATAAGCGACTTATATAGTCTAAATCGAGTACAGAAGGCGGTTAAGTACTCTTCCCCTACGCGTATCCGGATATTATTAAACGTAAAGACGATATCGACCTTCGAGAAATATCGTATACTAGCTAGGTTATTTAAGGATTCCTTAATTAATAGCAGCGGGTATCGGTCTTTAATAATAACGTTATTTAGAGCGCGGTAATCGATATAGAAGCGTAATCTACTGTCACAGCTGGTCAAGAGCGGGGACCCACCCTGCACCTGGCAGTCACGTGAACTCGCGCCTGCCTTTGCATTTTGTCGCGATCCCGACCGTCTTCTATTATAGCTCTTCGAGCTACGTCTTATACATAGAGCCTGCCCTACCTAAGGAGTGCCTATCCGTAGCAATAGACTAGATCAGCCTGACCGAGTGTTCCCCGTCCTACCTACCGACCGACCCCCCCTTAATATTACGTAGCTCCTACCTATAGGACGCTGAACACGATAACCTCCCGCCCGACGCCTCTAGAGTTACCTTAGGATACGCGCGCCTTCGTAGATACCGTAGTTAGCAACCCTTTTAAATAGTTTTACTTCTATTAATAGGTATACGCCTATATAGAATCCTAAGATACCTAGATTATGAACCTTACCGATTATATAGCTATACTAGACGAGAAAACAGCCACCCTCGAAACCAAGATTATCGAGGAGAGCGCGGCTAACCGGAACCTTCTTGCTTAGATAAAGGATAAGGATATATAGATTATTAAGGCAACCGTAACCGCCCGACTCGCCTAGTAAGCTAGCTTACTAACCGTACGAGTAATCACTCTAGAGGCTTTAGGAACCCCCCCCGCTAAAGAGGTTATAGCTCCTTACTTAGGAACGACTCCGCCGCCTACTACTGGATCTACTACCTCCTCCCGACTATCTAAGAAGCTTCCCGACCCTAACAAGTTTAAAGGATCCCGCCCCGATCTCCGCCGTTTCTTATACTAAATCCACGCGAAAATAATAGCTAACGCCGACCGATTCCTTACCGCTACGAGCTAGTTAACGTATATAGCCGGTAGGCTTACTAGGAAAGTATATACCTTAATACTCCCCCGCACTATCTTTAGAATCCTATAGTTTAGCGACTACCCCGAACTCCTAACTTATCTTAAAAACGCGT